CAATGATCAGATGGTGAATCAGTGAGAGAAGCCTGGACTGCAGTATGAGTACTGTCTTTGGAGAGATGGTTATCTGGACCACAGTAACTACTGCCTACAGATGATGTCAGTGAGGGGTGATACAACACACCTGCTTGGATTAGTAGCAATGGCCTGTGATTGCACTATGTGATGGAACAACTAAGTATACATTACAGTAGAGTATAGTTTAGTTAAGAATAGAGTGGATGCTGGATCCACTCATTCACTATGACAGAGGGGTGTATATATATCTTCATGCCATGGTGTCTACCTCACTGTGGCCCCCCTTCCTTACAGGGTATGGCCTCCCTGTCCATCCTGTTCTATCTGGCTCCTACTACTATCCTGCCCTTCCTATCCTTACTCCCCTTGCTGAGGCAACAATCCTCCTATGCTGACTTCATCATGCTCAGGGGTCTCCTCCCACCTCATCTGGTGGCAAGGTCTCTCGTTCCCTGCTCTCAGTGGCTGCCCCTTCGATCTTGGTGGGGTGCCCTCATCTCATTGTGGGGCTGGTTGATCTGCTTCATCTCAGGCCAGTCTCAGTGAAACTTCCCAGTACCCACTCTCTTGACCATTCTTGATGAGGTTTCCCCCCAGCTCACTGTCCAACCATTCTTGGTGAGATTGGTCAGAGCCCCTGGGTCTCAACCAGTTCCACTTCTGGTGCACCAAGCTCATTTCGGCAGCTGCGCAGCATGGCTGCTTATGATCTCTGCGCTGGCCCTGTGACAAAACTCTGATACAGTACTTGACGAAGAAGGTATTCCCTGGAGAGGGAGTTGGAGCAGAGTCACAGGCGACACTGCAAAGATGTTATATATAGTCATACCTTCTCATCATGGTAGTCGAGTGGAGATCCATCCACTCTACACCATATATTACTAGTTATAGTTTTCACATAAGTATACATTAGTATTCTGTCAACAGTAGCAATTGCAGAGCATTGCTTCTATGTAGTGTGTGTGTTGTATCACTGCTCATTGACATTGATTGACACCAAAGGTGCTTCATACTGCAGTCTGGCTCTCTCGATCATTAGAACCAAAGGCAGTCATCCACTGCAGTCTGGGGATCACTCCAACACTCAGTCAACACACTGGACACTCATGTTGGCAACAATAACATCACTCACATAAGACCTTGGTGTCATTACATCATATCTACAGTTCTTGATCGTGCCAAGCTACCTCTGGATGGAGTGTCCACAGCAGTTAGTCGAAACCTGCAGTAACAACTGTCAGGGGTCTCGCGCCTGAAGCCCAGATCGGTCTGTCGAGATACTCGGTGACTATCAAACTGTGCGACAGCTATTGTCTTGGTATCGGTGACTATCAAGTTGCACAGTGACAGCAGGTGGCGTTTGTTGTATATACTATCGTAGGTTTCGGCTGACCTCTGTGGACACTCCGTTCAGGGGTAGCTCGGCACGATCAATATCAATATGAAGGTTATGTTGACACCAAGGTCTGGTGTGAGTGTTGATGATGACGAGGTTGATGGTGTTGGTGATAAGGTTGGTGAATGTCGATGATAATGAGGTTGATGGTGTTGGTGATGAGGTTGGTGGCATCAACACAAGTGTCCAGTGTGTTGACTTGATGCTTGAAGTGATCCCTGGACCACAGTGGACTACTGCCTTCGGTTCTATCTTGATCTGGACTGCTAACCTGCTATGGGCGCCTTCGGACATCAGGTAGTGGTGATACAACACATGCACTATGATGAGGAGCAACCTTGATAGATTGCTGCTATGCTGACTAAAACTAATATATACTTATGCTGAAGTGATAACTAGTTATATGGTGAGTAGAGTGGATGAGGATCCACTCGACCTTTGATGATGAGAAAGCATGGTTATATACCTCTTCTCAGCATTGCCAGCGATGCTGTTCCTGCTCTCTCTCCAGAGAGTACCTTCTTCATCGAGTACTGCTCAGGGGCCTCTCCTGCTTGGCACCCCTGTGCCTCTTGAGCTATGTTGACTCCTTTGACACTGATCCTCCTCCTTGCTATCCTACTGCTTGTTTGGCACCCCTGTGCCCCCTGAGTGGTGTCGACTCCTTCGACACTGCTCCTCCTCCTCATGACCTGGTGTTGACTCCTTCGACACTGCTCCTCCTCCTCAGGACCTGCTTGCCAGTGTCCTATACACTGCTCCTTCTCCTTTGACTGGTGACAGTTCCTTTGACCCTTGTCTCTCGAGCTCCTGAGTGGTAACAATCTGCATGCTCCTTGAGCTTGGTCCCCTTCGTGGCTGTGCCTGCTCCTTGAGCTTGGTCCTCCTCATGGCTGTGCCTGGCCTTCCTCACATATGGCTCGGTCCTCCTTTGCATGTGAGTCCATAGGAGTCCATGGTCTCCATGGAGACTGCACTACGACCATGCTCTCTCCTGATATCGACTAGATCCTCGATACCTATGCTCCTTCCATATGAACCAGTGACCCTCCTGCTTCTTGAGCCTCCAGGCCCATGACAACAACCAAGCTACCACAAATTCGAGCGAGTAAAGTCATAGAAAGCTTCTACAAACAGATCTCAACAAGGATAATAATAAACAGCTGTTTGTCAGGGGTCGCATGCCCAAAACCTGAGGTCGGTAATAGAGTCGTGTCTATTAGGAATCCTGTCGAGTTATGTGACAACACTTGTGGTATTGCAATTCTCAGCAAAATATGTAGTAGAGCCATCTCTATCACTTTTCTTGCTCAGAACTGCAGTAAGGGTTTTGCTATTGCAGGTTTCAACTGACCACTGTGGACACTCCATCCAGAGGTAGCTCAGCACAATCAATAATGATATGAGTTGTACTAACACCAAGGCCTGGTGTGAATATGATTGTTTGGTGATGTCGACACGAGTGTCCAGTGTGTCAACTATTGCTTGAGGTGATCCCTGGACCACTGTGGACTACTGCCTTTGGTTCTATCTTTATCTGGACTGCTGGTTTGCTATGAACCGCCTTTGGATGTCAGTGAGTGGTGATACAACACATGTGCTACAATGAGAGGCAATCTACTTGATTGTGACTATGCTGACTGAAACTAATGTGTACTTATGCTTGAAGTAATAACTAGTTTATATGGTGTAGAGTGGATGGTCCTCCACTCACTTGCTATGATGAGGAGCATGGTTATATACCATCCTCGCAGTGTCACCTGCAACACTGCTCCTGTTCTGCAAGGCCTCCTCTACCCTATGTCTCCTCCTCATCTTTCCTACTGTTTCCCATCCTTGCTGGGCTGCTGCTCATTGGTGTCACATCCCTTGCCTCCTGTGGATGGATGGGCCTCGTCCGTCTCACCTTTGCTAGGGGCCAGTCCCACTTCATCTCAGTGGTGACCCACACCCCCTTTCATTGCCCTCTCTTTATTGATGCCCACCTGTTGGCACCAACTTCATCATTGTGCCAGACCCCTGTTTCATCTGGTGGTGTCCTCACCTTGTACAGTATCTTCCTTTCATTGCATCAGTGATGAGGTACTGTGATGATCGATTCTTGTGAGATCTGTTGTACCCTGCATGATATTACGATTCCCACTGGGACCTGTAGTAGTGACTTTGTTCCTACAGATCCTGGTGAGTTATGCCATAGGATCATTTCTACTACCAATCTCAGCAAATTCCTCCTTAAGCCCTCATTTAGCCCAATCCTGCAATTCCTGTGCCCCTTCATGTCTTCAACTTCTTCCTGCCTCTTGCACATCTGGCTCCCATGAAAATCCTGTGACATAACCCAGATGTTTGATGTCAGACGGGTCCTCGTACTTGTCAGTGGTCACGCACCTGAAACCTGAGATCAGTAGTAGTGTCGATACTATTACCGATTCTGTCGAGTTATGTGACAATGCTAGTGGTACTACGATTCTCGGCGAAATATGTAATAGAGTTGTCTCTATCACTTTCTTGCTTGGAACTGTAGTATGGGCTTTGCTATTGCAGGTCTCGACTAACCACTGTGGGCACTCTGTCCAGAGGTAGCTCAGCATGATCAATAACAATGTTAACTTATGATGACACCAAGGTCTGGTGTGAGTATATTGTTGATGATGAGGTTGGTGGCATTGACATGAGTGTCCAGTGTGTTGACTATTGCTTGAGGTGATCCCCAGACTGCAGTGGACAACTGCCTTCGGTTCTATCTTAATCCAGACCACTGGTTTGCTATGAACCACCTTCAGACATCAGTGAGTGGTGATACAACATATGTGCTACAATGAGGAGAAATCTATTGATTACTACTATGCTGACTGAACTAATGAGTACTTATGCTTCTGAAGTAATACTAGTTATGGTGTGTAGAGTGGATGAGGATCCACTCGTCCACCTATGACAAGAAGGTATGCTTATATACATCTTTTGCAGTGTCACCTGCGCCACTGCTCCAACTCCCTCTCTCCAGAGAGTACCTTCTTCGTCGAGTGCTATGCAGGAGTCCCTGTAACACTACTCCTGTCCCTCTTGAGCTGCATGTCGACCTCCTTGACACAGCTCTCCTTCCTCTTAACCGGCTACTGTTCTCTTGACTCCTATCTTGTGAACCCCTGAGTGGTAACCAGCTGCAATTTACTGAGCTTGGTCCCTGTCTTGGCAGAGCTTGGTCCTCCTCGCATGTGAATTCATCATATGAACATCCTTGTCACTGATCTCCGTGGAATCTGCTATATGACCTCTCCTACTACTGATCTCAGCAGGATTCGTGATATCATCCTTGTTTGTACCAATCTCACTGAGATCTGTCATAGAGCCGATTCTACTGCAGATCTTGGCAAATTCTGCCACAAATCCTATGATCCACCTGATCCCCTAATTCCTGCACTCTCTTCATATGAACTAGCAGGTCTTCCTGCTTCCTGTGCATTCAGGCCCATGACATTACCCCCCTCTTAAGAGCCAAGCTCTGTTGAGGCAAGTTCTGTGCCATGTCTGTTCTCACCATTACCAAACCACATTGTTGCCACCCAACTTATTGCACAACATGGTGTCTCCTTGTTACTGTACTCGCTTGTGCACTGCTGTGGAGGAAACCTCTTCTGAAAGGACTGTGGCTCCTTCCAGATGTTGGCGGATTGTTGCCTGCCTCCATCCTCATGAAGTCTCAGCTGATGCCACTGAACCCCCCACCTCCTCAACCCCAGTCTGGCTGGCCGATCCTCTTGCATCCCTGGTGGCACCTTCCTCTCCATTGGTGCCACTGTTTCTAGGGATGGATGACGACACAGTTGTCCAGAGTCCTCCTGGCTCTCCTCCCCCTGCTCATGTTGCACCAGGTCCCTCGGGAGAAGACTACTCTCTGGCCTCTCCTCCTCCTCATGACCTGAATGAGGTTGGCACAAGTCATCCTGCTTGGGAGTTGACAACTCCAGAGCATCAAGCCATGTGGGAAGCTGAGCTGGCTTGCTCCCCCACCCCTCCTCCAACTGCTGACGAAATAGTCAATGCAATTCTGGCTCCTCCTCGAGCCATCACCCCAGAGTATCAGTTGAACATGCAACTGCTTACTCCTCCTCCTTGCTGGCATGGTCGCCAGACTCTGCCCCCCCCCCTCCTCCTGACCACCATCTCCTGACGAATGGCAAGATTGTGGAATGGGCTGAGCCATTTGTGGTTGCTGACCTTTTGGTCAGAGTTGCAGATTGCCACTTCCCCCTCAACTGGGATGTCCCCACTGGGTCTTTGCCAGAATGCCAGTTACATCACCTGGTCATGTTGTGTTTGACCAAAGGCTGTATGCCTTGGCCAAGCTGGCAATGTCGCCACTGCTTCCAGCTGCAGATTCCATAAGTGTCCCTTGTCATACCTGACTACCTTTCCTATTCATCACTAACCCCCTTTTTCTTTCTTCCAGTTGCTTTGCCTCCACTTTCACCAACCCATTTGGTGAGAGGAACAGGGTGCCCTGCACTTGCACACATTGTTACCTGGCTGGTCTGGGTAACTGTGAGTGCAGTATCCCTGCTCATCCCGGCATGGAGTACCTAGGTGATGGTACTCCAAGCATGCAGCCTCATGGCTTGCACCAAGCTGAATGGGCCCATTTAACAGTCACAAATGGGTATGGCCCCAGGTTTGTGCAGTCAGAGGAACAGGTTTTGGACCCCGTTATGTCCATGGGTTGGGCCACAGCCATGCAGGTCATATGGCATTTGCCCAACTCAAACCAGGTGAGTTCTGTTTTGCATACCCTTCAGGATTTTGTTGCCTGCCACAACAGGTTGTATTTGGAGTGACAACTGCATGAGTCGGTGACCATGCCTGGTGGCCCCCTGGATTCCATTGATGCTTGGGTGGCTCCTATGGACAAGGAGCTGGTGATCTGATCATCTCTTGCTCCTCCCCCTGCTCCTTCTTCCTATGTCAACATGTAGTGACATATTACAATACCAGCCTTCTGTTCCTTCCGATCCCTTTGAGCCTGTGTCCTGACCCTTGTGTGATCGCTCCTGACCTTGTTCCATTGGTCACTTCATCTTTGGTCTCTCATATGTGTGAGAAAAAACCATCCTCTCCCACTCTTGTTGTGAAAATGTCATAGTGCTACTTCAATTACTGATTTCCATGAAATCTGTAATAGCACCTCTACTCTCGCAGATTTTGCTCAAATCTGTTCCAACTCCCTCCTTACTGCTTCTGCCTTCTCCTTCCTCGTGCTTGCTAGTCTCATCCCCCTGCTGATGCCTCATACTCCTGGATGAGGTCAGGGCAGTTGAGATTTGAAACCTGTTCCCAAGAAGTGGCCTCTTCTGGGTACCCTCTCCATAGCACCTTGTATTCAGTCATCCTGTTATGTGAACATTTGCCAATGAGTGCCTCGACTTCGAATTCAAGGTCCTCATCTGGTAACAATGGTACAACTGGTTGCTCCAACCATTGAGCAAGTGCACTTGTCTTTGCTGGTTCAAGCATTGACATGTGAAAGACATCATGAACTCTGAGGTTTGCTGGCAATGTGATTTGATATGCTTGCTGGCCCACTCTTTCTTGAACTGGGTAAGGTCCTGTGAACTGGGTATCCAGTTTTGGTGTGGGTTGCCTCATCTTCCAGTTCCAATGATTGATATAAACCATATTGCCAACCTTGAACTCGAAGTCTTTGTGTTTCCAATTGTATTGTTCCACTGTTCAATGCTGTGCTTCCCTAATCTGGTCCTGGAGGTATTTACAACGCTCCTTCCCATCAACGAGGTACTCGAAACAATCTGGGTCGTTGACATGTGAGGTACGAGGAGCTGATTGGGTAGAAGCATGAGTGAGCAAGTAAGGAGGAGAGGAAGACACTGGCTGTCTAGTGACCGGCATCTTAGGGTTCAGCAGTTGGCCTGGGTAATGCATTAACTCTGAGTCGAGCGAAGTTTGGCACTGTGATGTGTTTCGGCGAAAGCTGCATTTGCATGCTTCGATTGCAGAGACACCATGTGCTTTAACTTCTCATACACACGTCAAAAAAAAAGTTAAAAAAAAAGAGAAAGGGTACGCGCTTTCGGAAGCCAAAGCCAGAATATCGGGCTGCTGCGCTTTCCACTCATCTTCACAAGAGAAAAGCCGCTCGCGTTGTTCATGCCACAGCAGCAACAATGACAAAGGGGACAGACAGGCGGGTGTGTGTGGGTGTTGCTTGGTCACTGTGCACTGCGTTGTTGTTCTACGTCTCTTGCTCACTTGGATCTGTTGTAAGACGTACAGCAAATAGCGATGATCACAAGTATCGATTGCGATAATATGTGAGAACTAAGTACAAGATAATGACTAGTATATATACGTTCCAGCATTCTGTGCATACATGTATGATACAGAGATGTTCTGCCCAGTATATGGTGCTGAAACATGACGGGGCAACTATGTCGGGTATCTGTTAACCGGTATGCCGATGCCGGTCGCGATAGTCGTCGGAGTTGGAGGGAAACAAACGCCAAGTTGGCGTCAGTGTGAGATCGGACTAGAAGTCACATACTTTTACTGGATCGAATCGGGATCGACCGAAACATTCGCATCTTACCGCTGAGCATTCAGCATTATTTATTCGCTCTACTCCGTCAACCTTGTCCTGTCACTTTGCTCTTTCCATACTCACCTCCACAACCTCACCTTCCCGCCGTCTATCTCACCCTCGAAACCTGGGCTAGCAAGACGCCTCCATTTGGCTTCATCACTCCTTTCTTTGCTCGGCCAAGCCCCCCACACACAGGCAAACACCCACACAGTCGCGGGACTCCTTGTCAGGACCTTCATTTTCAAAACCCATCTCGACTCAGCACTTCCAACGTATCTAGTCTCACGGACCAACTCAACATTCGCAAGCCACGCCATCTGGAGTCCTTTCTCCTGTTAATTTGAACTGACAAAAGCATTTCAAGCAAAACAACATTTCGGCTGTCCCGAACTTCCTTTCGTTCATCTTGTCACGACCTCACGCAGCCCACGCCAAGTCAGCCATCGGTTGTATCCTTCATTGCCTCTTTCCTTGCGCGCCTTTGCAGTCGAGTCGACATCGAAGCTCGATCACCGCATACAAGCTGAGCTTCTCTTAAACGGTCCCTCGAGTCCCGCCGCGCTACCACTTGGCGCCTAGCATACACGGTTCGCCACCAAACACCCGCATTCGCATGTCCACATCACCTGAGCGACACTTGCAATTGCTAGAAACTTCTTCTCGGAAGGACATCGCTATTCCACACCAAGATTAGCCACTCTCTACCTTCTGGCTACAGCCACCGCAAAAATCTCCTTGCGCTGAAACCAACGAGGATCTCGGGAGGGGTGGAGCGAGTAGAAGATAGTCGCTGCTCCATACTTTTTCCTCCATTTCGCTCGTTGCAATCATGTCGGCTTGGTCATCTGCCACTGGCAAAGCGCAGCTCTCCTATGCTGATCGTCTCAGACAAGCCAGCAAATCTGCTACACCGACAAGACAGGATCCTTCCGCTTCCTCCTCTTACTCTTCGGCTCAGCGTACCTCTTCTCAGGATGCAGCTAAGACTAGCGGCTCCACGCCTACTTCGTTGAGCGTGAACGACTCCCAAAGGAGGTTATCTAGTGCATCTGCAACAAGTACCGCCGCCACTGGCAATGCTTCGAGAGCAACGACCAACTCAACAGCAGCCAAAGAAGACGGCTCTGCTGCTGCTGCTGCTGTTTCCGGTAAATCAAGTGTAACGCCGCAAAAGAACGCTGCCCCACCAGTCAATGTCTGGGAGGCAAGAATGAAGCAAATCGCCGAACGAGAGGCTGAGAAGGAGCGGGAACGTCAAGCTGCGCTGGCTCAACAAAAGAAGGCGGCTGGAACATCAGCAACTACTGGATCCAACAACAACAATGCTGCATCGAGTAAAGGCAAGCAGGCTGCGACTTCTGCTACAGGTTCATCGAACAGGCCAAAGAAGGGCACCGAGCGCAATTCGAAGAGCCCTGCTAACTCGGGTCAATCCGAAAACAAGGGCAACAAGCAAGCTGGCCAGCCGAGTCAGTCTTCTAATCGCGCTTCCAACTCCTCGGTGTCGATATCGTCTGCCGCGACACCGACAGCGGCAGCGAGCGGGACAGACAGGACGCAAGCGCCTAATGCTTCTTGCGCCTCTTCAAGGAATGGCGATGCAGCGCCAACGACGCCCAAGAGCGCTAAAGCCGACACTAGCACATCTGAACAAGTTCGTTCTGCAAACAAAACAGCTCAGCAATCGTCTCCAGAGCAGACCGCAGCACAGCCACCAATACTAACAGACAAGCCCCACGCAACAACCCAATCACAAAAGTCGAAAACTGAGGAGAAGAGCAGCAAAACCTCTGACTCCGCAAAAGCGAACTCACCAAAGCAGCAAGCTGAACAGACTGCCCAAAGCTCAGCAGCTCAAGTACCGCCTTCGACGTCAACCGTACCAGCAACTCCAGCAGCGACTGCGCTGTACGAAGACATTCCAGCTAGCCCAGCTACTGTTGCTTCAGCAATTGAGCAAGTGCTTAAGAATGGTGGGCCGAACGGTGCTCAAACGGAGGACGACGATGCATGGCTTGCGAGGATTCATCTGTTGAATGGTGGACAGAATATGCCCAAGTTCGGCGGGTTCGGGGTTAATGGTATTTCGTCGTTGAGTGACGAGGCTGAAATGCAAGCGGCGAAGAATGCGGAGCGTGCGGTGGCGGCTGCTTGGGGCGCTGGCAAGAGTGGTTGGACTAAGTCGCAGCATCAGCAACAGGGCAAGGCAACTTCAGTGACAACATCACCCCCCGAAACTCAAGCAGTAAATGCGGCCACGAGCGACGACGCTGCCCAGGAGATCAAGGACGACGCCACGGAGTCGACAAGCTCAGGAGCGGAACCCGCCGCAGCTCAATGCAGTGAGGTCGGCACTATAGCACCGACGAAGACTCAGAAGGCCGACGCTTCTTCGGCGGACAAGCCGGGAAAGACCGACACCGATACCACCCCAGCAACGAAGAAGAACAACGAGGACAAACCTCACAATGATGCAACAGAGCAACCACCGAAGGGCGTAAAAGGCACCTCCAACCCACCAAAGGCAGCCGCCACTATCGTTGGCGTCCCTCCCTTTGAAGACGTCAACAACTGGCCCAACCCTCTCGATGCGGGCAAGAAGCTATTCGAGAAATTAAAACCGCCCGCAATCAACATCGACACTGCCAAATCAGACCTCAACAAAGCTGCTGCACAGCCAAAACAGCAAAAGAGCTTCTTCGAAACGCTCGACGAGCTCCAGCTTAGACTTGCTCCCGGTGCGAACCCGCCACAATCGGCAAACAATGCTGCAGGAGGAGCGAGGAAGGGCAAGCAGCAATGGGTATCGATTTTGCCCGAGATTACGCATTCTTCGACGTCGAATGCTGGGGTCAAAGCGAGGGTTAATGTTGATGGTAAGGCTGATGCTGGAAATAAAAGTGCGAATAGGCAGCAGCAGCAGAGGAAGGAGGGGGCGAACAAGGGTGTGGGTCAGGCGCAACAGGCGCAGGGCGGAGGAAAGAAGGATGTGGGGGTCAAAAAGGCGAATGTAAAGATTGCGCAGGGTGGGAAGGGAGTGCAGGTGGAGAAGGATGGTTCGGCTTCGAAGAGTGATGCGCGTGCTGAGGGTATCAAACCCAAAGCGCCGAATGCGTCAACCAACAACGCTGAAGTGGACAAGTTGCAAAGCCAGGATTCAGCGCCAACTCAGCCGACTTGCTCTGCCGCGTCGAGTGCACCAGCCAACGAAGATTCGACCTCAGCATTAACTTCGCGAGGATCTGGAGATGCTGCCGCCGGGAAAGCACCAAAAGCAGCACGAGCAGCACAACTTCGCCCATCAGCACCCAACGGCATCAATGGCACGTTGAAACCTTCCAATCCTTCCGGCAACACCAAATCCAGCACCTCAAGCGGTCCAGGCACCCCTGCCACCGCCAACCGTTCCTCCCCTTGTGGATCAGTCACTTCATCACCTCAAGTCCATCCTCTCCCACGAGCTGCACCTCCATTCGTCCCCTCCACCACCACCATCTCAGATCCCTCCCCTTACCCAATTCCCATCTTCTACCCACCAACTGGGCCTTCTGGAGCAGCAACACCGATGCTTCACCCCACCAACACCCAATTCCCGCCTTCTTACAACCCTTACCTGCATTCCACCGCTCCTCTTCCCCCTTCCTCTATCCCTTATCTGTTTGACGCAACAAGTCAAACTGGATCTCCAACCCCGAGTGGGTCTCTGGGACAGTTGTTGGGACAGATTGAGTTTTACTTTTCCCAGCAAAACCTCCAGGGAGATTTCTTCTTGAGGCAGAAAATGGATGGTCAGGGATGGGTAGATATCGCAATGGTGGCAGGGTTTAAGAGAGTACGCGGGATAACGGGGGATGTGGAGATGGTTAAAGATGCGTTATTGTGGAGTGCGGTATTGGATGTTGATGTGGAGAGGATGAGAGTTAGGAGGCGGTTCGGGTGGGAACTTTACACTCTGAATCCCCCGGCGATGAATGGTGCGAATGAGGATGGGAGTGAAAAAATCGAGAAGGAGGATGGGAAGGGGAAAAGGAAAGAGAAAGAAGGGGTAGAGGGGAGGAAGGAAGAGAAAACGATAAGGGTGGAACAGGGAAGTGAAGAAGACGAGCCGGCTTTGGGTGTGGTTTCTGCTAGCGGATTCGGGGGCGCTTTGCGAGCCTAATTGCCTCCTTCTTACCTTGCTTCTTTTCATCTCTAACTTTCGGATACATCAAGTCCTAGCACTGGCTCAATCGTTCACAACCATAACATGTGACATATTCTATCTCTTTCTCGCATTACCCCTCTTGACCTGCATTCAGCATCTTTCCAGGCTCCACTTTGCGCTCTTTGTTCACGGTCACCGGCCATCGTTGCTAGTTTCCAATCACCGCTTTCGTGTTTCATCATTCCCAATCGACCTCTTCTTGTGTCAAGCTGAAGCTCAACTGCTGTGAACCACTCATCCACCGTCAGCCGTCACAGAAGCAGGCACTTTCCAGCTCATATCGCACCAACTTTTTCCTTGACTCGCAACGATAAAAACGTCTACTGGTATTGCATGTCCGAAAAAACGACAACAGGAGTCTAGCTTAGAAGATCCTAATAACGTCAGCCAACAAAGCATCCAAATTACCCTCAATTCCTTCCAACTCCCGACTGATCCCACCAAACGCTTCTCTTAACTTTTTATCTTCAACAAAAGGCATATTGGGAGCGAACAACCCCCCGACCTCTGGTTTCAAGGCTTCTTTCTCGTCTTCTAACAACACAGCTGTTGTTCTTGTAGACAATTTCGATCCTGGTCTTGAACCTGATCCTACCGAACCAGACATTAACGCGGAGCTGTTGAGGACGGGGGAAGTTGTTGAAGAGATGGAAGACATACTTGCGTGAGACATCAGTTTCACCTTGCGTGGGTCTCGTCGGGCAGCCGCTTCGACGATAGTGTAGAGGTGAGAGAGCGATGCGTCGTCTGCACCGAAGGAGAGGGCTGCGTAGGAAGGGTAGGCGGAGGGAGTGGTAGATCGTGAGTTTGGGGTGCCGGTGCTTGCTGATCGTAGTCCCACTCCTCTCGACCCTGCATTAGGGATGGTGGTAATAGTGTTGGGGGCGACGAACGTCGATAGAGGGGTAAGCATTGTTCCTGTGGTGTTGGTCGCATGGGTGGTGTTGGAGGATGTTCCGACGGTGAGAGGACTTGATGTGTCTCGAGAGAGTTCGGAGGTGAGAGATGGATGCTTGCGATGTGTCGTTGCGGGTTGGGGTGCTGAGACCGATCTTGTCCCCGGCGCTGCCATGGCTGCAGCTGTAGGGTTGGTAATATTCGAAATGGTGCTGGGGGTGGGAGGACTCTGCACACGATCCAAAACAGCATTAATCCTTTCCTCCACATCCACTTCACCCTGCAAAACCCCTGCTCCACCACCACCACCACCACTACGGAGCAAAGTATCCAACAGATCCCTACCCTCACTCACCCCCGCCCCCGTCTCTGTGGTAGGAGAAATCCTCTTCTTCCCACCAAACATCAACGGTGCCGTGGAATCAACCTGAAAATCGACCTCCTTCAAACTCAACGGACTCTCCGCACCACTACTATGAGCTGAAGCATACTCTACATCTGTCGTGGTCGAAACACTTTGCATACTCTTCTTCGTTCCAAACGCCGGTCTCGTTGCATCCATCGCACTAAGGTGGGAATCGGCCGAAGAATGCGTCTGATCCCGCATCACATCTTCGATGATACTACTGATGTCCCTTTCCTGACCATCAGCCGGGACGTACGAGTATCTGAATTTGTTCCCTGCAGCTGCTTTGGTCGATCGGATTCGGGCCTGATTCGAAAGCATAACATCCACACCTTGTTGTGCGTTTCGTTGGGCTCCTAGTACAGCAGCATTGCGTTCTGCAGCTGCAGCGCGTTGTGCTGCGATGATCTCTTGCGGTGTCATGTTCTGCTGCTTAGGAGTAGTTTGGTCGAGTTCACGTGCGCTGCCGAGACGAGGGCTGGGAGTAGCAGGTGTCGCTTGTTGATGGGGGTGCGATTCTCGCTCTTCCTGTACCGCAGCTAGTGCATTGTCAGTCGGACTGTGTGCTCGTACACCAACATTTCCATTAGGCTGTCGACTTTTCGGCCCAGCATGAGCATGGGTGGTCTGACGCAAAACGAAAACAGGATCGTTCGCACCAACATCATCCGAAGCACCCAAAAGTGCAGCTGCATCGATACTACGTCGCTTCCCATCAACCGACCTCCTATTCCCAATCCCCACCTTAAAAGTAGGCGGCACAGGATAAGCATCCAACACCTTACTCGTAGGAGGCAATGCTCGTTCGCCATCAGCTGCTTGAACAGCCAACCCATACTTGACATGCAACTTGCTCTTCCTTCTCGAAGGTCGATCTTCCACATCGTCTCCACCCTCCACCACGCCTTCAGCGATACCGAATCGATCCAGACCCTCTTCGACGACTTCCGCGACAGTGGTGTTGCGAGGGAAAGTCAGAATTTTCTCCCTAAATCGATGCTGCATGTTACCTTCTGCCATTCCATGGCTTTCCCGTAGTGTTGCGGCAGGAATGAGCGCATTCGACTGTGGATCGAACACAACTCCATCCGGCAAATCCGACGCGTGGATAACCAGACGCAAGGCAAAGCGAGCCGTGGGACTCTGCACCGTCTCACTAGTCTCCCCTGTCAACACGGAAGAGTGGCTACTGCGTGCAGCATCTTCCCCACCACCGAGACTGAGCGAAGTAACATTGCTGTTATCCTGCGAAACCGACAGATCCGAGACATTCGCCACTGATCGACCTGACTCATCAGCAGTGTGATTTCCACTCAGATCGACATATCCCTGCAAACGATCGCATCTACTGATGTAGAACTTGACCGCATGGTCGTCGCTAAAGTCGTTACCGAGACGTGCAATCGCCGGATGCGTGCTGAGGTTGGAAGAGATCGAAGAGATGGATCCGACACTGGACCTCTTGACACTCGGAACGGTCACCTGACCCTGGTGCAAGATCGCGGTGAGCGTGTTAAAGAGTCGCAACGGACGTTCTTCCTCGTCCAACGGTCGCTCATCACCTTCCAAACGCTTGATGGTCAACACGTACTTGTCCATATCGTGCAAGTTGACACCAAACCTTTGCAGAGCCTGACGCTGAAGATCCACCGATCGCGTACTGTCGTTGAGCAAAACAGTCTTGAACGTCGAGTCCGAATCGACACCTTCGCCTGCGAACACACGCAGAACGCTGAGCATTGGCGTAGAACCAGAGGGTCCAACAAGAGATCCAGGTCGTTGCTGCAACCGCCTCTGCCCATCTTGCATGTTCGGACTGGCCAATTGCGAAGAGTCGAAACTGCTGTTTTGCGGGGAGAGGAACTGCTTCTGATAGGCCTCTTGTGTAGCACGGTCACGATCTTGCACCGCCTTGCCCATTCCGATACTCTGACCCGGCTGCAAGCCTGCATTCGCAGCCTGGACCACAGGATTGTCAGTATTTGCACTGCCAGCTGGACTGCCTCGTCCTCGGCCATGATCCGCAAAACTGTCTTGCGAGCTGATACCGGCCATACTGTCGCGATCATCAAAGTTGCCACTCTTACGATCCTTCTTGTCCTTGCGCGAGAAGAGACTGAAAACACCCGAACGCTTCTTGCCCGCCTTCTCGTCTTGCACTTCGAGCGTGACGTTGCTCTTACTGCTGCGGTTGCTCTTGCGTTTGTCTTTGTCGAAAAGAGAGGAAGAGTCAGCTGCGATGACAGTTGAGTTGGCACTGGCGTCCGAGTTGGCTCGCTCGCGTTGGATGTGGGAGGGTAAGAAACCGTTGCTGCTTGACGTGCTGTTTCGACTCACAACGATCGAGTTGGGACGAACACTGGCGTCGTAGCCTGAAGCTCCAGAGTTGATGCTGGAAATGGAACGCTCTGCTGATGTGGTACGCATGTGCTCTCCAGGAACGCGATTCGGTGCTTGTGCGCCATAGCTTGGACCTGCAACACCCAGCTGCTGTGATGAAGTCGAGGACCGGCCGTTGGCGTACATTTGCTCATCGCCATTGGCATTGCTTGGCCCCTCGCGCTGTTGCTGGTGCTGGTATTGCTGGTGCTGGTATTGCTGGGACTGCTGCTGCTGTTGCTGTTGTTGCTGCTGTTGCCTGTGATCCTGCGGTCCTTGTTGTTGCTGATACTGGTCTTGTTCGTTGTTGTTGCGTTGCCCCTGTCCGGCATACCCTTGCGAAGGCCCCGCAGCAGCTTTGTTACCATATTGCTGAGAGTACGGATTGGACATGACCTGTTGCTGCTGATCATGCGAGGCAGCCGCACGCATCGCATCCTGATGTTGTTGCTGAATGCGCTCTGCCTCCTGTCCATCCCACTCCATACCATCATCCGGCTCCATCTTGTTGAACGCAACCGCCTTGTTGCGCTGAGCATGCCCCTGGTTCTGATTTTGCTCATCTTCATCATGCTCATCCTCCTCCTGATCATGCTCATGGTCAGCATAGATACCATCAGCATCCTCCTCATACTCGATCTCGTGCTCCTCTGCGTCCTCGTCATAGTCCGAATACTCGTCGCCGCTGTGCTCGAGATAGGTAGGAGGACCGAAAGCAACACCTCGCTTATTGCGCCTCTGCTCCTTGGTCAAAGGAGCGGGAGCGCCCTGTGCACGTCTTGAGAGCGCTGAGAGCTTGCCTGAATGGAGCGAGACACCAGCAGTGCCAGTGGCATTCCTGGCTTTGACGAGATGGCTGGTAAAGATCTTCTCTGGCACCTGAATGTGGTCGTCATCAGTAGCCGAGGTGAGATCGACGTTCCTGTGCTTGTTGAGACGCGCAAGACGCTCGAAAGGAGTTTCGATGTTCTCGGCTGGGATGTAGCCAACTTCTTGGGTACGGAGAACGCGAACAAGCCACCAATAGCTGTTACTGTCGTCGAGCAGCGTAAGACTGTTCCCCTTGTGAACGGTGGCTTGACCTTCCACGGTTGCGACAAAGTTGTGCAAAGCGTAGACCAGATCAAAGTTGATGTTCTCATCAGGAATGGAAGGACTTGAGCTGAGATCGGATTCGTCGTCTTCAATGTCTTGGCCTTCATCGTCTTCGTCCTCGTAAATCATCTCGTCGTGAATGCCATCTGCCATCTGATGATGAGATTCGCCGTTTTGCGCATAGACGTCGTGTCTGTACGCGTCCTCGGACTGATCGTATTCTGAGCCATTGGATGTCCTGTTGGGATGTTGTTGTTGTTGTTGATGATGATGATGATGATGCTGTTGGTATCGTGCTGGTGCCTGGTGAGCATGGTCGGGTGTAGGCCTGGCACCTGCACTCGAGCTTCCTGCTTTGAGTCGGCTTGCACCAGCGGCATAGACATCCCGACCATCCTCATCGCTGCTGAAGCCGCCGTTGTCTGGCTGCTGATCAAAGTCGTTGGTGTTATAAGCAGCAGAGCTGTAGTCGGATTGCGGACCGAAAGTGGAAGCGTGTATTTGGTTCTGGACCTTGTTGTTGACGGCATTCTGATGAGCTCGAAGAGTGGTGCTGGTGCCGGAACCACCGACGCCGACAAGACTGGAAGGGCCGACGTTGACGTCGAGCGTCAAGGTGGGTTTGACTTGCGCCATGGTTGCTGCGCAGCTCAAGCTGAGGTGTCGCAATAAGGATTTGGTAAGGGTGAGAACTTGTTCCGCAGCGTCTTATTGGGCCGATTCGATGACGGACGGAGCGACGAACAGAGTGCGGCGGAGGCAGCAGAGGGATGGGAGGGCCAGAGCAGGCTGAGCTCGCGTCCTAGAATGCGTCTGAAGCGTCAGAGTGCCATGGAAACTCGGATGGTTGGTAGTCAAATGTAAAAATGGTTGCGGGCAGAGGGAGAGCTGGTCTGCTCAGCCAAGGGATGCTGGACTGAGTGCCGACAAAAAACAGGGAGTTGTAATTGCGCAAAAGGAATTCGAATGGTGATGACTTCCGATCTTGTCGTTGTTGGTCGGTAGATCCGATCAGCCAGCCTTTCCCGAAAGGCTCCCTTTCTGTTGAAAGACAGCCTACGGTCGAGTCGCAGATGATGTCGAATGAAGCCAAAACAGTGGGTTGACCCGCTATGACCTTCCTTGGCGAAGCTGTTTTACTATCTGTGTGTATATCGTAGGCAATGGATGTGTTGCGCTAGCAGAAGGAGGAAGGAGCCGGTGGTGTGTGTGTGCAATAGCAGCATCAGCCTGTGTGGACCAAGAAGTCATGCAGAGACCGAGTGACAGAAGTCTTGCCTGAAAGGAAGCTCAACCAGCCAACCAGCCAGCCAGACCAATTCCCTTACGAAGCCTCTCGCCCGCTCACTCAGACTGCCCGAGTGCCCGAGTGCCCGTTCAAAGTCGGCCAGCAGAACGCGCTGTTCGCAAGCACACCGGCGGAAAGGCGAGGAAAATAAACCAATTTTTATAGACTTTCATTGCTGAAAGGTGAGGGAGAACAGGAAAAAGGGGTAGCAGACAGCAGAATCGGGGGACACCCGACTAAAAAAAAAAAAAAAGAAAAAAAAAAAATGCGACGCGTTCGGTTCTCGTTCTGCTTTGCCTTTCTCTCCCTTTTTCTCTTGCCTTGATAAAACAAGTGAGAGAAATTGCAACGTCTGACAGCACAGCAGCAGCCTGCCTTTCTTCTTCCTCTTCTTCTTTTGCCTATGCTGCCTCGGCGTTGTCATCGCGCTTTCCTTCAAGTCAGGCCGTGGACACGCGACGCTTGTCGACGCCGAAGCAGGAAAAATAGGAGTTGACATGCCTGCATTCTAATTTCTCATTGTTTCTTTATTCTGCCGCAGTTTCCCTCAGTTTTCATGACCTCGGAACGTAGTTGACAGACTTTCGGATGATGCCGATCAACTGTTTGATGCTTGTTAGATATTTTAATCGCCACACATTAGTAGGATAACCCGCAGACAAATGTCTGTAGCCCAGTTAGAGCGAAGCTAGTGTGTGTGCAGCGAGAATGAAACAAGCGGTGAGAAAAAGAAAAAAAAAAAAACGCCAAAACAGGTAGCTCTGGCGAACAGGGCGTCACCTAGACAGGCGCCACGCCGAGGACCCTGCACCGAACCAGCCTCCTTTCCCCTTTGTGAATAGAAATTAAATGAGGATCGGGTTGAGTGGGCCAAAAATCGGCGATGATTCCTCCGCAAATCAAGGCACAGACCAACTTTTCTTCCAGCTCTGGGTCCAACCTTGACCCGCTTGGCTTCCAGCCTTCACTCCGACCATCCTCTCTCTCTTCCCTTCCTGCCTTCCTTCCTTCTCACTCCCATCAGCAGCCCTCATTGCGGCTCGGGAAGGTACAAAGATGAAGATCGCCATCCAAGGCTGTAGTCACGGCGAATTAGACTCGATCTACGCTTCTCTCCTTCGCATCGAACGAGAACAATCCATCCAAATCGACGCTCTTCTCCTCTGCGGTGACTTCCAAGCCATCCGCAATCACTCCGATCTCCACGCTATCGCCCGCCCCGCCAAATATCGTCAACTCGGAACCTTTCACCCTTACTATTCCGGCCAAAAGCTCGCCCCCATCCTAACCCTCGTCATCGGCGGAAATCATGAAGCGAGCAACTACATGCATGAGCTCTTTCACGGTGGTTGGCTCGCTCCGAATATCTACTTCCTCGGTGCGGCCGGAGTGGTGGAACTCAACGGGCTGCTGATAGGTGGGATATCAGGGATATGGAAACGACCAGATTATAAAAAGGGAAGGTATGAAAGCTTGCCGTATGATGCAGGATCGCTTAGGAGTGCGTACCATACGAGAGAGTTTGATGTTGTGCGGTTGATGGCGATGGGGCCAGATGGAGAGCGGAAGGGGCTGGATATGATGCTCTCTCATGATTGGCCGAACACGATTGAGCAATGGGGCGACAAGGAATGGTTGGTCAAGAAGAAGCCGTTTTTTAAGGAAGAGGTGGAGAAGGAGACGTTGGGTTCACCACCGCTGATGGACTTGTTGAAGGAGTTGAAGCCAAAGTTTTGGTTTAGTGCTCATTTGCATGTGAAGTTTCCTGCTATCTACAACCACGATCAAGTGGCATCTGGCTCTGTATCGAATGGAGCAAAGGCAGCAGCAACGGAAAGAAATCCAGAAGCAATCGACATTGATCTCGACTCCGACAACGACGACAACACCGCCACCGCAGAAAAGGCTGCTGCTGCTGCAACTTCATCCATCACTGCAAACGACACTGCTGCCGCATCCGCCCAGAACGGTACTGATGGTGGGAGAACAACTCGCTTCCTCGCCCTCCACAAATGTCTACCCCTAACACCTTTCCTCCAAATCCTCGACCTCCCTTCACCTTACGATCTTCACCTTGAAACCTGCAAAACCGCCGCAAACCACACGCAACGCATCTTCCCCACTCTCCGCTACAACAAACGCTGGCTAGCCATCACTCGTGCCTACCATCCCCATTTTTCTCTTCAATATCGTCAACCTCCCCTTCCCTCCGCCTCCTCACCCGATTTCCTGGCTCAAATAGAGGCTGAGGAACGATGGATAGATCAAAACATCCTCTCACCTACTCGAAACAGTGGCAAGAGGAAACAGAATGAATTTGAGGGTTCACACGATAGCGAGCTCTCACACTACCATGGGGAGGAGGAAGAAGAGGGCTTAGAAGGCGTCTTGGACATTACAAGAGTGCAAAGATTTATTCGAACAGCACCGGCACCATTCGAACCTGGAGGATTGGACCAGGGGCAGCCGAGGTGGTATACTAACCCTCAAACCGAAGCTTTTTGTCGATTGGTTGGGATCGAGAATAAGATCAATCCTCGACCACACGGTTTGGAGCAATCTGTGCAGCCGTCTTTTCAGCAACAGCGACAACAGATGGGGTTGGCGGGTGTGTGCCCTCATCCCCACCACACACAGACTGGGGGAGAAGCAGAGGTGGAAAGCGAAACAGCAGATCCCAACGCTCTAGCTATTTCCATGGACGATCTCGACACCGACTCGGAAGAGGCAATACAAGGCCAAGTTAGAGAAGCACTTCTCACGCTTTCAGACGACGACGAACGCGATGCGCGTTGGAAGGAAGGTACTGGCTGATCCTCCCGCGCCGTTCAATACCAATCCTTTCTCTCACACAGACTCTTGTTTGACTATGCGTGTGAATGCGTTGTGATCCATCTAAAATTCAATACAGGTGATGGGGTTAGTGAAAGTCATAGTCCTGTAACAAAGGCTCAACCTTCCTAGCCAACTTTTTGCCCTCGCTTTTCCCACCCACTCTATCCATAAATGTATACAACGTCTTTACAGGATCCAACTGTTTTCTGTCTACTGCATTCTTGAATTTAGCTTGGCCTCTGAAAGCGACGTAGGTGAGGACTGTCTTTAGGATGTGGCCTAACCTTGCTGCTCTTTGACTTGATAGCTTTTCCACTTTCTTGCTTCCCGAGATAGAGGTTTGGGCTGTGGAGGTGAGTAGAGAGACGAGTGCGTCTGTTCTGGTGTAGATGTCTGGTAGGAGAGGATTCGAGACCGACTTGGACTCGGTCAAGTGGAAGGTTGTGATATACGCTGTGGGGATAAACGACAGCAAAACGGGGTCCGTGGGGGAGAGAGTGGCGAGGATGGACATTCGATCGATGAGAGAAAGTTGAGCTCTAGCTAGTGGCATATCCAGTTCATGTCTGGTGCTGATTGCTTCTGCTTTCCCATCCCCTCCATCTTTCTCTCCCTCTGAGACGCCTTCCGAGGCGAGTACTCGGAACAAGTCCCCCTCCTGAACAGGCGCACCCTCAATTTCAGCACTTCTCAGCAACACCTCCCTGTCGCTTCTATTCAATTTCTCCGCCAATCTCTTCTGAACCAAATACAAACTCTCCTGATCATATTCCAACCCAACTGCATATCTATTCAGAAAAGCATTCAATGCTACTTCTGGGAACCCAATAGCGCACGCTCGAGAAGCGAATCTCGATCCTGATTTCAACCCTAAAGCCCCCACCCTATCGCGGTATAACTTGGCGAGAGAAAGAATCGAATCGAGTTCAGAGAGTGAAGAAGCATGGCCTGCAAGATAACGCCATTTGTGGAGGGATGGGAATTGGCCTCGATCGAGAGACGTCCATTCCAGGGCTGCGGAGAAGGACTCTAGTTCCCGAGCGAATTCTTCTTTTGACATTGCAGAGGTCGGGGTGGTGGTGGAGGTGGTGGAGGGAGAAGAGGAGGAGGACACTGAGCCGAATAGATCATCGTCTTCAATAGCTTCTTCGATTTCGGGGAGGAATTCGTCTTCAGCTGCTGCGAATGCGTTCTTCCTGTTCTTCTTTTTCAGACTGATGGGGGTTGAGCTGAATAGCCGAACCAAGGGGATGGAGGAGGAGGTGGTGCAAGAAGGAAACACGAGCGAAGGAGTGAGCTGACGAAGAAGGACGTGTTGGGTGGTGGTTGTAGAGTTGCGGGCGGCTGTGCGAAGCACCGCCCTTGCAAAGTTAGGCGACCGCATACTTGTAGAAGATGCCGATGACAAGCTAGAAAGAGCTCGCGAAGAGGTGTAGCTGGGTGAAGGAGGGTGGTGAAGGTGAGCATGTGGTTTGGGCGTCGGAAGAAATGCTGATCCAAGAAGAAATTGGCAGCCAACTTTTTGTAGAAGCGGAAAGCAATCCTTCCGATTTCAGCCAGCATCACGTGGATTTTCACTCGAGCCCCGATTTTGATTTTTCAGATTTACTTTCCCGATACAAAATATCGGGCTCACTGCCCTCAGGCGGATCAATTTCGAAGCGGATCGAGAGACGGCCACAAACACAGCGCCAGAGGATGTAAAACAAGACAAGAACCGAATCCATGATTGACGATAAAAGATAGGATGTTATGTAGGCATACAGGAACAGGAGCGGAAACAAAGGTGATATGATGCTTTCACTGAGCCGAGAAGACGAGACGAGAAGAAAAGAAGGTGTGATGACAAAACCAAGTGTGGATAAGGAAAAAGGACAATGTGATGGTGCCTTTAAAGGCTAAACGAGGAGATGCTGAGAAAGGAGGAGTTCTAGGCCCTAGTAACCGTTGCCATTACTGCCATTTGGCGCGCCGCTATGGTTGCTGAGCGCAGCATCCGCTCGATCCAAATCGGCACTGGACAAGAACTTTCCACCTCCCAAACCAGGAGTGCTAGCACCACTCGTACTGCCCACACTTGTACCGCGAGCCCTCGACTTGATCACAAGCGGGTATCTGTATTCTGCCTCTTCGTCATCCGAACCGTGCTGGCTCATGGTCTTCCAGAACTGCTGGTGGCCCTGGTAATCCGACGTGCTCAAACCTTGCAACTCTTCGGTAAGCGTACCGAATTCGCCTGGTGTCCTTGCACCTGTACCGAAACGTGGCGAACCAGGCATCGAGAGCGGCGGTGGCATCTTTCCATCTCCATGAATGTCATCAAAGTAGCTCTCGATCGTATCGTCCTCGTCGAAAGAGTCAGGGTATGCTCGGCGAAGGGCGAGCTGACGTGCTTTGGCGTATTCCAATCCGAGACGCTTCCAGTCGAGCAACTCGGAAAGACGCTCGGTACGGTTACGCTGGTTGATACGTTGACGACGCGTCTTTTGACTGAACTGGAACATTTGATCTGTCAACTGGTTGACCGAGTCTTCGACACTCTTCATGCGACGGTCGACGATGTAGATACCGTAATCCTCGCCACGCTCGATGGTGTCTTCCATGAAACAACCGAAACCGGACAAGTTGGTGGTGATGGATGGAACACCCATGACGGTGCATTCAGCAGGAGTGTATCCCCAAGGCTCGTAGTAGGATGGGAAGACGCCCAAGTGGCAACCACGGACGAACTCTTCGTAGTCCAAACCCAAGATTGGGTTGTTGGCGTTCAAGAACTCCGGATGGAAGATGACTTTAACACGGTCGCTGGTGCGGTTGAAGAGTTGAACACGACGGATCTGGTTGAGAATGGGATCGTTGCCGTCGTCCTGCATGTTGTGGGTGACGACGGGAGGAAGCGAGTTGCGCTTCAGCGCGAAAATACGCTTCTTGAGCGCAATTTTGTCGGCATCCGAGAGCAAAGTAGCAGGGTCAATCACATCGCTGCCAGACTCGCCCTGGTAACGAGCCATCTTTTCGAAAAGACGCTCACCAACACGTGCCTGGATCTGCTCGACAGTGTCACGAAGCTGCTTGGTCACGGCTTGACCCTTGAGCGCCTCGATGGTGTAAGAGTTGGTGGCAGCAGGCATGATGATGAATGCAACCACAGTAGTCTTGGAACCGCTCTTCTGCAGCTTATAGTTAAGACGGGCAAGCGACTCGATAAACATGTCGACACCTTTGTTGCGGTACTCGTATCGACCAGCGGTGAAAAAGTAGAGTGTGTTTTCAAGATCGAAATCGTAGTGACCGTAGAAGTGTCCCTTGACGAACTCGTTGATCTTGGCCTTGGAAACGGCGTGCAAGTTTTGGAACTCGTGCATGGCCGAGAATTTGACTACATTGAGACCATTGGGCAAGACACCGTCTGGCTTGCGCTTGAGCAAATGCTCGGACTCGTAAGCGGTAATGTGACTGACTGTAGTGAAAACATCTGCACAGTGAGCAGCAGCACGCTCGACGCAGTAACGGTGATAGATACCACGCTTGCCAGCCTCATGATCGACATCAAAGTACTGCAAGTTGTTGTAGAAATCGACGCTGCCGGCACAGAGGTATCGACCGAGCAAAGTGGCGTGGGTTGTGAAGATGGTTGTGACGTCGATGTGACGCTTCCTGCAAAGAGGGATGGCGAGACCGGCCTGCCATTCGTGGAAGTGGGCAATGATGGCACGCTTGCGCTCTCGACTCGAGTACTCGCCCAAGAACCATGCTACGAGGTAACCGAAAACGAGCGTCTCGTTGGTCTCGTGGTCATGCTGGGGTGTAGGGATACCTGCAAGATTCCAGAGATCAGCCTTCCACTCGTCCATGCGGTGGTACATGCTAGACGTGTCAAAGAGGAGTACTCGAGGAGCTCGCTCAATGAGCCATCGGCCGTAAAGGAACTTGACACCAGCGTCACGCATGCTGTCGAGCGTCTCCTTGAGGAGAGGGTGTTCGGGTTCGAGCGCCTCAACCTCCATGGGAGCGGTCTTGTAGGAGAGAGGACCAATGAGAGTGTATCGATCGCCATACTCTTGATGCGTGACGGGAGCCTTGGTCTTGATGACGGTGTAGATACCACCGACCTTGTTAGCGACTTCCCAGGCACACTCGAAGAGGAGTGGGTTGTGAACGTCCCTCTTGGGAGCGGGAGACGGGTGCGACATGTTTGCAAAGCAGCCAGCGACCTCGAAGTGGAGAAGAGAAGGATGTCACGGAGTAGAAGCTACGTAACCAACGCACGGATGTCAGAGGTAGCTGCGATGGAACGATGGAGGTGGTAGTGATGGAGAAGAGAAGAGGCAAGAGGAGGGGTTGGATTGGATGAAGGTCAGGTGGACAAGTGTGTGTGTGAGAGAGAGAGTTGCAGAGGCAGACTGGGAGCGAATGGGAGAGGCTGAGCGAGTGAGGGATGCCAAGTTGCAGTGGCAAAGCGAGGCAAAGCACAGGGCAGATCAATCCTTCCTTCCTTCCTTCCTTCCTTCAATCAATCAATCACTCGCTCAAGTGGATCAGGAACTCGAACTCAAGCTCAAGCTCTGAACATTTACGCACGCCCATCAATTCAGCAATGTTAAGCGAGTGAAGTCAAGAGGGCTCTCTCTCTCTCTCTCTCTCTCTCTCTCTCTCAGCGGATTGGGGCAGGCTGAGGGAGCGAGTTCGGAAGAGCGCCGAGAGCGAAAGCAATGTGAAGCGGAGAGGCCGACCAGCTGACAGACAGAGTAAGCGAGTTGGAGTTGGACTGTGCGGATGCACCGAGGAAAGGCAAGAGTGGATGATTGAGAGCGCGGGGCGACAGGGTCGAAGAGGCAAAGGAAAGGGAAAGAGTGGAGGAATGGCCACGAGCTCGAGCCAATAAGAAAGGTGGCAACAAGACGAATGCAGAGCAACAAGCAGAATGATGAAAGAGGCGCGCAACTGCATACACACCAAAACAAAAAAAAATAAAAAAAATAAAAAAATAAAAAAATAAAAAAAATTGAATCTCGCTCTGGTAAAGTTGGGGGCCGCTCGCTTCTCCCCGCAACCTAGTTGTCCCGTGTTCCGTTCCATTCGTTCGTCGGAGAACTCTCGCTGTTTGAGAAAGCAAGAGAGGGAACAAAAGGGCCCACATTCACTTGTCGGAGGTTTGTCTGAGAGAAGACAGATGTCAACTTTCCCAGCTGACCCTTTGTCTTCCATTGGGCAACTTACTTGAACCAGAAGGCTGCCGCTTGTGGCAATTCGCATTGGACGGCGATTGAGACACACACCGAAACTTCATAATCCATCTTCCATACTGAAGCATCCATTTCGAACCAAATCTTGCCCCGATTCATTCATGGTTCGATTGCAAACTGCTGATGAGGGTCTGCTCGCTCCATCCAATCTATCAGATGGATGCAAGTAGAGATGAAACGGTGGCTTTCGCTTGGACTTCACAACGGCGAACAAGCATACATGTCGGATCGACCGTTCCCATCGGGTCTTGCTCCGACTCCTTCTACCCCCGATCGGCTCATCCTCCCCGATCCTCCATCATCCGACCTCGCTTTGCCATCCTTGCCACATGATCAACCAACCAATCACATACCATGCTATTCGAGAACGCATAAGCACAGCCATCTATCAGCAGCGCCAAATGTCTCTCACAACCGTCACCTGACCCTTGCAACCAAAAGCAACAACAGCAACAGCAGCTATTGTTAGCAGTTCTCGTACGAAAGTCTAGGCGCACTCAAACACAACACACAGAATTCTAAGCCCCGCTCCGCTTTTCTTTGCACACTTAGCCTCCACACCAGCCGGCATCCGGCTACGATAGTCTAGCGCCTTGCTCACACGAGCTTCTCTCGCTGCGCTGCCTCTTACCCCACATTTTTTTCTGTTGGGTTCTGCACTTGGCCCATGTTTCCCTACTGACTCGCCACCTCCCAGTTGAGTCTGTCTCCCAAACACCATCATCGTTGCCGCTAAACACCAACGTGCGCCTCCATCAACTTGATCCACTCGATCTCGAAACAAAACAAAATTCAACGCGACAGCAAGCACAAAGCAAAGCAAAGCAATCTCGACCGCCACCGCAATGCAGCCATTCCTCACACGTCAACGAACCATGTTTGCAGCATCAGCCGCCGTTGTAGTGGCTTCCATCTCGGTGCTTTCTGCAAGAAGAAGTGCTCAGTTTGCAAGTAGAACTGCTGGAGGTCGTATTGTTTGTCCTGAGCGTAGCGGAGGAGGGATCTGAGCGGTAGCCAACAGCCACAATGACGAGCCCAACTCGCTGAGGCTCGTTCCACGGCACTGTGCTTAAAGATCATCAAGCAGCTCCCTCCCATGATACGATCCCCTCGAGGCTGTTCAATCCGCGATCATCCCTCGGCCTGGCATTCGCTTTTCAAGCACAGCAAACTACGATTGCTCCCTTCACCCCCACATCAGCAGGTTTATCCCGCTCAATCTGGCCAATTTTCCCTCTCCCGTAGTCTCTCTGATTCATCACATACTTTTGTCCAATGCAATTTCAAACTTGAAACAACAAAAATACAAATCCCCGCTGTCCACCTCAGCTCAGCTATATCATCGCCAAAATCCCCTCCACAGCCACCCGTACGGACCCCAATCCATGAAATTGCGCTATCGTCAACAAACTCCTCAGCCTCCTCAACGTTTCCTTCCTCGTAACCATCAGACCGTATGCACCTGAACAATCGCAATGTTGTTGCAGATTGGTGTGTTTCAATGCACCGCATTTGTTGCATCTTAGGTCCTGCAGATGGAAAGATTCGAGATAGCCGAGGGCGATGTTGACTAGACGAGATTCGAGTTGGGCGATGTTGTAGGGGAATGCGCATTTGCTGCATTTCCATTTTGCCACCGCTCCCCCTGCTTCGGCTCCGGCTGGCATGAGGTCTGGATCTCTGCAAAGATCCAAAGTGCGATCGTCGTTACAGAAGGTGCAGATGACGAGAGCAAGTTTAAACGATTCGCACGGGTTTCTGAATTCCGCCTCGGCGGAAAACTCTCGAACGTTGATCATGTCCAACAAGTTCCTCTTCAGGATTTGCACCTCGATCGAGTTCTCCTTTGCCAAACCCAACACCGCTGTCGTAGTCTTGATGAACTCCAACAACGGATTCGATAGCGTCAGATAGGATCCAGGGAGGACGGGAAAAGACCAAATCCTTTTGTGTTCCGTAGTGAGCATATCGATATATTCTTCATCTTCGTCTCGAACTATGGCTGCGTTGATTTCGTCCGAACTCGCTTGCATCGCGCTTTTGAGTTCTGAGAGTTGCTTGAGAAGTTTTCGTGTCATTGTGTGGTTGATGAGATCGGCGCTGAACTTGGTTGAAGCTGCGATGCCGGTTAGGCATCCTTCGTCCTTGTCGCCGTGTGAAGGAGTACTTTGAGCAGGAGTGTTCGGTTCGACAGCCCGAACAGGTGTTCTTTCCAGATCACCAGCAAGAGCAGCTCGACGTTTAAACTCGTATAGACTGTAGATAAATGATCCTACCGCCACCGAAAATTTTTCTTGGACTGCAAGAGGTAGGAATGTTTGGATATTCCAATTCATCTCTACGTTGAACGCCACTCCCTCCTTTCCCCTTCCACCAGCCTCTTCTCCAGCCTCTTCCAAGTTTGCAGGAGTAGCAAGGTCGGTTGTGTCGGCAATAACCCCACCAAAATTTGCACTATCCATCCACAACAAATACTCCCAATAATGAATGATTTCCAACTGAACATGCTTGAACAACTCCCTACTCGTCACCGCTGTCATCAAATACCTCGAATACGCCATTGCATTCGCTGCACCTGGCTTACTTGTTAACAAGAACAACCTACTAAACGAAGCGTAAACGATACTCGCTCCTAGCCTCTTGAACTCGGCCAACAGCTGGAGGAGGGTTTTCTTCATCAATCCGAACAAAAACCTCTGCAGTGCTGGTTCGAACAGTGCCGATGAATCGCTTGATGCCCAACGCCAAAAGTTATCCGAAAGCAAAGAGGAGTAAGGAGAGCGAGATCGTCGTTTTGTAGTGTACCAAGTTCTCACCATGCTCTTGACGGCGGCCAAGACAGCTGAGGTTAGAACGGAGTCGCCGAGGATGGTGGAAGATTCGACTGTGCCACGGGAATATTCGTCGAGAGAGTGAGAGGTTCCTTCGAAGGCAAGGCTGGATGTGCTACCTTCCATCTCGTTCACCGTGCTTGACTGCAACACCGAATCTACAGCCAAATCGACGAGTCCAACTTCAAGACAAACGGTCGAGTAGGCACCAGCATGCGAGATTTCAAGCGATTCTTGTTCGTCCCATCTTGATTGCGCGTGGATATCCTCTTCTCGCCCACCCAAGTCGGGTTGCGGGTGAGGAGACCACCATAACACCATATCCTGTTTGACCAGCCTTCTGGCAAAGTCGATATCTGCACCAAAGATCGTAAAGTCCTTCTCCATGTTACATAGCGGCAAGTCGAAGTGGCTGGCCAAATCGATCCAGCCTTTGATCCAGCTCGACGCACGCAAGTAGCACTGAAACATCCTTCTCGCTGAATACAACTGCCATCCTAACGCTGGAAGTTCATCTTCCAGTGCTGCTGCGGCGATCTTTACCACTGGGAACTCGGCGACACTTGGGATGTGCGATTCGTAGTAGGACTGATTTTTGGACGTGCAGAGTGCTAGCATCGCCGATCCTTGCTTGGCCGCTTTCAAGGTGGAGAGGTCTTTCGTGAGAGCTTTCAAAGCGCGAGACGCGGAGGTGTGAACTCGAACATCCACCCGCATACTATCGTTGTATTCGAACACTCCACTTCCGGGTTCGAGCTTCCCGCGCTTCCGCATATGGGCTACACGATCAGCATACATCGTTTCCAAGTTCGGCACTTGTCTCAACCCGGCACTATCCACGATGTGCACCTTTATCTCTCCCTCTGGACTGAAAAGACTCATCACATGCCTTCCGTCCCTGTTCGCATGGTACAGATAAAAGTACCTCACCCCTGCACCACCCGACAGATACTTATGACTGGGCGAAATATCCATCGACGTCGGCATCGCCAAATCCTCCAACCTGAACCCTGCATCCAACGCTTTACTCAACTTCTGCGCACCGGCGTTCCGACCGTAAACACAAGTCGAACCCAACTGAATCAGTGCCCTTACATCCAACGGAACTTGTTTCTCGTATACACCTTCGACGTTGGGGTGGTGGATGAGTTGGCTAAAATGTGCTTCTTGGTCCTGATACACATCTTCATCCACCGTAATCCGGTAGAGGTGTCGACAGGGGGTATTGCGAGGAAGCGTTTTGACGAGACGTTCGGCGGTGTAGAGGTTGCAAAGGAAGACCAAGTCGGAAGGGTGGGATTTGAAGTTGACATAGAACTGACGAGGGACTTTGAGTTTGAGCTGTTGCAGATGTTGGTCTATCGAAATCCACAATCGGTATTCTCCAGGTCGAGAGGTGGGGCATATTTGAACAATGTCCCACACTGCAGTGGCCATATTGGCGGATCGTTTGGAGAAGAGGGATCCCACTGTACCGCGACCGAGAGTGCTGGTGGAGGAACCGTTGGCACGGGCTTTGCGATCTTTAGCTCGCTGCAATCGCTGTTTGCGCCATTTCTTCTTCATTACTGCGATCCAACCGGGGTAATCGACGGTCATGTCTGGTGCCGCTTCTTCCACCTCGGGTTCGATCTCCACTATGCTAGTCGCCACCGCTGGCTTCGAGCTGGTCTCTGGGGTGGTGGAGGTAGGTTTAGCAGCCGACCTAAAAACATCGGTAAGTTTCCTCTGTTTAAACTTATCCTCCCTCGCCGCAACCCTTTTATGCAACCAATCTGGATGTCTAACTCTCGGAACAGGATTCGAAACCTTCTGCATTGCTGCCGGAATCGTAATCAGTTTCTGAATCACCCCTCCGAATCGTTCGATGTAGTAGTTCCAATCCAAAATATTCCTGATATCGAAATCCATAATCGAGTTGTCTCTCAAAAACTTCTTCAGGTAATGCTGCTTCACCGATGGCTCCGCATTGAACAACGCCACGGGAACCGCCCTCTCCGTCACAGGAGCACCAAACGGTTTGGCACTGATAATAAACTTACAAGCCAATCCCTTATCTTTCACCATCTGGGCACCCAAAAACTCCGCCAACCGTTTTGCAGTCGTAATCGCAGTCGACTTCTGACTTCCATACTCCTGTAAGGTTTTCGACATCGACTTATTCTCCGCGATCAAGTCGATCAGTTCTTCATCGTGCAACGTAGCGCCTTTGCTGAACAACACATCTAACCACTGGTTGGCTACTTTGGCTACAGCAGCATAGCACTCTTCTAATGTGGTTCCGAGAAGGAACTTTTCGAAGATCTGTTTCTGGAAATCTTTGATCAGTTGTAACTCTCCCCGTCTTTTCACCTCGAAGCCTTTCAATTCGGCCAAAGAACCATCCGGGTTGAAGACTGCATAGCGTTTCTTGAGCAGCTTATCCTCTTCCTTTGAGGAGGGGAGGATCATCGCTTTATACGGACCGTCGAGTTCGAAAAAGATGGAGTTTTCGCTACGAATTTCGTATCGACCGGTGGATTTGTCGACGAGCTCGTGGTACTGGTGGTTGGTGAACTTCTCATGGACGAGGTGGTTGAGCATGGTGCAAGGGTAGGAGATGCCGAACTTCTTGCCTCCTTTAACTTTGAACTTGAAATCTTCAGGAAACACACCGGGGAGCATACACCAAATACCATCCGTGTCCAACTCCAATGGTCTTCCAATCCGTTCAACCAGCTCTTTGGCCATCTGAATAATTGATGCACCCGTCAAACAAGTTATACCCGCCATCTCCATCGAATACCACCTCGCACCTTTTCTCATCACGTAACCGTAGAACGAGTTCAAGATACACTTGTGCGCCAACTGCAGCGAGTCGTATAATACGATCATTTTCTTGGCTTCGATGGTGTCGTTGAGCGATTCGGCCGAGTCGAGGTTCTTCTTCCATGTTTTATGAAGTCCCTTGTATTCGTATCGACGATCACGGAAATCACGAACGGTGTTGATGTAGAACGGGTTCTCGCGTTGACAGATGACGGCTTCTCGAATCACCGTTTTAGACTCGTGAGTCTTGCGGTAGACTTTGCGCGAGTAGTCGCCGAGACGTTTGTGGAGGAGAGCGGTGCGTTCGTTCTGTTCGAGATCGTCGAACGTTCGGCGTGCAAGATGGGCTGCTTTGGGCGGGAAAGTTTCGTTGGCGAGAGCGTTGCGGATCATATTGACTTCGTCTCGTTTGGCTGGGAAGTATTCGCCACGCCATGCCCAATCCATGCGTTTATCGCACTTCATGCCAGGTCGATTGTAGTCGCAGGTGGCACACATGGCTTCACTCACCATCGAGTCCGGTTGGAGACGGTAGCTTAACATGATGTTGGGATACATGGCGGCTACGTCGAGATGGTAGATCAAAGGAGGGTCTTTGCGGATTGGGTTGTCCCGCATCACTTCGAGCATAGTGCGGACTTCTGCTTTGACCTCGTCATAGTTTTCGATATCTTCAAGGGCTAGCTTTCCTTCTTCTCGGATGCTAAACTGGAGAGCCGCATCGAGGTCGTCGATGAGTTGCTGGATGGCTGCTGGATCGACGCGGAAATCGGTCTTGATATCGGATCGGAAAACACCAGCTTCGAGGGCTTCGACATGTCCACCGACATAGGTCTCGGATTCGAGAAGGTGACCCTTGTACGTGTTGCCAACAGGATCCTCGTGACGGTTAGGCATGATGATGTTACCCTTGAAAGCTTGAACCATGAGAAGCGTCTCACATAGCGTACCTGAGCCTTTTCGCAACACCTCGTCTGGATTGAGCGGGATGATGTTGCAGAGCGAAAAGATGAAAGGGTGCACATACTTCATGTAGAGGTAGTAAGTTGCAACGGCATCGGAAACTGAGTACTGAGCCAGCGTCTGAGGCTGTTCGATCGCGTAAGGTGTCATGAGTTCCGGGTCGAGTTCCATCGGGTCATATCCCAGCTTGGCGACAGTGACAGCCTTGAGACCTTGCGAACCTTGTGGCAAGTACGAATCACGCTGCACCCATCTGAAGCAATCCAAATGCGCCGTCGCACGCGACTTGTACTCGTTGTCTGAGTCTTTCGAGAAACCGATCTCATTCATCATATTGAGACCATGTGCTCTAGCACGTGCATCGATGAAAGGGAAATCGAACGAGTCACCGTTGTACGTCGCAACGACAGTCGGTCTGGCGTCGCGGAAATGCTCAAAGAAGCGCTGCAAGACCCGCAACTCGTTGGGCTCGTTGAAAATGATAAAGGGACCTTCGTACTCGTCTTTTGGGGTATATTCAAAATCTTCAATGTCTTCGGAAACGATCTCGCGGTTGGTGATGAGGTAACCTTGACCATCGATCATGTAGGAGATCATCATGACGGCGTCGGTCTCGGCGTCGGGGAACTTGAGTGGTTGCTTGGTAACCTCGATATCGAAAGCCATGACGACAGGGTCAGCACGCTTGACTCGATCAGTGACCATCTTGAGGCTAACAATACCGTCCTCGAAGCTGACATCGTACCAGAGACCGACTCGGATATCTTGATCGATCGCAACACGGAGGTAGTAAGGAATATCGTATTCACGAATGTCAACGAGACACTCTGCAGGGTCCAATGCGCTTGCAGCAGCACGCTTTCTTTCTCCTGTCCAACCATCTTCACCGACAAGACCGGCAGATTCTCCGTGGGCAGCATCCATTTCGATCTCGATCGACGCGCTGGCCGTTGCTGCCGAAGCGGCACTGAGGACGTCGGCATATGTATCGACAGCAGAGAGCTTCTTCTGTGCTGCTTTTGCAATCGGCAACAGCTCCTTGCGCACTGAGAGAAGGTCTTGAACATTGAGGAAAGTGAGTCGCAGATAGAGTCTCTGATGACCAAGCAAATGGTTAGGAAGCTTGAGATCCTCCTTGCGATCACGCTGTATTGACTGGATAAGACCTTGGAATCTTCGCCTCAACCATTCTTCGACGGAGCTTTCGGAAGCTGGACGACATCCGACGAGAAAATAGGGCTGGTAGAGAACGGTAGCTTTGAACATGCTAGCGTCGTCCTCGATAAAGTAGAAGTCGACACCGCTCTTGCCTGTAGGGTGATCAGGATCGCGAAGGAGTGTAGGATGCATGTTGACGAGCCATGCTTGCCGTGTTTGTCCTTGCTCTAGACGATGGAATCCGAGTTTCTCGTCGATCTCGTCTCGTTCTTTGACTTGTTGGAAACGCTCTTCGACAGCAGAGCCGTCTTCTACTCCTTTGACGAGCTGCGCTGCTGCGTTGGCGATGGCTTTTTCGGTGGCGCTCTTGTAGTTGCCGGACCTTGGGCCTCCGCCGCGTTTACGGTAGGTGCCACGAGAACGGACGTTGTTGCCACCGCGGCTTGTGAGGCCAAATGTGTTTTGCATTGTGGTGAGGTGTAGGAATGACTAGCACTTGGGCTACAACACAATCGTGACTTGTAGGCCGTCTAAACGCTGGATGCAGTGTGTTGTTGATAGCTCTGTAGCTGGGGGTGCGATGCTTGCTCGAAGTGATAAGACTGAGTGCTGATGTATGTCTATGGGTATGGAAGCTGAGAGCGGAGATGCTTGATGCGCCAAGTGGATGCTGAGGAAGTATAATGCTACAAGGGTTCTTGTTGACCGTCCTTAGGAGATGGTGCTATGCCTGATAGAATGCGAAAGTGTAGAGATGTGTTGAAGCAGGAGAGGGGACAAGATGAGTACGATAGAAGCGTAGAAGGTGAAGCAGTAGGACACACAGACACGCAGAGGAATGCAGTTCAGGCTTGGGGTTTTTTGGCCAAACCAACACTTTGGCAGCAGACCACGACGCGTCTGTTCGTGTTGTGCCTTCTCTGTCAGCCGCGAGTGATTTTGGCGTTAAGGAGCGTGAAGCGCGTCTAATTTTCCAGCGCGTCTAATGTTCCAAAGAGGCTCCTGGTGTTAGACCTAGTCTGCTTCCGGCGATAGAAATTGATAAGATTTCTTCTCGAGCCGATGCCGATCATTTCGCCGAGCAAACTCGACTGGATCTTCTTCTTGGAACCCAGACCACTTCTCACAGGCGGCATCTGTCACTATCATCGAGGTGGAATGAAGATCGATCTGCTATTACAGGCATTCGATCGTCATCATAGTTTTCAACAGCAGTGTACTGTGTCGACAAAGGAGGACCAATGACCTCGTGTGGAAACGGAACATTGCCAGCTGTCATCTGACTCCGCTTCTTCGGAATATTTTTCTCAAACACAAAAGAAAAAGGCGAGCCGAGCGTAACACTTGAATCACGTCAAGTAGTTTCTTCTCGAACCCTTCCCCCTCTCTCAGCGTCTCTTTCATTGGTTGTTGTTCTCACCCACCATTCCCCCACCGAGTTGATCAGCTGCTTAGATCGAGTCAGATGACCCCATATATACCCCGACCCTTGTAGCTGCTCGCTCGTACCTCCAGATACGATCGTCTCCCGTAGCGAGCAACAGCAGCAAAGATGTCAACCTCAGACGAAGCCCTAGTCCTCTGCCTCTACGCAGGAGGCACCATCGGTATGGTTCGCAAAGACGCCTCATCCGGTTTCGCCCCTTACCCATCCTTCCTAACCGAAACCCTCCGCAGCCAATCTAGATTCCACGACCCCCATGGAGACTCGATCTTCTCTTGGTCCGATTCTGTAGACCGCTACAAGCAGTGGTCTGAAGCTTTTACTCGTCCTGGTTCCGGTGCTTCCACTCCACTTCACGGTAGCGGTAGTGGTAATGGGAAAGATACACCGCTGCCTTCGGAGAGTAATTTGGCTAAAGCGGTTGCTGACAAGACGTCTTCTTTGCTCGATGCTAGTGGGAGTTCCCATTTGAGTAAGAAGCGCAAGTCGGATCACGAGTCGCAGATGGCGAATACAGCGCCACTAACGCCCTTGACGCAGGCGCATTTGGATCATCTCTATGCGGATACAAACTCACGTTCGCCTTCGGGAGGTGCTCCGCCATTCGGCCATCCTGTGTTGGTGCGAAGTAGTGCGCCGAAGGGGACCTCAACTCACCATGCAATCGCATCGAGTTTATCAGCTGACGGGAAACATTTGCAACTGCAACTTCCCACCTTGATCACACCTCGGGCTGGATCGCAAGGCAAACGAGTTCGATATGCAGTACTGGAATACGACCCTCTCCTCGACTCATCCGAAATGGATATTCCCGACTGGATCCGCTTAGCATCCGACATATCTCTCAACTATCAAGCCTTTGACGCTTTTATTGTCCTACACGGAACCGACACCATGGCTTATACCGCTTCCGCTCTCAGTATGCTTCTCGAAAACCTCGGGAAAAGTGTAATCGTCACTGGCGCACAAGTCCCCCTCTCAGAGCTTAGGAACGACGCGATTGAAAACGTGCTTGGTGCGCTCATGCTTGCTGGTTCCTATATCATCCCCGAAGTAGGACTCTATTTTGCATCGACGTTGTATAGGGGGAACAGGACGAGTAAAGTCAGTAACAACGCCCTCGCTGCGTTCGATTCGCCCAACATGGCACCACTAGCTAGAGTCGGGATCAACATCGAAGTGGCCTGGAACCTTGTCGAGCGCAGCAGAAGTGTTAAAAGCTTTAGGGCGCACGATAGGATGAGTCCTAATGTGGCAGTTTTGCGATTGTTCCCAGGTTTGCCAACGAGTACGGTCAAAAGTTTCCTCTCTCCCCCACTCGAAGGAGTCATCTTGGAATCCTACGGCGCAGGAAATGCTCCTTCGAGAGCAGATCTTTTGGAAGTGTTCAAAGAAGCTTCGGATCGAGGACTGGTCCTTGTCAACATCACACAGTGCGTTCAAGGTGAAGTATCGGCCATCTATGCTGTCGGGAAGAAACTGGAAGCGGTGGGGGTGGTTGCTGGGGGAGACATGACTGCGGAGGGTGCGCTTGCTAAGCTTTCTTACCTGCTAGCAAAGCAGTTGAAGCCTACAGAGATTAGAGAGTTGATGGGTAGACCATTGAGGGGAGAGTTGACGAGTAGTAGAGGGGTGTCAAGTCATCCTACTCTTCCGCAAGAACTCACTCCTGCTGCAGCGGCAAGTGGACCGCATAAGGCGGATTTGAGGACTTTGTTGGCGCATATACTGCAGAATCCCAACAAGGCTCAATCTTCAGCCTCGCCCGAGAAGAGGAAGCATGGTTTGGAAGGGGAGGGGGAAGAACGTGGATCAGCAGCAGCAGCATGGGACTCATCCACACACGAAGTTTCCTCCGCCACTCTAGCCGTTCTTCCTTACCTGATCTACGAAGCAGCGTCGAAAAACGATCCCGAATTGCTCAAATGGCATCTTTACGCTCTGAACCAGCTGGAAACAATTCCAACTATTTCGATCGATCAAGAACATCTCCATCCCTTAACACTCAACCCCCCACCTTCCTCCGGCGCCACGGGAGATTCTCCTGCTACAACTCACGCGGTGGGTGAGACTGTGGCTAAACCTGACTCGACCACTCCCATGGAGAAGCTCCAACCGCTGCACATTGCGAGTAGCAAAGGGTTTACGGGTGTGGTGGAGCTGCTGCTTAAGGCGGGTTGCAGTGTTCATGCGAGGGACTTTAGTTCAGGTCATTCGCCGTTGTTTTTGGCTGGGAAATATGAACATGCTGCAACGGTGAAGATGTTAAGGAACGCAGGAGCTCATTTGAAAGAGGATGAGGTTGGGTTGGCAAAGTTCCTTGTACAGCAGGCCGAGCAGAGGAGCCTGTCGACAAACAAAGCTGCTGCTGCTGCTTCCTCCTCAGCGGTGGTTGGAAGTGGCGATGTAAGGGCGATTTGGGAGTTGGCCGGTGTCACGTTCTAAACCTCCCCCCACACACACATAGATATCCAGAGAGGAGCGAATAGATTTGCAAACCCCTAAACCAGAAAGATCGAGTGACGATGAAGAACAATCAAGCCTGGTCTCTAGCAAGTTTGAGCACAGCAGGATTACCAACCACCACGAAAGCCTCTCTGCTCTTTCCTTCTTCCACTCTGAAACTCTTCCCCGGGTCCTCACCTAATCCCTCCTTCTTCAACTCCGCAGGTCCCTTTTGAGCAGCTCTCAACATTGCTTTCGCTACATCACCCACCGGAGCAGCCAGACTGCCTGAAAACTTACTAGCCAAATTCATCAGCGGTTCAACAGCTTTCTCCATCAACCTCAACTGAGGTCTCTCTGCATTCTGCAAGAACCCTGGGCGCAGAATAATGCATTTTTCGTACAAATTTGCCAATCCTTCCTCTGTCAACCCCTTACTTTTCAGATAGGGGAATAGAGAGGAGCTGGATGAACTTCCACTTGAACAGTACACCAATGTAGCAGGGTTGGATGGTTGGAGAAGAGCCTTGGCGGAGGCGAGGACGTATCCGCGGTCGATCTTTTCGAATGCGGCCATAGATCCCGCGGCAGCACGGGTGGTGCCCATGGTGATGAATACAGCTGAAGCGGCGGGGATGGAGGCGAACTTGGCTTTCTCGGCTTCGTTACCATCGTAGAGAGACTCAAAGTCGACAATGACTTCTTTGAATTCGACTTTAGAGGAGACGGGAGGTGGGGAGGGGTGGTTGCGTCGAGCAAAGGAGTAAACGGAAGTGTAGGGGGAAGTCTCGGAAACCAGTTGGGCGAGGAGAGGTTTGCCGACGGCTCCCGTTGCACCCAGACTGCCAATTAGCATATTTGCAATGGAAAGAAGGTCGACAAAGATGAGCTTCAGAACGTGCTTCCAAAGCTGAATGTATGCCGGGGGGGTGGGGGGGTTAATGTTGTTACTTACATGACGGCAGTGGCTCCAGCGCCGGCGGTAGCAGCAGCGGTCGTCGACATGGTTGGAAGATGAAAGAGACTCGGTCTTTGAAGTGAAGGATGAAGAGTTGAAACAAGGTGATGTCAGGAAGAGAAGAAGGTTGCTGGTCGGAAAGACTGATGAATTGGAGCCTTACAGCATGAGCTTCTTGTATGCGCATCCAGGGTCGCTGATCCGCAATTTCGGACTTCTTGACAGCGGACCAAAACCTGCGTGTTGATCCACCACCTCTTCGCAAGCCACGCGTGTGAAACAGACTGCTTCCCTGGCCCGTTTGAAGTCGCAGCATACAAGTGTGATCATTCTGACCACCTTACTTCTATTCTTAAGCCTCTAGCACTCACTAGGGTCAACGCAACAAATACACTCACACACCAAGATGAAAGGCAATGCGCAAACGACTTGGTGTTGCAATTGTATCGAATCAAGCCACCCAAAGAAACGCAAAGGATGACTAGCCTTACCACCCAAAGCACCTTGAGAGACTGGACCGAAAGCAGCAGATGCGCAAAAACAAAGCACAGAAGAAAAAGGAAACGAGTTGTACACTATAAAGACGGACGAGAAAGGTCGGAAAAACTATGAACCCATGGGAACTATATGATGCTGCTGATGATAATGGTGAGATGATGGAACTGTGCGTGGCCTAGACCACATTCTCTGCCGAATGGAACCGTAACGACGCGCCAACCCCTTTTTACTTCTTGAGGGTACCCATGACACGAGCAGGGGTGGCCATCTCAATGTGGAAGTCGTCGGCAGGGTGACGGTAGAGACCGGCCTTGAGACGCTTCTGGTCGATGTGGTGACCAATGAAACCGATCGATCGACCAAGGGTGAAGATACCGTTGAGGAAACCGTAGCTGAGGTAGTCGCGAGCCTCTTCGCTGGTGAAAGCACCCGAGTCACGCAGCAAGTCGACGAAGCAAACAGCCAAGCATCCATCGACGTTGAGAATGAGGGTGTCCTTCTTGGCAGTGGTGACCTTCTCGACGGCGAGAGCATAGTCGAGCATCTTGTGCGAAGGGAAGTTGTTAAGGATGAACTCCTTGACGACCTGGACACGGTAGTCGGGGTTGGAAACCGACTTGATCTTGTGGCCGATACCGGGGATGAGCTTGTTAGCCTTGCGCATGCTGTCGACAAACTCACGAGCGGTCAAACCACGGTCGTAGGCGTTCGAGAACTCGGTAGCAGCGTCGTCAAGAGCACCACCAAATCGGTCACCGATGGTCAAGAGACCCGAGACCAGCGACGAGATCAAGTCCTTACCGGCACGCGAGGTGATAATGGTGTTCATAGCACCGGAGACGGCGGGTCCGTGATCGGCAGTAAGCATGAGAGCCATCTCGATGAACTTGGTGCAGTAGTCGGGGAGACGACGCTTGAACCACAAGAGCGAGATGACACCACCGATGCCCATACCAGACTCGAACACTTCCGAGATCTTGACGCCAGAGTACATGAGCTCCGATCCACGCTCGTCCGAGATGGTCGAGATAAAGGCAGCGGGCTTTCGGACCATGCCGAGCTCCTGGGCCCACTTGTAGTCGACGGGAATGGCAGGAGCAGGGCGTTCGGGCTTGGGCTGGACGGTGCCGTTGGCAACGAGCTTGTTGTAGACCTCACGGATAACCGCAGGCAAGTCCTCGAAGGTGTCGGGGACAATGAAGCCAGCCGCCTTCATGGCGGCGTTCTTAGCCGAGGCAGTCTCCATGTCGCTGTTGGCCATCGAACCGGCATGACCGAATTGAACCTCGGTGGTGAACATCTTGGCGCAGGTACCGATAGCCCAAGCGACAATGGGCTTCTTGATGGTGCCCTTCTTGACAGCCTCGATGACACGGTACTCCTCAACACCACCGACCTCACCGAGCAAGACAAGCATCTTGCACTCGGGGTCCTGCTCGTATCGGAGAAGGTGGTCGATGAAGGTGGTACCGGGATATCGGTCACCACCGATGGCTATACCTTCGTAGGTACCGTTGGTGGTGATCGAAAGAATGTTGTTGAGCTCGTTCGACATACCACCTGACTTGGAGACGTAACCGACGGAACCGGGGCGGTAGAGCTTGGAGGCAAGGATGTTGTCCATCATACCACCGGAGTTACCGATACGGAAGCAACCGGGCTTGATACCACCGACAGTGGCGGGACCAATGATGAGGACACCGGCCTTCTCGGCACGGTGGAGGATCTCACGGGCGTGACGCTCGGGGACACCCTCAGCAATAAGTGCGAGAGCGCGGATCTGAGGGCAGTCGAGAACCTCGAGGGTCGACGAGTAGACGGATCGGCTCGAAGCGAAGTTGACAACAACGTCGGCATCAGGGTGCTTGGCAACAGCCTCCTTGATGCTGGTGTAGACCGGGAGGAGGGTCTCCTTGGTACCCCAGTAGAACTTCTGGATGTGGTGACCACCGAAGGGGTAGATCATAGCAGCAACCGAGGGGGTCTTGCGGCCGCACGAGAAGTCGAAGTCAAGCATACCCTGGATGGCACGGGGCTGGAGACCAAAGACGAGCGAACGGGTGTTGGCATCGAAGGGGCGGTAAGCGGGGCGCTCACCAGTAGCAGAGCCGGCACCGAAGTGGACGATCTGATCCTGGGGCTGGACACGCTCACCAGTGGCGTGGTCGACAGTGCCGATGGCCTTGTCCTCGGCCTTGTTGCCGTTGGCAGCACCCTGGCTGGGAGTCAGAGCACCCGAGGGGAGGATGTTTTGCTGCTGCGAGGCAAGGGTGACCTCCTCGAAGGTCTTTTTGCCAAGGGCAAGAGGGACAATGTCGGTGATGTGGGTCTCGGGACCGAAGACCTGGATCTCGACACCAAGGTCCTCACCAAGGAGACGCATAGCCTTAAGACCCTCCTGATAGTTGGGACCACCACGACGAACAAAGATGCGGACACCGTGCTTGGCGAGCGAGACCTTGTACTCCTTAAGGGCACGGATGATACCCTTGAAGGTGGAGGCGACGTTGGTGAAGTTGGCAATACCACCACCGATGATGAGGAGCTTGCCCTGAGGGTTGACCTCACCGCGGGTCATAAGGTCGAGGAGAGTCTTGGCGTACTCGAAGGTCTGACCCTCGGAGGGAGCACCCGAGTACTCACCGTAGTTGGCGAGCTCGTGAGCGAAACCGTGAGCAGCAATGGCATCAGAGTAGACGACGGAAGCACCACCACCGGCAACCATGGTCCAGATGCGACCAGTGGGGTTGAGAACGGTAAGCTTGAGTGAAGCACCGGTACCGGCGTCGAGCTTGGCAATGTAGGCCTCCTCCTTGGTCAGGTCACGACCGAAGGGAGCGGGCCAGTACATGGGCGGACCACGGTCCTCACCCTTGTTGCCGGAAGCACCGGCGGAGGTGCCCATGTAGATGGAGGGGTCACGGGCGATGGCCCACTTGGGACCGCAGATGAAGTCGGCAGTCTGATCGAGCTTGGCAGCCATGTCGAGGTAGGCGATCTGGCCATCGTCGGTAGCAACGAGAGGATTGATCTCGAGGTAGGCAAAGTGGAGGTCGACGTAGACCGAGTAGAGGCGGATCAAAAAGTCGGTGAGGACCTCACGCTTGGCAGCGGGGACGCCCTGGAGCAAAGTGCTGGACCACTGCTCGCGCTTGGGGAAGGGAGCGGCGGGGTCGGCGGGGATGAGAAGCTTGAGAGCCTTGGCATCGACATCGCCGACGTCAACACCACCTTCGTGGGTGAAGAGGATCCAGTCACCTTCACGTGCAGAGTTGATGCAGACATAAAACTCGGTGTCGGCAGGGTGAGGGCAGAAGGGCTCAACGATGAAGTTGTTGAGGGTACCGGTGACGGACTCAACCTTCTGAGCCTTGCCAGCACGCTCCTTGATCCAGGCCTCGGCGTCAGCCCAGTTGCAATTGAGCTTGAGGAGACCGGCCTTTCCACGACGCTTGATGAGCTGGTCTGGTTTGGCAACGAGCTTGGAAGTCTGAACCCAAGATGGGAGCTGCGAAGCGTCTGTGATGGTGTTGGAGGTAGGGTCCCAAGCGATCTGGGCGACCTTGGGAGCGGGAGCGACAAAGTCGGCGTTGACCTTGAGGTCAGCGTGGGCCAGAGGCGAGCGAGGCAACCAGTAGTTGACCAGGAGCTTAGCATCGAACTCTCGGATGGCTGCCGATTTGAAACGAGGGATTGGAGAAATGCGAAAAGCGCAAGGTCATCAGAAGTGTCAGTCTGGAGCTTCACAACATCAGAAAGCGGCAATTGGGACCAAAAGAACGTACCTTTAGAAGACATTTTTGGCGATCAAAATCAGAGGTATACGGAGAAAGGACGAAGTGTTGTTTGAAGAGCTCTTGTGGGAAAGAGTCAAAGGAGGCGATGTGCGGCGACAGTGAGTAAAGGCTAGATACTCAAGGCGACGTTGTTTCGCGAAAGACTGATCGACGAGGCAATCAGGTGGAAGGTAGATGCAGCGAAGGGTAGGGAGCGAGAAGGAGAAAACGGAGTCAATGACAGCGAGGAGGAAGGGATGAATGGATGGTGATGGTGAGGAAGAGAAGATGGAAAGTTTGGGATATACTCTCTCGCGCTCAGAGATGGCTCAGCTGGAAGATGTGCTACTGCGCGCGCTCTCTCTTCCAGGTTTCGGAGCAGCGTGGCTACAGTTGTGAGTTCAAAGGGTTGCCTTGGCCTCTCTGTCTGACGTTTCTCAAAAAAGAAAAAGAAAAAGAAAAAAAAAGACGTGACCCAACAACAGAAATCACAAAAAGAATAAAAGAAATAAAAGAAAAAGAAAAGGTGTATTTCTGCAGGCGGGAGAGCTCTAAGCGATTTCCTTCCCTGCAGTAGGGAAATCCAAAACGCAAAGACCAACACTCCGCTCGTTTGAGTATTTGCGGCGTATCGACGGTCGAGATGATACAGGCACATCTGGTGTCAGTCTCCCTCTCACTTGGGCAGACAGACAATCGACTGAGCTGTGATCAGCAAACCCTCAGTTCGCCTCAATCTATTAGCAGCAGCAGCGTTTTCCTCAGTGTGACTTGCACGTGCTCTGATTTTGATAGCCCCTCCGCCGTATTCACAAGGCAATGCTGTCGAAAGCGGAATACCATCCGAAACTATCCGGCTCTCTCAAAATAAAGCCAAGGCCATGCGTGAAAATCCTCAAGCGAGAAGAGAAGGTCACGAGAAGAGAAGGTGCTACGCTCGTCGCAGGAAGGCATCCAGATTAGATTAAACGCTGTGATCATCTCATGTGGATTTTTGGGACAGGAAATTTTGGGAGCCAACCGAGAGAAAGGAAAATCAGGTCACCACCGCCAGAAAAATGAACCCCGATGTCGATCCGATCGCAATAGACACAGCCATGTTTGTGCCATCCTTCCCGATCGAACCGGTTCGCGAAACTTGTCATGACTTGGTACGCCCTAAGCTGCTGTGGTCCTACTTGACCGAACCGCTGATCTTGGCAGAGATACAAAGCATTGCTCTTCGTCAAGAGAGAGAGACACAGAGGTTGAAACTCTGGACAACGGCTTCATGCATCTTGTTGGGAGGAAGCGGTGGCATGTTTTCTGAAGCTGCGTTTCGAGGTGCTGTTCCGGCGTCACGCGAACGACCCTGCAGCTGCTGCAGGCTCTCAAATCGATATTGAGCTTCATCGATACAGGCTTGGACGCAGACGACCAGATCAGCTGCTGTTAGACCGGCTCAAACCTTTCAGCGAGTTGGTAAAATTCGAGCATCGTCTTTCGGAACTCGGATGCACAGGCCGCGTGTCAAGCTCTGCAACGACCAACACTACTTTCTTCTCGTTTCCTCCACACAAGCACCTTGAACCTCCTAGCATCGCCCAGCACTTGACCCTCGCCTTCTTCTAAGCTTCACAGACTGGATGAGAACCACCTCCCGACCTACCCAAAGCTTGAGCGACACAGGATCATGTCCAATCGCCAACCACCACCAGCCACCCCCTCAACCTCCCAAATCACAGTCACCCCCCTCCCTCCCACCACCTCACCCATCCTCCCAACCAAAACAATCACAACCACCATCCTTGGCCATGCAACCACCATCATAGCTCAATCATTTACAGATCGAGTCTTCATAACAATAACCCAACTCTCCCGATTCGGAGTTCTCTACCAAGCCTCTACCTCTCCTTCTCCCTCTTCCCACACTGATGGGTCGGCGGCAGCTCCCACCACCACGGCGGCAAATTTGCCGCCGCCATTACCAACAACAATAGTAACAAAATTAGTGGGCACAGAACCTACGCCGGGTCATGTAGCTCTATATCAGCTCTATGTTAGTCAGGTGGCTAGCATTGTCCATCATGCAATGGACGCGAATGCAGGGAGGAGTGTGGTTGTCAGTCTGGCTTTGAAGGCGAGTGCGAGTGCGGATGGTGTAGGGAAGGAGAGGGGGACAGGGGGCGGGCAAGATTGGGACGATGACGAGGCGGGGGAGATGTTGATGTCGAGCGAAGACGAACGGCAACGATTCGTGGCGATAATGGGACTTGTACAGCAGTGTAGGGTTTGGTGATCATTTCAACGCATCGAAATTTATAGCTATCCACTCGTTCGCAAGATTGTGTCTGAACAAAGATTGAGATTGGCTGAACAAACACACGTGAAGTGACTAGAAAACAGATCTTCGAGTCCGAGCCGAAGAACTAGGATCAACCCTGCGTCTCCTTGTGCTTGTACTTCTACCAAAACCAGCAAAATTCCCATCATCACCGCCACCATCCCCTCCTCCATCGTCACTATCGTCGTCTTCATCATCGATAATCGTCGTTGTCATCCTTCCCTTTGTTGCTGGTGTTGCCTTTCTCCTACTCGTACTCGTTGGAGGGGGCATTCCTTCATCACTCTCCGCAGCTAGCGCTGCAATGGGTCTCTTCCTTCCCCTCCCAGCTCCTCCCGCTGCGGGTTGAGACCGCAATCCATGTTGACGCCTCATCAAAGTAGTCATATCTGCTGCATCCTCGTCTGATTCCATTGAATCGAGGTCCAGGTGGATGGCGCTATCCTCCCCTGGACCTGGATCCAGCGCGACTCTGGTCTTGCTTTTGGGCGGACGAGCTGAAGGAGTTTCCTCATCAGAGAGCGCAAGTCGTGAACCCTTCCTTTCGCCCCTCGAAGTCGCCAGAGAACCCGCTTCATCCTCCCAATAACTCTGTCCCAATCCATAATCGTTACTCTCAGGTAGAACCATTTCCACCCCCCTCCTCCCACTCCCACTCCCACTCCCTCTCTCGCCCGTCGCCCTCTTCCCTCTGAATTTTTTGAAATTAGGAACATCCCCCATATTTTCCCCAGCCCCATTTCCACTCGCATCCCTCTGCACCTTTTGACGAATAAGTGGCACAAAATCAACCTGAACAAAGTTCCCCCGTACATGAATCTTTAATTCTTCCTCAGCCATCGCTTTGAACGCTTCGTAGTCTTCATCCACCCCTCCGCCCCCTGCTGTTTTTTGCTGTGTACCACGAGCGAGGTTGAGAGAGGCTTGAGTGGAAGAGGAGGGTTTGGCGATTTGAAGACGGTTAAAATCGGCATCGAATTCGTCCATTTTTTTGCCTTTGGCTCGTTGGGTGTTGAGCGCTTGGAGGAATTGTGGTTGGGTGTCTGGTTGCGCTCCTTTCCCCAGGCCAGTGTGGTCGAGTGATGGGTCTGTGCGGATCACACGCGGTAGTTCAACTGCTGGTTGGGTGGATTCAGGTGCGGGTTCAGTAGCAGGGGAAGGCGCAGTTGTCCGAGGGCGTTTTGAGCTTCTCTCATTGCCCCTCGCAGCGTGGTCGGTTGGAGGTTGTGGTTGAGGAGGGGACTTGCGCTTCCCACTATCAGCCGACTGCTGTGCTTGACTAGCGTCTGAAACCTGCGTTTGTGCACGATCTTCTTCATCCAGATCCATCCTGAACCTTCTGCTTTTCGGAATGGAAGATCCTGCACCAGCATCGGTAGAGAGTGATGCGGAAGCATCAGCAAGATCCATGCTCTGACCTGCATCTGAACGTAAGATGGCATCAAAGACGTCGCTTCTTCGATGTGTTACCCGACTTGCGCCAGTGCGGCGTGTTAGCCCGCTACGCTCTTCGCGGGTGAGCTGTGACGATGCTTCTATACCGGCCTCGACAGAGCGGCTGGCTGAGGCGGTAGTGTCCATGGCCACGTTAGCCGAAGCGTTTGCTTCTGGGGTACCTCGGGTGAGGGGCTCTTCGGCTTGGTGTGCAGGCTTTCGTGTGCGACGTGTGAGAGGTCTTCGCTGTTGTTCGGTTGCTGTACTCGGCGGTTCTGCTGTCGCGGCTGGAGGTTGTACTTGTACAGGAGCCGCAGTAGCTGGTGGATCCATTGCAGCTCGCTCTGCAGGTATCTCTGGCCGAGTCGGACTGCGCTCCACCCTTTCAACAGCCGTCACATCCGCCGCAACTTCCTCTTGAGCAGCCGGCGCTGCTCCTTCAACCTCCCCATCCCCCTCCCCATCGCTCACAGTGGGTATCGTATTCAAATGTGCCCTAACATCAGCCGCAAAAACAGCATTCGTAATCGCATGAAACCCACTTGGCATAGCAATCCTCAAATTCCTACATGCCACCTTACACCCTTCCTTCCATCCCTCTTCATCATGAACCGCACCCACCAACACCACCAACCCTTCATCGGGAGCCTCACTTCTCGCTTTACTCCCACTATTCCTCCAATAACTCAGCGCGCTGTTCTTGTACGGCATCAACAACTGTGCGAAATCCGCCTTTGTCTTCAAGCCCTCTGCTTGTGGGTTGTGCGTGAACACATGGGCTCCGGCAACGCTGAGAATGCTCTTGTAGATCGACAGTTCCCCTTCTTCCACAGGGAGGGCGAAGAAGACACAGGTGGTGCCTTTGAGCATGTGCGTGCGGCGTTCTTCCGGTAGGAGCTTTGCATGCATGTCAGGGATTTCGGATAGTTCTTGTTGGTCGATGGAGGGTTGGTAGGTGGTGAGATCGGGTCCGGTGAAGGAGGTTTCGAGGGAGTTGGGATCGTGGCGTGGGAGATCGGCTCGACGGAAGAGTTCGGTGAAGTAATCGATGGTGACTATGGGTCGAGCTTGGAGCAGTGCGCAGAGGACAGATTCGGTGGGCTTGACTTGGATAAGGCAAAGATGTGTGTAGCCGTCCATCCAGCGAGACTTGGCGGGGGAGAGATGGATACCGAGCTTCAACGCAGCTTGGCGGAAAGGTGCAATAGCGTTCTCTTTGATCTTGGCGGCAAAGCAGATCGCCATTGGCTTCCACACCAGCCGTAGTGAGATGGTAGTAGTGAGTGCAAAGAAGTCTCCATCTTCGAGGACATGTTCTTGGTCTGCGGGCACTTGCACTTCGGTAGGATCTGTTGAGCCGGAGCGACGAGATAGTTGGGTCACACTAAAGGTCTTGCGGCTTTTGTTAGCCTCGAAGCGGATATTGACGCGAGGTCGAAGACGAACATCGTTATGAAAGGATAGTGGGTCGGTGACGCTGTTGACTTGGCTCGAGATGGTGTCTTCGGATGCTACGGTAATGTGACAAGATACACGAGAGACGAACTTGCTATCGATGACAATGTCGGCGGGGATCTTGCGACCGAGAGTATAGGTCTGACCGTATTTGAGAAGCTTGCTCAGCTCTTGGCGGCTGTCTTCGGCGAAGCGCCCTTCTAGCAGCCACATGAGCCTAGAAGTTTATGTCGCGATCATGTGATGGTGCAGTGTTGGACGATGGTGTTTGTAGGCGAACAAAGATGAATCATCAGCTCGAAGCGAGACAAGCGCGGCTACACCAAAGAGTGGCGCAGTTGAAGGCCTAACTGCGGCTGAGAAGGATGAGGTGAGTCAAGTGTCTGATGGAGTCAGGTTTGTTTCTCTGACTCGTACAAGTTGGACCCTACTTGTTCTTCTCTTGGAGGAAAGAAGCTGAGTTGTGTGTGTATGTGTGTGTGTGTGTGTGTTTGTATGGTGTGTGTGTGTATGTTTGTATGGTGTGTGTGTGTGTGTGACTTTCTTGCAGCAAGTTGAATGTGGAGTAGCAGATCGCGAACCCGATCTGACCGATTCCATGATCTTAAGTTGCCCGCTCGAGCCAACAACGAAAGCTGCACGGAATTCCAGCCGAATCTACACGCGGGCTCGGACAAAGAAACACGCAGTAGCAACAGCATCAACAGCTGAGCCAAGTCGGGAACAACATTCCAGATTGCGTCTGTTTCTCTCGTGTATCCATCTTTTGAACCTCTCATCTCTCTCTTTTGCAGCGTCCTAACCGCTTCACCATAGCGCACGATCGCGCGGCTGGGTGTAGGCCACGATGTACAACCACCACTCACAAGGCCGTTACGGCGGCTCAGGCTCTCGTTCCTCCGCCCCCGCCCTCGACACAGCACCGCAAGGCGCCCTCGGAGCACTCGCTGACTGGGCCGCTCGCAATCTCGACCCAGAACTTCAATCCTCGCCCGTATCCGTCTATGTCGAACGCTGCTGTCATCCCGCACTATCCCAACCCAATCTCGCCCTCAACCTCGAACTTGCCGACTATGTCAATCAGAAGAAAGCCAATACTCCCCGAGAAGCCGCTTTCGAAACCGTACGCAAGATCAACTCGCGCAATCCTCATGTCGGCATGCTCGGCCTCTCACTCCTTGATATATTGGTGAAGAATTGCGGGTATCCGTTCCATCTTCAAATTGCAACAAAGGAATTCTTGAATGAGATGGTGAAACGGTTCCCCGAGAGACCACCGGTGTTTCCCTCGCCAGTGCAGAGTAAGATCCTGGAGTTGATTCATGAATGGAAGTTGACGCTTTGTGTCACGTCCAAGCATAGAGAGGATCTGGTGCATATCAGGGATATGCATCGGCTATTGACGTATAAAGGGTACAGGTTCCCAAATGTCGATTCTAGGGCAGCAAGTGTCATGAACTCGGACAACAATCTCAAATCACCCGAAGAGCTGGAGGAAGAAGACCGCGCTGCACAAGGAGCAAAACTTCAAGAATTGATTCGAAGAGGAACTCCAAAAGATCTAGCACAAGCTCAAGAGCTCATGAAGATCATGTCTGGTGCCGAACCCGAGAACAAGCCCGATTACTCTAAACAAACCCAAAGAGAGCTCGATAAAGTTCAATCCCGAGCTATCTTGCTCAACGACATGCTCAATAACGCCAAGCAGGGGGAGAAGTTCGTTCAAGGTGACGCATATGACCAGATCGCAAGTCATCTAAGGAGCGTCCAACCAAGGATCCAGAAATGGATCGGAGAGGTGGAAGAGAGTAATGATGGATCAGACAACATGGATCGTCTCTTGTTGGTCAACGATTTGATCAATCAAGTGGCGGAAAGATGGGAGCAGTTTAAGAAGGGCAACTTTGATGCGAAGGTGGAGATCGATCCAAGCATTGATCCGAAGAAAGGGGGTGCTGATGCTGTGCCGACGGCTAAGATTAGTGATTTGATTAGTTTCGATGATCCTGAAGAACAGAGTAAGGGGAAGAGTGGAGCGGGGGGTAAAGATGGAGGGTCGAGTATTATGGATGACTTTGCTAGTCTGACGTTTGACGATGGACCCAGCGCTAGCACAAACAACAATGATGGCAAGAGTGCGGTGCCGACGGGATTGGGCGGTTTGCCAGCAGATCTTTTCTCGAATGATAGCGGAAGCTCGACACCTCAATCCGGTAACCCTGCTTCCGGGTTGGGTAACTGGGGTGCATTGCAGTTGCCAACCACTGCTACTTCTACTTCGACGAGCCCTCGCATCCCAGAGACTGGTGGTGCACAGCAGCAGGGTCAGAGTTTGATGGACTTGCCTGCTCCACTCACTCCTTCTAGCAGTGCCGGGAAATCGAACGGCCAACAACAGCAACAACAACAGCAGCAACAGAAGCCAAAAAGCAACGATCCATTCGCTGATCTAGATGCCATGTTCAAGTAGCTTTCTTCCAATTTTTCCGCAATGTTGTTCATCCCTTGTCACAACCTGATTCATTCGCTCGTGAGATGCTTGCAAGTGTGTTTCGTGAGTAGATGCGTTAGAGTAGAATGCAGAACAACAATGCTACAGCTATGACTATTCGAGCTCAATGGGAGCATCAGCGTTAGTTCCGTCTTTGAGACACTTGGACTCCTTTGTAGCTTGTATCTTTTGCTTCTTCTCCAGAGTACTTGCTGGCAAGGCTGCAGCAGCCGGTGCGGCATCATCAGGATGAGGCCGTTTCTTACCAGTCACAGTCGTCGCTGCTGCGGTTGCGGTCTTGAGCGGCTTAGTAGGAAGATGTACAGCATCAACAGCAACAATCACGTCATCGTCATCATCTGAATCGTCGTCATCCGCTCCACCGTTCTCTTCCACCTTCGCTCTTGGCTTGGGCTTGCTAATCTGCGTAGCCAACACCTTGATCTTCTCCTCCCCTTCCACCTCACCGACGGTAATGATGATGTTGACCGCCTGCAAAATCTGATCTTCATCCATCACCGTCAATATCGACCCTTCACCCAACCCTACCTCGTTCAAACTCTTGTCCATATTATCATCAAAATCAGGATCAGCCAAGATCCGAGTTCCATCATACACCACCAGCTCCTCGTCCCCCATGCCAAGCTTCTCCTTCACTACCTTCTCCACTACTTCCTCCAGCGTGACATCCTCCAGGCTTGAAATGGAAATGGGGATGTATACATCTTGACAAATTCCACATCGCGGGTTGGGCGCAGCGGGTGGCCAGCTCGTCAACATTCGACTGGTTCCACGAGCTAGCGATACGAATCGTGTTTTGGACCAAGACCCGCTGAGTGCGTGGAGAGCTTGGATGACGAGCATACCTGCAATGATGGCGTTGGTGGAAGCGATGGCGGGGATGATGTTGCCTGCCATCTGTTTGACTTCGAAGCGGGTTTTGCGGTCGATGTGGTAGACGATCGAACGGAGATTGGAGGTGGCAGTGACAAAGTTGAGGGCTTGATCGTCGTCTTTATCGAAGGACAGGGGATGGGTAGGGTCGGCGGCGGAACGGATTGCAAGGGAGGTGACGGAGGAGAGGAAGAGTTCGACGTTGTCTTGCAAGGTGAGGGTTCGCTGATCACGGAGGGTTGATGGATTGATTGTTGTTGCTGGTCTTGTTACTGTTGCCAGTGCGGATGCAGCATCGTTGCTGGCAGCAGGAGCGGAGTCATGGGTTGAGGAAGACGCAGCAGCAGCTGGAGCCTCACCCTTGAGTGCATCCTCGAACACAAGCGGTACAGGCTTAACGGGACGATGCGTCCACATCTCCTCCATACCCAATAGACGTTCGATATCGTTCTTGTAGACTTTGTTGAAGATGCGTTCTGCCACTTTGCGAACGGCTTCCTTCTCACCATTCCTTGCTGCCTCCACCAGTGCAGCTCGGATATCCCGCATCTCCCTCTGCTCCTTACGCAGACTGTTGATCTGCTGAGCATCCTCTCCATCTGCAACAGCCTTATCCAGCTCCGCGTCCTCCGTCTCATCATCCGAGCCGAAGAGCTGTGTAAACAACCAGTTCTTTGCCCAAACAATGCAGTGGATCGGAGTAGATGGCGTTGAACGGATGGTACAAACCGGAAAAGTCTTGGGCGTCGGTTTCTCGACACAGTCATAGCATTCAGTAAGGCCACGCTTGATGGGCTGCACTTGACCAAGGAAGCCCGTCGTGCCACTCTCGATGAGGGGAACATCGGCAGCAATGCACATCTTGTTGACCCATCGTCGAGCATCCAGGTTGTCGAGTGCATTCATGACGAGATGGAAACCTTGGAAGTAGGCGACGCCGAAGCGAGGCTCCTTGATATTGGCATGGTGAGCAACGATGTTGACGAGCGGATTGAAGGAGGAAGCAGTCTGCTTGGCTACGATGGACTTGGGCTTCTTGATGTGCTGCTTTTGAAAGAGGAACTGGCGGTTGAGGTTGGACAGGTCGATGGTGTCGAGGTCGATAATCTCGATGTTGCCAAAGCCGGTGAGAACAAGATTCTTGAGTAGCTCGCAGCCGATACCACCTGCACCGACTACGAGGACTTTGGCGGTGTTGATGCGGTGGAAGATGTCATCGCCAAGGATATCCTTGGCGAGGGCATAGCGAGCTGGCTGCGCATCGCCGTTTTGGATTGAGGTGGATGCTGCGGCTGTCATGAGGGAGAACAGCAGCAATCGTCGTGCGCTGAAAGCCTCTGAGTGACTACCCGGGAGTCGTGAGAGCAGACACAGTGGAAAGGTCGGAGGAATAGAGGAGTTGCGAAGACGACGAAGTGACTGTGGCGCGTGATTGTGGGAGGAAAAAGTAAAGCTGGAAGAAATGCGATCTTCTTGGGACAGTGGGAGGTCTCATTCAATTCTGATCTATAGGTCAGAGGTAGCCGCTCAAAGCTTTGAATGTGACTGATCTTGGCGTGTGTGCTCAGCGGACACGAATTTGTGTCGTGTTTGTGGAACAGCGGAGCGGAAAAGTGGAGGGTTAGCAGCTAAGAAAACAGGAAAACAGGTCGCACAGCCGCTGTCACAAGGCTTCGCTTTCCGCAGTCGGCCGTCGTCATCCAAGGTTTCTCATTCAACTTGAACGTTGAGCTTCAAGTTTGTCGAACTTGAGATTGCCTTGCTCCTCAAGATTGATGCAGAATCTCCCTTGGCCAGTACCACAGCTCGATCACGCAGGGCAAGCGGGACACAAGGCTGTATACATCTGTTGACGTGGCGACGTTGGAAGCAAGAGGCGCAGGCGAGCTTCTGTTCTTGGACCCTTGTTCTTGGACCCTTGCTAAGGCGAAGCCTGAAATGTTAGCTAGCGATTTGCTAACACCCCTTTGGAAGTTGTCGAAAAGCGACGCGAGCGATTGACGCTAAAAGCGCTCATCAGAAAGAGGCAAATTCAGAATTTGGCGGCAGGACACAAAGCGATTTTCGAATTTAGTATCAACAGCAAGGAAAGAGTGACGTTGCCTGTCTGCCTTGTCGGCGTCGCGAAAGGAGAGAGCAAGCGAAGAAGAAGAAGAAGAAGAAGAAGAAGAAGAACCACACAACGCTCAAGAAGAACAGAAGGGAAGAAAGAAAAAATCGCTCGTTCCAAGGTCGCCTGCTCATGGCCTTTTTCAATCCCAAACTGCCCCGCTCTTCTCGCTTCGAAGCTGCTCTGGGAGTCAGATTGCAGAGTTGTAAGAGAGCTTCTCTCCTCGCTCCTCCTCCTCCTTCCTCTTCTCCCAGATCACCGTATCAACCATCACGAACAACAAGTCCCCTTAACCTTCATCTCGAAGCAAACAACGTCAAACGCCTCGTCGACTCTTACTTAATACCAAACAAATACTCTCTCAACTTAAAGCCCCCCACCGGCACTCCATTCATCTCACTCCTGTGCATCCACCAGGAGTCAGCAACCCTGTTGAAAATCACCTCCTTCTCGTCTTCCTTCCATGCCTTCAGACGATTCAGACGATAGTAGTGGTAATAATAGTTTCTGCAGATACTCTTCGTCGTCATTTTCCCCAAGCAACCCTAGCAACATTCCTCGAATTGCCTCCTCAGTGATCCCAACTCAAGCCATTCAAGCTATCCTCTTGCCACTCCCTAAAGCTCCTGATCCGCCTCCCATCTTGCAACATATTCAACATCACCTTCATCTACCCTTTTCCAGCGCCCTCGACCTCCTCACTTCCGCACCACTCTACTTGCACCACCAGCCGAGATGACACCCGCCATCGACCTCGAAGCTACTGCTAACCGTCTCGACTCTTACTCGCCTGCTTCTTACCAGCTGCAGCACCAACACCAACACCATCATCATCACCTCAACCATCACAAGGATACCGCCGATCTCTTGATGGAAGCCAAAGAAGCTCAGCGTATCAAGACGCTCGAGATCATGGATGCCCGTGCTGAGCTTCTTCGATCTAAGCTCCAGGATGATGCTTCCAGTATCACTACTGCTGTCGACTCCAACAGTGGCAGCCCCGAGAAAGTTCAGGAGGACTTCCATGATCCATGCGGTCCTTTCGAAGGACCCGAAAAGCTTTTGGAGCTGTGGTTCGCAGAGGAACCTATCGACGTTAGCGCTTGTCGATGGGACGACCCTGATGCTCGTCCCAACCACTTTGGATTGCGTTCTGTCCCTAAGGCCGTTTGGGAAACCATGCTCGACATTGTCAAGTGCAAAGTTCTCAGCGTCATCGAGAGCTCCCACGTCGATGCTTATCTCTTGAGCGAATCCTCCATGTTTGTGTTCCCGCACAAGCTCATCCTCAAGACTTGTGGAACTACCACTCTTCTCCTTGGTCTCGAGAAGCTTCTCACTATCGCGGCTAAGGCTCTTGCCGGTCTCAACACCTCGGCTAGCTTTGTCAAGCTCACCACTGTCGACTCCAACCGCTCTTGCTCCGACAGCAACAACAGCACCGGCAGCGGCAGCGGCGATGAGCAGGACAGCGATGAAGCATCTACCGCCATGTCCGACTCTAGCTTCATTCAGGAGCGTCAACTCGGCTCGATTGTCAAGCACGCTTTCTACAGTCGAAAAAGTTTTATGTTCCCTGAGCGTCAAAAGGGTCCTCATCGCGATTGGATGCTCGAAGTTGCCGTTCTCGATCGATTCTTCGATCATGGATCGGCTTACACTGTAGGCAAGATGAACGGAGACCACTGGTTGCTCTGGATGGGATGCGAGGGTGCTCTTCAACCCCCCTCTTCCATCTCTGCTGATGCGGCGGTAGAGCGACCCCTTGCCCTCCCCGCACCATGCGTCGAAGATCAAACGCTCGAAATCCTCATGACGCACCTCTCTCCCGCCTCCTGCGCCCGTTTCGTGTTCGACGAAGCTCTCCCTCACCCCACAAACTCCGAGTGTTTCCCTCACAAACCCTTCTCCCCTCCCATCCTCGCCAACGAACCTTCCACCCTCGACAAAGGTCACGCTCTCGGTCTTGCCCTCTCCAACAAACTCGGTCTGACCGATCTTTTCCCCGACACAGAACTCGACGCATTCGCTTTCGAACCCTGCGGATACTCTGCTAACGCCCTCATGCCCCGCGGCGGCAAAAACGACAATGCGGGATACTGGACCATCCACGTCACTCCTGAAGAAGATAGTTCTTATGCTAGTTTCGAAACTAATGTAGCCCTCTGCTCTAACAGTGTCGATAGCGGCGTGGAGGAAGAGGGAAAGAGTTTGAGCTTGCCCACCAATCTGCCTTCGCTGGTGAGAAGGGTAGTGGACATCTTCGAACCGGGGAAAATGTCTGTTACGTTGTTCGTGGCTACTGCGGATGAAGCTGAGGAAGAGGCTGCCGCTGCGGTAGTGGAGAAAGGTGGGCAAGTGGCGCTGACCAATGAGGATATTCTGCACGCCTTGACGTTGAAGGGTTACAAAAGGACGGATAGGATCGCGTACGAGTTCGAGAGATACAACCTTGTTTTCGTCAGTTTTGAGAAGAGGAGGGCTCACTAGATGCCAACCTTCTTCTGCCAAAGGTAGATCGTTAGTTGCTATTTCATGCTTTACCTCGTTCGTTTGTTGATAGCTCCTATTCGAATCAGGCTTCAGATTGGGACAATTCCGATTCAAATGCACATCTTCTTCACGATCCAACCTTGCAATCTGACCCTATATTTTCTCTTTACTCCTCACACATCGTATTGCTGGACCGGGAACCTGAACATTGGAATGCACTTCCATGTCGCGTCAAATCAACCGATTGTGCACAAGGATACCAGCAAATTCATCAATCCCCACACTAGACCCTCCTACTATCCCTTGAGCAGCAGCAGCCCCTCTAATCGCCTGACCACTCTTCCTCTCCCCGTCCTCGCTGGCGGGAGCAAAAAGCTTGGCCCCTTCCTCCACCATCTCTTCGATCTCCTTCTGAGCTATCTTTTCTCTTATATCCTTTACAATCTGTGCTAATTGCTCCGTCCCAACCCTCCTCTGTGATAGTGGCAAGGTAGAAGGGGGGAGCCGATCGAGTAGAAGCTGGAATAGGGCGGCTGCCTTTTCGCGCTGTAGTGGGTTCAAATGGTTTGTCGATCGCATGGTGCGGCCGTCGGAGGAGGGCTTTTGGCGACGTTGACGTTTTGTTGTTCTCTCAGACCCGTCGTCGGAAGGAGAAGGTGAAGGGGAGGGGGAGGGGGAGGCAGCAACACGACCTCTTCTCCTTCGACTAGAATTTGGTGTTGCTGCATCTGTATCGAATTCCCCCTCGCTATCTTCATCGGTCAAATCGCTCCCAGTATCCAAGTTCGCCGCTTTCCGACCTGCTCTCCTCCTTCTCTGTCTAGCCACCGCAAAATCGTCTTCGGAATCATCGGCAGCATCACCGACCATAAACCCACCCCCACCCTCATCCCATCCTTCGGCATCGTCCTCGCCAATGAATCTAGCTGCTTTCTTCCTCCCCTGAACTGCTGCTCGACGAGTAGGTCTCCTCCTTCCACCCTCTTCTTCCTCCTCTCGTTCTGAAGCAGGGTGGGGAGCCCGACTCTTCATCTCATCCAACAACACCGATGCTACCTGCTGAAACTCCTGCCTCCCCACCACTTTTTCCGGTCTCACTCCCGCTGGTAGCCGCCGTCTTGAGGCTGTGGAGGGAACGTAAGCTGTCTCTGCAAAAAGGGAGAGGACTGAGAGATCGGATGAGTCCAAGCCGAGGTTGGCTAGTGCTTCCGGGATTGCGCTGAGTGGGATCGTCTTTACTTTCGTTGCTATGCGGATTGAAGATGAGGATAGTTCGTCATCCTTGTCGTTGTTGTCGTCAGGGAGGAAGCCTCCCCCACCAGCAATGGAGTTTTGATCATCATCGATTATAAAGCCTCCACCACCACCGGAAGTGACTTGATCATCGATAATAAAGCCATCGCCACCTGAACCGGAATCATTGCCATCGATGATAAACCCTCCTCCACCGCCGCCATGAAGTTCGGCCGAGTGTTTGGTGGGGACTGAGTCCGTAAGTGAAGGTCGAGAGTAAGGGTTGGGAAGAGAGTTCGGATCGTCCCCTGCTTCGATTCGATTTGTGCGATATGCGTCATCGAAGGCTGCATCAATGTCGTCCATCTTTACCCTACTCCCTCTGCTGTGTGATACTGGTGCAGGTATAAGCACTTGGTGGAAGGATGGTGCGAGGCAGACTTGAATGAGAAGAAAGTTGAAGGGTGCTGAGTCGCCTGTATGACAAGCTCAAAGTGGAGGTCTAAACCTCCCGTGTGTTAGGCCGCGATCTGAGGTGCGCAAAAGATTCCCGCACGAGATGGCAGTCAGGAAGAAGCCACGCAAAAAAAAAAGTGCCAAAGTGTCACTTGCAATTCGACTCGTCTTCAAAGGGTCCTTCTTTCTCACTTGCCTCCATCAGCATCACTCTCCCAGGCCGGACTTAGACACCATTGTCAACATGGTCGTCCCAACAACAACCAAAGCCCCCCATTCGGGCCCCAAACTCCCCCACCAAGCGCCCCTAGAATCCATCATCAAAGACAAACCTTCACAAAAACTCATCATTTCCCTCTCCCTCCGTCTTCGACGAGGTCAAATCACAACCCCTGAAGCCGTTTCCGAAGCCACCGCAAAAGCCCTCCGCTCTGTCGTATCCTCCGCTAAATACAACTCGATGCAAGAGTTGATCGATATTATTAAAGCCGCTGGACGATACTTACAGCTTTCGCAGCCGGCAGAGCAGAGTATTGGGAACATCACGAGGAGGGTTGTGCATTTGTTAAGGGAGGAAGCTAAAGCAGCATTGTTAGAGGCTCATGAGAAAGAGGTCGAGAGGGGAGGGATGGGAATTTTAGGTGGTGGAGGTAGTGCTGGAGGCAGTGGGGGCGGGAGTTTGAGTAATAGTATTACGGATCTGCATTTAGCTACTGCTTTCGGGGGTGCATCTACAGGGAGCTCTTCCAATTCTGTTCCTCAGCTAAGCGCTAGAAAAAGTGCAGGTCATTCACAATTCCCATCCACCTCCTCAATCTCAAGCACAGATCGCAACGCAACCAGACCAGGACCATACCCACTACGGTCAGCCACCGACTCCACCCATCACGGAGGAGCATTCGTCCATGGCTCATTTTCCATCTCCGATCTCGTTGCTGCTGGAGCTATGGCCGCTTCTACTTCGAGCAGTCTCGCTCACACTCCTAATGATGGAGGAAGCTATGCTTCCACCCCTCACGCTTCCCTCTCTAGAAAAGGCTCGGGGGTGTTTGATGCGAGTTTTACGCAATTCTCCCAGCAAATGTCCAGTGTGAGCTTGGCGGAGGATCCTGCGGGTGAGGCGGAGGCAGAGAGGGAACACAATAATGCGATGTCGAAATTTGCTTCTGCTCCTGCCGCCGACTCGGACTCGGACGAGTCAGAAGAAAGCAAGGAAGAGGATGGGGAAGGGGAAGGGAGATTGGTTACGGGGAAGAAATCAGCCGGGGCTTACTTCCTGAAGCCTCTGTTGATTCAGGCGATTCAGGATCTGATCGACGAATTGGAGACGGTGGATGATAACATTTCCAAAGTCTCCCGCGATCACATCCACTCTGGAGAAGTCATCCTCACTTTAGGCTCCTCCGCTACGGTTCAATCGTTCTTTAGCGCCGCCGCCAAGGATCGCAAATTCACCGTAATCGTCCCCGAAACAGCACCTTCTTTCTCCGGCCACGACCTAGCGCGATCCCTAACTCGCGCTGGAATCTCGGTCCTCCTCATCCCCGACTCGTCCATTTTCGGTGTGATGCCTCGAGTTAGTAAAGTAGTTCTCGGCGCACACGCAGTCCTCGCAAACGGCGGTCTAATGTCAAGTGCTGGAGCCTTCGCCACGGCGTTAGCTGCAAAACAACATTCAACCCCAGTAGTCATCCTAACTGGAGTCTATAAGATTTGCCCGGAGTGGAGCAGTATCCAGGACTTCGCAAACGCTTCGAGCGCCCTAGGCCCTGCGGCATTGTTCGAGTACGCTACCAGCAGTAGCATTGTCGAAAATGCCGAGATCGTGGCAAACGCATATGATTACGTCCCCCCACATCTGGTAGATGTTTTTATCACTAATGTTGGCGAACATCCGCCCAGTTATGTTTATCGCTTGGTGAAGGAGAACTATCATGTCGACGACATTATTCTATAGGCTCTAGGGCCAGATCGAACTAGATGGCGGACGGCTTTTAATTCGAAACCATTTCACACAAGTCTTGTTTCTTTCTCTGTGCGGGCGAGTGTGATCTGAGACGAGAAAACGTGCGAGGCAGCAAGCCAGAACACCAGAAATCTCAGGGCAAACTTTTGTTTGCACGCAACGCTCAAGCTCGGGAATCAGGGATGCTGCGTAAAACGATGCAATCCTAAAGCCATGTAAGTATGAGGGATATCTAGGATCGAACATTGTCCATAAGGCGGTATATGTAAACGGAAAAGACAGTGAGATTTGCTCAGAAGCGCTCCTTCGACGCAGTCAAAGCAGACACAGAGTTTGTTCGAACTGGGATGGGCGGTCGAGGAGCAGTTGTGGTGCCTGATGACTTCTGTGGACTGCTAGCCTCTGTTTTGCTGTGCAGTGTGGATTGACCTTGTTCTTCTGTTACAACTTTGTCAGTTGCGGGCGCAGAAGTCGTTGTCGGGTCCGATGACTGCTGGTTTGAGGTAGAGCCTTGCATTGCCGAAGCATCCAGAATCGTTGGCTTGTGATTCGTCGGCGTTGCAGCATCATCATCCGCCCCAGGAGCAGAAGAAGGTGGAGTTGAGTGGGTCGAACTTCCCGCTTTCTCTGTCCTCTCTGCTATGGATAACGAGCTTCGACCGTGCGTCGACACTGATCCCTGACCTAAGGGTACAGTTGCAGACAGAGGTGAATGTCTGTATGGCAGCGGCACACTTGGTGCGCGTGGGATTGGCGATGGACTCCTAGACATCCCTCCTCTGTCTCCCGCAGTTGGCAGGTTTAGACTCAGTCTCTGCCCTTGCTGTGCCCCCTCCTGCTTCGCTGCTCCAGCTTCAGGTCTGACATCCATCGTTGCTGATGGAGATCGTATGTGCTCTTTATCAAGGAAGCTATCGGATACGGCTTCAGCCTCGAGCTTGTCGATGAGCGCATTACTACTCGTACTAGTGCTCGCATGATGATCCAACGGCATGGCAACTTCCTCTACCACCGGTACCTCGCTGCAAATGTAGCCCTTGTTGACGGTCGCGTCGTTACCAGGCAGAGCCGCGAGAATTCTCTGCAGGTCACTAAAGAACTCAAGTCGAGGCAGACCGGCTCTCTTCCATCCACCCAATCTTGAGCCGAAAGCACCTCCTGTTGCTGGACCGCCCATCTCTGCGGCATCGCCATGCACATGTGCTGGAGACAGCTCAACTGGATTAGCCCGCAGTGAGCGGTCACGGTAGACATGCTCAGGATGCAGCTTCTCGTGTACCGTGAGAAGAAGACGGATGAGTTGTGCCCGATTGGACTGGAACTCGAACAGCAAGAGCACGTCGTCGAGTTTGCGTTCGAGCACGTCCCAGACGTCCGAGGGGTCAGGTGTGGGTACTGAGGATCGCCAGCGGGCACGGGTTCGCTCTGCTCGTTGGCGATAGCGGAAGGAGCTACCGCCGCTCATGTGAGGTGGCTCGACTGGAGCAGGTGAGGTGGATGTGGGAGGCAGAGTTGGGTCACCGGAGGGATCAATGGGGGCTAGGAGGCCTAGTGCAGCCAGATCTTCGCGTCGAGCCGTTTCCATAAGATAGTCGAGGGAGACAACACCAAGCCACAACTTCCAGAGATCCATTCTTTGACGATCGATCTTGCAAGCACGAAGGACGCGAAGGACGCGAGCAAAGTTGATCTCGATGAGAGCTTCGCGTGTCAGCTCGTGGCCTTCCGTGGAGGTTGCTGAGAAAGGCTCTTGCAGGCGTGAGGAGCTGGTGTTGCTTGTCAACCCCAACCCAGATGCCGAGGTCTCCCCCTTCTCCACACCATTAGGCAAGGTTGGAGCTTCTCGTGCTTCAGCTCCCTCGAACCGGATCGACTTGCTGGCTCCCAAGAAACCCGACGGGATTGGCTGATGCGACGGCGTCGCTCCGTTCTCGCCTGCTGCAGCACCTTGCCTGTTCAGCGCGCCCAGCTGTCGCTGCTGAAACTTCCTTTCCATCGTCCGCAACGTCGTCGTTGCAAACGCCATGTCCTCATCCTGCAATCTGTGCTTGACAAAGTGCCAGCTGATGAAAGGATTTCTCGCATCCACTTTGTTGATCTTCAGCATAGCCCGCTTGTACGAGCTCTGACTGGCCGTCAGGCCGGTGGGCGCGCGATGAACTCTAGCTTCGCGATCCATAGCGATGATACTCGGCAAAAGAGACTTGAGTTCGCGTATCGTACCCGTGAACTCTCGGGCTTGCTTGCGTGCGCGTTGACGTTGACGCGGGTCTTTGCTCTTGGCCGGGTTGGGCCCGTTGGACATGCCACCAGGTAGGCGACCTGGAAGGAAGCCGGATGAACGTCCGAAAGCGGGAGCGTAGAGCATCTCATCATCTTGGCTTGACGAAGAGTCACTCTCATCTGAGCCGCCAAACGAGCTTTCATCGTCCAACTCGTCATCGCTCTTCCCAGACTTGACTCCATTCTTGCCCGGAGACAGGGGTGTCTTGCCCACACCATCTGGTATAGGAAGATCCTGGACAGGGGTTCCAGCTTTACCCTGCGTAGGCACTGGATCGCCACCCTTGGGCGCATTCGGATTTGTCAATGGCTTCCTTCGACGCAGGCGGATCCATCTCCTGCGCCTCACGAACGTCCACGCATCCGGCGAACCAGTCCACTTACTCGACCTCGCTCTGGCAGATCGCTTGATGGCTTCAAAGCCGTCATCTTCCTTTGTGCTCTCTTTCTCCTGTCGCTTCTTCTCTTTCGCCGCATTCCTTGCATTCATCTCGGCGATGCCATCTGCGCCCGTCTTTGGTAAACCGATCCTGCCATGCGGGAAATGAACGTTGGGCCAGAACCTCCGGCCAAAGTTGCCGCTATACTGCCAACCAGCCTCATCAACATCCCCTGTCATGTCGATAAACCATTCATGATAGGCCCATTCCCACGAAGGATCTGGGAGCTGAGCATTGGCAATGTTGTACGGAGATCGCTTGCCATTTGCAGACGTCCATGGCGAAGGGTCCCACTGAAACAGCGTGCGATAGCTGAACTTGGGAATACCAAAGACCAGCAAACCACGCTGATTCTCGTAAAGCACGTCAAATTCGTACTTGACTTTGGTGGCATCGGTGGGCGCTTCTTGCTGAGCATGCTTGGCGAGCAGTGTGTCGAGCTCGGCATCGGGATCAGCTTTGTTGGCTTCGACTTCAGCTGCATGCTCGAGGGCAGCCATCTCCGCTTCCCACTTCTTCCGACGACGACGCTTGATGACGTCAGGTGCGTGCAAGTACTTGAGGATGCTGTTGCGGGAGCTAAGGATAGAGCGATCAATCATGCTGGATCTGCGCATCGTGCACGTGCCGTCGCCATAGTTGGGATCGTCTTCGTTGTCGACAGTCATGGAGCTTCTTCGACTGCTGGCGATTGTCGCCACTGACTCGCGCCTTACGCCGAATGGGTTGCTGAATGGGTTGCTGCTCCTGGAAAGGGATGGGGTGATGGCAGAGAAGGGCGACATGCCTCGTTCTGCACCGCCACTCTGTGCAGAAGTACTTGGCGGCAGGTCTGTGGTCTGCAACGACAGCTGCATTGGATGCGGCGAGTACCGATCCATCGCGCGACGGTTTCGGCTTTGGCTCGAGGCGTAGTGGAGTCCCTTGGAGACGCGAGAAGAGACCTTGTGACCGAGCTGACCCACTTTGCCATGCATATGGATGAGATCATCGACCGGTTCGCCATTTGCCTTCCTGCGCTGAATCTCGCGTCGAATAAGCTTCTTGCGACGCTTGAGCTGGTCTTTGGTCAGAGTCTCGCCGTGTTCTAGGTTCAAAGAGTTGAGCTGAAGCATGTTGTCGCCTCCCTCATCTGAGTCAGAGATGACAGCGCTGTCATCAAGCTCATCATCACTAGAGGCGTCCGAGACCGAGGAACTAGGAGCCGGCGATGGAAAGCCGTGAGCCTGTGATGGAGATGCGACGATTCCTGGCTCATGAGCATCAGGCTCGTCGCACATTGGACCGGCGATGAGGCTCGAAGCAGAGTCGCTAACTTGCTTGGGTTGTTCTGCTGCTGGAGTGTTGCCTGGACTGTTACCATCGCTAGGCTGGCTGGAAGACATGCTGCTTGGGGTGTGATTGTTCAAGCTTCTCGAGAAGGGTAGAGCCGGATGGTTTGGTGATCCGGGGGCAGGACTCTCGCTTGCTTGATGAGAGTGGCCTTCCTCGTCTACTACTAGCAGCTCTGGACCTGAGCTCGGCGCAACTCGAGACTTGGGGCGATCAAGCCCAGTGGTCGGAGTGCCATCACTGGAGATGCGGGGCTGCCCTTGGACAACTGGGGAGGAGACAGCGCTCTTCAACGCTGCTTCTGGTGGTGGTGTTGCAGTTCCAGTACGGAAGCGCCGCGCCAACGAGCTCCCTGGCCGACCGATCGAAAAGCGAAAGGGTGTATCCTCATTCTGTGGAGACACCTCGGTAGAGTCAGGGTGGTTACGAAAGCGACCTTTGGCGCGTGAGGCAGCATCAAAGACTTTGGTCACAACCGGGTTGCCCATGATCATGAGCTTAACCTCGCCTTTGGTACTAGTTCGGTCGTCATCACGGAACGCATCGTCGCTGCTATCATCGTCGGAAGAGGCGCCATAGGCACGTCTGCGTAGTCGACGGTCATTCTGCCCAGATGCCTTGGCGACCAGAGTGACACCAGTGGACTTTGCCCAATTCTTCTTTTGTTTTTGTGCTTTTGCTATGCGGTCGAGCTTGTCGCGAGCTGCTTGAGCATCTTGGTCTGGAGCTCGCCTCGGTAGATGAGAACGGGCGAGCTCAGGGTTGACTTGGATTCTCGTGCCATCACGCTCGTTTTGAGGACTATCGGTGGATGAGCGGGTATATTGCAAGACAAGCGCGTCTTCCTGCAGTGGGTGGAGGGGTGTTGGTCGGACGGTAGCAAGAGGCATATGTGGTGATGGTGGTGCCTGTGCCGATGTTGACGCCGACGCTGGCGTTGAGCGGCCTGGAGACTGCATTGTTGATATGCTGCCCGAATGCTGATGTCGATGGGACTGTCACGCGGCCTCAGGCAGTTCTGCCGTCAAACCGATGCGAATCAGGTCGAGGCAGGAGCTGATGTTGTGCCGCGCATTGTGCTGTTGGTGGTGGGAGAGGTGCGATGCAAGGGCTCGTGTGTTAGCTCCTTCGCAATGCTGCGCTTGGGTTGATGGCGTAGAAAAGAGTGATGGCGTAGAAGGGGACGGTCGTGATGTTGCACAAGTGTCACTTGACCGATGCTTCCAGGAGGTGTTAGCCAAGAGTGAGAAAGTGTGTTTTGTGACTGCATTCGACACGCAATTCAGGCACTGTCTGTCTGTTTGCAGTGATGTTGAAACGTTGACGCTTCGAAAAAGGCAAAGAGAGGGGCTACGCCGCTGTGGAACGAAGCAACATGCATGTTTCCAGTGAAGCGAGCTCAGCCTGCATTTTATGCCCTTGCAACTCCACTTTACGCGAATCGAGATCCCCGATTTCGGTGTTGAGCTAAGTTAGCAGAAGAAAACATATGACGTTGATTGTAAGAACACTTTTCTACAGCAAGACACCCAATCACTCAAGCGCAACAACACCTTTCATAGCATGGAAGGCTCTCCAGCCTCACAGCATCCGCAAGTGTTCTGAACATGGTTTTAATGATCAAGTCGTAGAGTACAATAGATATGAGTCCTACAGATTACATGCCACGTAAAAAGAGCTCTGATGTGCTGCTTGGTTCATCTGCGAGCGGGCCCAAGGTTCATGTTCAGAGGCGTCGGGCTAGGGGCGCTGTAGGTGTCATCACGATCAACTAGAGGTCTTCCGCCATGAACGGTGCCCATCTCATCGACGTGGCCCCACACCTTGAACGAGTCATCGCCCCTTGCGTCACCAGTGGCAGCAGCTGTTGATCGAGCAGGAACAGCGCTGCTCGAAGAGGTGCCACGAGTGCCCCTTCCAGCTGCAGCCGTACGAGGCTCGGCAGGAGCTCGTACACCAAACAGCGTGTCGTCTTCGATGCTGCGACCAGCCTGCTTGGGTTGATTGAACGACGAGATGGTCGAGCTCGTCCAGCCCGAGTTGTCCGGTTGGCTGTTGTTCCCCGATCGACTGTTGCTCGAGACCGAGTACTTGGCTGCTGAGGAGAGCATCGAACCAGCAATGCTGTCTCCACCGTCATCCGATTCGCTCTCTGACGACTCGTCATCGTCATCGTCGTCATCATCATCATCATCGTCGTCATCATCATCTAGCGGAAGTGGGGCGACCGCCTTGAGATTCAACCCGCCAAAGCGTTGGTGGACGTCAGCAGCTGAGATGGCATCTGCTTCGTTGAGCTCGAGTCCTTCGTCAGCGTCCATCAATAGCGCAGCCGAGCTGGCGTTAGCAGACGAGCCTCCAGGCTGGCTTGCGCTCGGTGTAGCTTCCCTTGCGAGACTGGGACCACGTTTTGTGAGCGTTGGTGGTGTCGGGATCGAGTCTCGTCGCCGTCCTCCGCCACCGCTTTGCTTCTCGCGCTGCTTGAGTTCCTTGCGGTCCATTCGCAGCGGTGTGGCTACAGGTTGCTTGCGAGAGCTTGCTCCATGTGCCGCTTGTGCTTCGCCAGCCCTCGACTTGGACGAGCTCTTGGGCCACACTCTTGATGCTGGGCTAGATGCGCCAACACTTCGAAGTAGGTCATCGACCATCATCTTGGCCGCCTCCTTTGCAGGTGTTTGCGCATATCGACTCTGAGGCACCGAGAACTGCATCGTCACGGGTGGCGACATGCCAGCCGGCCATCCAAGCGAGTCCTCCTTGTCTGACGAGTCCGAGTCGCAATTTTCGTCGTCCTCCGCCTTTGATGACGCCTGCTTACTTACGGACGCAGCCTTGCTGGATTTGGCACCCTTGATCTTGGAGGTGAGCGGAGTCTTGCGCAGATCGACAATACCATCCCACATGCGCACGTTGGGTGGAGCGAAAGGATTCGACTTGGACTGTGAGCTTCGTGGTGTGGCCTGAATCTTGGTGTAGCTCAGACGACCCTTGTTGCGCTTGTGCTCCGAGTCGAGCACTTTGTTGAGTAGAGCATCCTTCTTGGGTGTAGACGATGTCTTCATGCGACCAGCTGATGCCTTCGACGAAGCTTTGAATTGGGGAATCTCATGGAGTGATGAGATGTTGGAACTGTCTGGGTCTCCCTGACGTCCGCCTCGTGCGGCATGCGTAGATCCAAACTTCTCGATGCCCTGAGCCAAAGCTGCACGGTCTCGCTCCGTCTCTAGGTTGCCAAACGCGCCCTTTGCTCCCGCTTTCGAGGATGCCAAGAAGGAGCTCTGATCCATGCTTGGATCAACCATACCTCGTCCAAGATGCGAAGTAATGTCGCGACGCAATCGCTCGAACGGTGATTCGGATGGGTCAAAGATGTTTCCTTGATCCTCGCGATTTCCTGGCTTTTGTTGCTTGCCTCGCGCCGCTTCCCTTCGTGCAGCTGCTGCCATGGATGCGTTGCTGAAGCGGGGCGGTGATGCAGCACGCGCACGATCCGCTGGTGCCTGCTCGACACTCTCGTTTGCTGCGTCAAGCCCATCGGCATCCATACTGTTGGAAGCGATCGAAGCGTCCATATCGGTATAGATGACAGAGCCTGCCTCTGAGGGCGGGCTACGTCCAAGATGGTCGCTGGTGAAGGTGGCGTTCTCACGCGAGTCGTTGCCGGTCTGAGTAGCATCGTCCTGTTGCGAGTTGGCATCGAATTCGGATTCGGTCTGAACATGTGCTGTGAGCGAAACGTTAGCCGAGACCTCGTAGAACGTCTTCCAGAATTTAGCGCCTTGCCAGACACGCGCACTCGCGACGCCGTACTCCTTGACGGCTGGAAGGATGCGTGATGTGACGATCTGGTGGGCAGTAGCAAAATTCTGATCGATCTCTTGTAGTGTGAGTGTGATGGCCTGGTCGAGCTGCATGATCTGCTCGGTAACCGAGTGTTGTTGGTTGGGCAGGGCGGCATTATGGCCCATAGCTGCGGCATGCAGCGACTGGCGTGGATGGAGGGACATGGTGGGAGTGGATGAGCGCTCAACGGCGAGAGCGTATGTAGTTGGCTATTGTAACGGCAGGGCGGAAGAAAGGAGTCGTCAGGCGACGTGATGTGTCCAAGGTGCGATAAAGCAAAGTTAGGGTTCCTTCGATCCTCGTGTGTAGCGGAGGCTATCCGATCCAGAATGGTATTTGCGAGATGAATTGACGAAGAGCTTAGAGGGTGATCATGGTTGACGATGAAGCTTTGCTTGAACTTGAGATCTGTTGTTCTCTGTGTTTTTTTCCCTTTCCTCGGCGCGCGCGTGCAAACTTCCAAGGCACTTGAACAGTGTGTTTGTTGCTTGCAAACAAAGTGTTGTTCAAGCAAAGCGAGACGCGTCGCGGCTTGTTCAGCTCGAGCGACTCAACTCAAAATCGGCAGAGGAGCAGACCAACACTCGAGAGCAACACACATATACACACACACATATACACACACACATATACACACACATATATACACACACACATACACAGCCACAGCCACAGCCATAAAACCCTCGTCAGCCTTTAGTGCTTGCAAGACCGCTCTTATCATCTTACTTATTTTAGTTGTGCAAAGAGTCATCCGGTCAAGATCAGGACTACATTTGAAACGTCACTCTGATCAAACAATACTGACTCGGTCTTTGTATCCAGTGCATTAGAAGAAGAAGACATCGACAAGCAAAAAGCGAATAGTACCTACACAAAAGAGCAATGTTAGAAAACAGGACAGATGACAGAACAAGAAACAGAGTTGCGTGCGAGACCTGGACGACGAGACAAGAAACAGAGTTGCGTGCGAGACCTGGAGGAAGAGACAAGATAGCAGACTGGGAAAGCGACACATGCGACGGTGACAAGGTCATACAGAAGTATGGAAGAGGAACAGACATGGACGAGAGGGAATGAGAGCAAAGTGTATTTATATCAGCGAAGGGATGAGGAAGTCAAGCCTCAATCGCTCCCTCGTTCGCAGCTGCTGTAGCGGCCAGCAGGGAACGCAAGACAGTCTTCATCGTCACCACATGTCTAGGCATGCCGTTCTGCATGACCTCACCAAAGAAGCCAGAGACGAGCATGTTGGCAAAGGGAGACGAAGGCGAACCTGCTGACGAAGCACTCGAGCCAGGAGTCCAAGCGCCTTGGCTTCGGAAAGCGGCCTGCGCTCCCAGCTGCCTAGACATGCCAGCAGACTCCTCCATGGAGAAGTGGGCAAGTGAAAGGGATCGCGGACGATGGGTTCGGGCTCCAGAGGGTGTTCGCAAATGAGCAGACATGGTAGCAGCAGCAGCATTCTTGCTGCCGGGCAGAGAGCTGACAGAAGAGGAGAGAGTTGGCTCGGGTTTGCTGCTCGCTTTGCGCTCTCTGGGTGCGTCAGTGCTACCACCGAGCGCAAAGTTGGGCAGAGCAGGTCGTCCAGCTTCATTCGAGGCAGCGCTGAAGGAAGATCGAGGCGCCGTCCAGAATTGTGTGGAAGCTCGACGATGCTTCTGAGCTGGTGCTGGTGTGAAGCTCACCGACCTGCTGAGCGGCATCATGTCTGCATCGAGCGACAAGGAGGGAAGCTCTTTGCTTGGAGATGCAGAAACGCCAGACAGAGGCGGCGTCATCATCACGCGAGGCTCGTCTGCCACAAAGAGGCCTCCAGCTTCGGTTGCAAGCAATAGCGCAGCAGCTCTGCCCACTGTGGAGGCGTTGCTGATGTAGATGGCAGGGTGCGCATCCTTACCATCAGTGCCTTGAGGACGCCTCGATCTGAGGTTCTTGACCAGTGATGCCAGAGGTGTGGTGAGGATTTTGCGTGAAGACGACCTTAGAATCTCTTGTGAGATCTCACGAGAAGAGATTGGCGAGATGAGACCTCCAACGGGATCCATAACAGCGAGGAGGGAAAGTTGTTCAGACTGCATGCGAACCAGAGCGTCAACTGTGCTCCTGTCTCCAGAGATGAGGGCAGCGGGCTGTTGCAGATCAGTACCTGAAAGGACATTGAGAGGGTGCGAAAGAGCTGTGACCAGTGTTGAGTCGCTCTCAGCCTCAGCGACAAGGAAGGCGACGACATCAGCAGCAGTGAGAATGCCACAGACTGCGCCGTCTTGATCATTGCTGAGATCGGAAACGACAAGGCAGCTAATGTGGTCCTGGCTCAAGTCGAAAAGGATGTTCTGAAGAGGGGTATGTAGCGATGCATGTCGCAGAGTGTTCTTGCCCGAGAGATTGGAGATCAGTGTCGCAGTGACGGGCGTCTTTGCATCGAGTAGAGCGCGAATATCTTCAACTCGGGTTTCGGATTGTTTGGTAGAGGCTTGCTTGAACGAGCCATACAGAGATGGGCCGGTATGAGGAGACGTAGGAGGCGAGGCAAGATCGTGAGGGGCATCAGTGAGCTGTGAAACGGGAGTGCTCTTTGATGCTTGTGGAGCGAAGACAGCAGCAAAGAATGCAGCGAGGTCTTGGAGCCCGAGCAAACCAACACAGTCTGACTTGCTGAGCTTTGATGTGGTGGCCGTAGCTGTTTCAGTGTCAGCATTGTTGCGCTTCAGGATGATCCATGTGTCGGCGTCATCTGACTCAGCAAGACGTTGGCCAGCTGACTCGATGCTGACATTCTCGGGGAAAACAACTAGGCTTGAAGGGGCGCTGGAGCTGCAAGAGAGGACATCTTGTGCTGTGAAGCTCGCTAGTCTTTGGTTAAGCTGAAACGCTGCCGAGGGGTCTTTGGCAGCAGAGAAGGGGAAAGTGGTGCTGTTGGTAGGAAACTGATTGCTCGGCGAGAGATGAGAGCCTGCATCGGAGCGGCAACGAAAGTGAGATCTCGGAGAAGAAGAAGTTGGATGCGACGATGTGGGGATTGAGATGGGTCTTGACTGTGATCGTGCCGCCATTGCGACGAGTGAGCTGTCAGGCGGTTGAAATGAACAGGCAGCGAGCGGCTACCCAGCTAGCGTCGCCGAAGCGTCGAGGGTTGGAGAAGCTGAATATGTGACAGTTACTATCTAGGTGCTCTTGTACCGCGAGGATCCTCTGCGTGTATGCTGGGGGATATCAAATGAGCGATGATCGGGTTCCTATCTTTTCCCTATGGTCTTGGAGAAGTGCTAGGCTCTGGTGTATGGTCCGCTGGTCACTACGAATGGTCTGCTAGAAGTCCTAGTAAGCGGGCGAGGGGAAGGAGGCGATGATGTCGAAATGGCGAAGGTGGTGGAGGATGGAAGAGTTGACGAGGTTTGACCAACGAAGACGGGGCTTTCAAACCCACAAGCGCACACACACACACATTCAGAACACAGAAACATGTCACAGGACCTTGCGGTCAAAGAAAAGGGCTCGGACTGTATGCTGTTTCGACGACTAAGTTACTGTAGCGAAGCGAAGGCGACAGACACCCAAAAAAAAAAAAAAAAAAAAAAAAAAAAAAAAAAGTTGCCGAGGTATACTACGACATCTTGGCGGCGGTGCAGACAAGCTTTGGCTTTGTGGATAGTGCCGAGTGTGGAGAAGAGCCCTGCTTTTTTTTTCATTCTTTCTTGCTGTTGTTCCTCTCAAGACATGCAGCAAGAGCTGAGACAGCGTTCGTCATTCCCAGTGAAAGTCGAAGGAAGCAACTTCTCACCTCTCAGGCCGGCCCAAACTCTTTTCAAGGAGGCCAAAGCTCAGGCAGGTCGGTGGGATGCCTCCTCTTTTTGTCTGGCTCGCGCAAGCTGCAACCAAATGCAGGGCCCAGTGCTTGCAGCCGGTGCATGAAAAAGAAACCAACTTGCCTGGGTCTCGCAGCAGAGGAGAAATGAGCCAAGCCTGGAAAGCTCGCTCACGAAAAGACTCTCAAAACGGCGGAAGATGAAAATTCAAAACGCGGCTGCTAAAGAGAAGGGCTCCAGACTTGCCATTTTTATTTTTTTTGTTTTTTTTTGTTTTTTTTTTGTTTTTTTTTGTTTTTTGTTTTTTTCATTTTTGTTTTTTTTTGTTTTTTTTCCAAGGCTGTTGGTCGAGACTCGCGTTTATCTCTTCGGCAGTTCAGGAGAGTGTCTGTTGTTGCGCTCTGGCCCTTGTTGCCATTGTTCATTGCAGCCGAAGGCGTCGATTTCTTGATTGCGATGCTGAAAGTTATACCAGGGAACGAGAGAAGAGACACATGGCTGCCAGTCTTCCTCTCTCTCTCTCTCTCTCTCTCTCTCTCTCAGATGAAGCCACGTTGCTGTGTCGTCTTATTGTGGCTGCCGTATGCCGTCCAAAGCTAAAAAGTGTTGCATGACCGGCCAATGCGAACCATCAATTCATACCATAGCATAGACAATACGAGAGCATTAAGAAAGATTAAGATTGCGGGATGAGCGTAAAGACAAGGGAATACAGGGTGGGAAAAAGACTTGAAGAAACGGCAAGATTCTGCTAAGCGAGCAACTGCGAGAATGGTGGTGATTGGAGAGAGAGCATTCTGTAGCTGCGCGATCACTTGGCAGAATCTCTGACTACGGATCACATCACACGACTTCTTGTCACGTGATTACCAAACTCCATCTGACACAGAGCAGCAACCATAGCCGAACAATAAGCATGGATGGTGACGCAGCCATCCGCCACTTCCCGTAGCAATTCTGTGCGCCTGAGTGTTGCTTTTGTCTTCTCAGCCTTCGGCAACTTACTGTCTTCATTTCCCTCGTTGTCATCTGAAAGGAACAAGCCACATTCAGTAGATTGAGTTTCGGAAGAAGACAACGGCAAAACAGCCACAAGACAGAATCCAAAGAGGTTTTCCAGACCGGCCTGTCCATCACCGTCATACCACCTCCGTCTTGAGTCGTAGCTTCGAAGCGCTCCTTCTTACTAATGTGACTACTGTAGCGCCAAGGACGTCGAAGAGGAGATTCAAGAAAATGGCATGAAGCACGACTGTGTGGCATGGCTGCAGACCGCTGCTTCTACAGTATGCACAGCGAGCCGTCTCTCCTAGAAGCAGAGTCAGGTGCTATGCGCATTCTCTCTCTGGAGTCTATCGCAGGCTAGATGACGAAAGATGAAGGAAACATTTTAGCCCAAAAAATTCTCGCGACCTAACAAGACGGCAACGGCAAAGGCCACATGACTCTGCCTTGACCGTCTCCCGAATCAAGACTCTGCGAAATGGATCTTCTTCTCCCTTTTTCTCCCCTTTTTCCTCCCTTTTTTCCCCTTTTTTCAGTTGAAGTAGATAAAGCCGCACAAAGCGTGGAGACAGTGAAGGTAGTGCTTACGGCCGAGTAAAAGGCCTGAACATCTTAGCACGGACCACATGTGTCACAACCTACTCAAGGCAAATGCTTTGTTATGCTCCGCAGTCAATGCGGCTCTCCGCCGCTCTTCTTTTGTATATATAGACTCCTAGCTCTCTCGCTCTCTCTCTCTCCTACCATCATCATCAACCACTGACGACTGACTCCAATGCACTGACGAATGACTTCAACGCACCGACGAAGGACTTCAACTGATTAAGAGTCTGACACTCAACGCAATGCCGCCATCGACAAGAGCTGGACAGACGGGAAGGGGCGATGATGATCAAACGACCCCAAGCAACGGACAGGAGGAAGGATGGCTCACGCAGGTAGTCAGGATCCTCCAGCTGGCGAACCCAGCACTAACGGCCGAGGAAGCAATCGTACGAGCTATGGGTCTCATCAGCATTAGCAACCAGACCCCGCGCAGGGAAACCGAGAAGATCCCCAAGGAGGTGTCGAGCGCCATTGCGCACATCAAGAAGCTCAGCGACAGCAACTGGCACACTTGGGAACCTACCTTCATCGACTGCCTCCAAAGAGTACATAATGCAAAGGAGATACTGTATGGCACGGTAGCGCCTGGAAACGAGGAATACGACGAAGACTTGGATAAAGCCCTCGTGGGCCTCATCCACGCCTGCTGTGACAACAGTCCAGACAGCCGTATCGACACCTACACCGTCAGGGGAGTGGATGAAGAAGTCCAACTCGGTAGCACACTCTATGCCAAGCTCAAGAAGGCACTAACGTTGAACGACGCTGTAAAGCGAGCAGGACTGCAGGATCGTATTCACACAGTGCGCTTGCACAATCGAGACGTTGTCAGGCTAGGCAAGGAACTCGATTCGATCTGGAACGATGCAGCATGCCTGGGAAAGCGTTTCGACGAGGACCTCAAGAAATCAACTCTCTATCGCTGCACGGCCCAAGATTGGTTCTATGCCAACACCGTCGACGCACTGAAAACGGCCAGACCAGACTGTAAATATGACGAAGCCTACCACGCACTCGCCAAGAAACAGCAGGATGGTGAGGTCACCGGCCGTATTAGAGGAGCAGCAAGGGTTGCCACAAGCACGGACCAGGCGGAGCAAGGACCCAGAGGCAGGCGCGATCCTCGCAACCCCTCGGCCCCTCCAAAGTGCTATGCTTGTGGAGGACCTAATCACATTGCTCGAAACTGCACGAACACCAACAATAACCCCGCACCTAGTAGAGACGGACCCACCCCCAATCTGGCACAAGAAGTGAACCACTAGGAACTCGGGTGCACCTTTCTAGCAGTCGACAGGGGCGAGTGATCAGCATGCGACACCTGGATCATCGATTCAGGTGCAACCCATCATATGGTAAATGATGAGAGAATGCTGCTCACCTCAACGAACAAGGTCGGCCAAATCAGTACGGCAGGGGACGAAAAGCTTCAGGTGAAGGCTATAGGAGATGCCTCCCTTCGGGTCGGTGAGGCCACCATCCAACTATTGGATGTGCTTTATGTACCGAAACTGAATGCTAACTTATTGTCCGTACAAGGCTTGATCAAGAATGGTGCACGAGTAATCTTTGATGAGTTTGGAACTACCATAAAGCAGAACGATGGTACCCAAGTACAATTCAAAAGGGACAGAAGACAGGGCCACTTCAAAGTGCGAGGACAAGCACTGGTTTTGGAACTGGAGGAAACACGAGATGGCGTCCCAGAGGACAACCAGAACACAGGAAAACTAGATAATGCCCCAGAGGGCAATAAGGACATGAAGCATCAAGACAGCTACCTATGGCATGAGAGGTTCGGACACCCAGGACGAGACAAAACGAGACAAATCCGGGCCCATTACCTAGGTACCGACGAGGAAATGGAACATGAGTCGAAGCACTGCAACGCGTGCAGTCAAGGAAAACAGACTCGAGCACGGATGAGCCAATCAGAGTCGGAAAGAATGGAGGCACCATTAGAGCTGGTACATGTAGACCTGATGACAGATTTCAAAGGACATGCCAACTACCACTACGCACTAGTTGCTGTGGACAACTTCTCCTCTCTGATCTACGTGGAACCACTCTGCACAAAGAGTGCCGCACTCACGGCGCTGAGAAGGTGGATAGCCAGGATGGAACGGGCAACGGACAGGAAACTCAAAACACTCCGCAGTGACAATGGAGGAGAATGGTGCAGCATAGCAGCCGAAGACTGGCAAACTCAAGAGGGTTTTAAGTGGCAAAAGAGTGTCCCGGGGATCAGCGTCCAAAATGGACGGGCGGAGAGAGCAATCAGATCGGTCCAAGAAAAGATGCGCTCGATGCTGATTGGTCGAGCTTGCCCCAGAGAGTTGTGGCCGTACGCAATCACAGCAGCAGCACACGTGATGAACCTTACCCCGTCAGCCACCAAAACCATTCCCCACGAGGCCTTTTATGGAACCACCGCGCACAAGCTGGCCCAGCAACTGTGAGTCTTCGGATGCTTGGCATGGGTTCATGTTCAACAGAAGGACCAGCAAGGCAAGCATGGAGCTAGAGCAAAGCCAGCCATCATGATTGGGTATGACGACGAACACAAAGCATGGAAGTTTTGCAACCCGGACCAGCCTGCGTCAATTCAATGGAGCAACTCAGCAACATTCCATGAGGACAAAGGATGGAGTGATCGCCAACAAGAGGCAGTCAGGCCCATGGTGACCGTGGAGGTCGAGGAGGAGGGTGTCACGCCAGCCATAGTAGAGGAGGAGACCAGATCAGAGACTGCAGTGGAGGATCTCCTACCAGCCGTAGACAGCACAGTGGGTGCCGCCAACACAGCAATACTGAACCTGGACCCAACGCTTGGGGAAGCAATGAATGGTGAGGACACCCAGCTCTGGAAGGAGGCAATACGAAAGGAGCTAGAAGGACTTGAGGCAATGGGGACTTGGGAGGTGGTGCACCAACCACCAGGAGTACCACTTGTGGACTCTAAGGTTGTGCTTCAGCTGAAGCTTGATGCTGACGGTGTACCTGTTAAGCACAAAGCGTGACTGGTTGCAAGGGGCTTCACACAGAGAGAGGGGATCGACTACCAAGAAACCTTCTCTCCAGTAGCACCCCTCGGAGCGATCAGAGCCATCTTAGCACTAGCGGTGCAGAACAACTGGGAGGTACATGCTCTGGACATCACTATGGCTTACTTGAACTCCACGTTAAAGGAAGCAATCTACATGAAGCTGCCAGAAGGATCAGGAGTAGCACCCGGCAAGGTGTACAAGGTAGTCAAGGGCCTATATGGCCTAAAGCAGTCTGGGCGAGAATGGAATCAGGAGTTCGACAGGTCTTTGCGATGCATGGGATTCTTCCAGGTAGAGTGCACTCCCTGCATCTACACCAAGGGACAGGGTGAAGATATGGCCATTGTGGTCATCTACGTCGATGATACATTAGTCATAGCACCACGGCTGGAAACGGTCCTAAAGGTTAAGAAGCAGATTGGTCAGAGATGGAAGATGGAAGATAGTGGTGAGGTCTCTCACTTCTTGGGCATCAAAATCAGTCGAGACCGTGCGATGCGCACCATGACGATTGGTCAGTCAGGGTACATCGACCAAGTGCTGGCAAAGCACCTGGACAAACGTACGAAGCCAACCATGGTTCCAATGCAGAGCATACCGGAGGGAACCCTTGTCGCAAGCGCAGCACAACAGAAGGAGTATCCGGTGATTGTTGGCAAGCTGCTCTGGGTTGCCAACAGCACCCGGCCCGACCTTAGTCTCACCGTGGGTGTTCTCGCTAGGCACATGCGTGAACCATCGCAGGAGCATTATCAGGCAGCACAAAGGGTCTTACGTTACCTCGAAAGCACAAGGCAGGTTGGATTGGTTTATAGGGCAAGTGAGTCGCAAGAGCCACTGGTTGCACACAGCGATGCAAACTGGGCAAGCGATGCCACCATACAGAGAAGAAGCACATCGGGGTCAGTGGCGTTAGTGTACGGGAACCCAGTAGCCTGGAAGTCAGCGACACAAAAATGCATGTCATTGTCCGCTGTCGAGGCAGAATTCATTGCAGCCACGGAAGCAACATGTGAGGTGCTCTTCCTCAAGCAACTGCTATGCTCAATTGGCATTGCCACAGGCACACCGACGGTCTACTCGGACAACACTGGTTGCATACAGGTTAGTAAGGACCCAGCACAGCACTGGAAGCTTAAGCACATCGACACCAAGTATCACTTCGTCCGTAACAACGTACAAGAGGGAAGGGTGCAGATCAAGTACGTAGACACCACAAGAAACTTGGCAGACATACTCACGAAGCCCATTGGGAGGCAGGCAATGCAGCAAGCAAGAACTGGGCTACACCTGCAAATACCGGCAGCAGTGTACAGAACGGGGTCCCCGAGCTATGCAACAGTGTTGAAGAACGGAGGTCACACCTTGAAGCAACAGCATAATGAACAGGGTACATATGCTGTTGAGGGGGGGAGTTGAAGTAGATAAAGCCACACAAAGCGTGGAGACAGTGAAGGTAGTGCTTACGGCCGAGTAAAAGGCCTGAACATCTTAGCACGGACCACATGTGTCACAACCTACTCAAGGCAAATGCTTTGTTATGCTCCGCAGTCAATGCGGCTCTCCGCCGCTCTTCTTTTGTATATATAGACTCCTAGCTCTCTCGCTCTCTCTCTCTCCTACCATCATCATCAACCACTGACGACTGACTCCAACGCACTGACGACTGACTCCAACGCACTGACAAATGACTTCAACGCACCGACGAAGGACTTCAACTTTTTCCACCCTTTTTTCCACCTTTTTTTTCAACCTTTTTTATTTTGTTCTTTTTTCTTGGTTTGGCTTTCAACGTGCACGGCTCCACAACTGCAAGTCTAAAATTTGTTGCTGATAGAAAAGTTAGGATCTCGGAGGAAGAAGATCATCTCTGCGGATCCAATCAGAGTCACTTGTTCTCGAGTCTGAGGTTGTGACATCTTCTCAGCCCGCAACCATCCCGATTACGCACCTACCCGACTCTCCTTCGCCAACAGCAGGCAAGATAGAAAGATCCAGATGGAACAACGAGTGGTCGGAGTACTTGGCGCTGGCCAGCTCGGTCGCATGTTTGTTGAGGCAGCGGCTCGACTCAACGTTCAGGTCAGGTTGCTTGACGTTGGAGATACGGCCCCAGCCAAGCAGATCAACTACGCTCCCGGTTCCGACGGCAAGTCGCAGCACATTGATGGCAGCTTTGCTGACCCGGAAAAGATCCGCCAACTCGCTTCGCAGGTCGATGTGCTCACGATCGAGATCGAGCATGTCGATGCTACCCAGCTTCAGAAGGTGCTCGACGACAAGCTTGTAGATGCCGTGCACCCTCTTCCTTCCACGATCGCACTCATTCAGGACAAGTATCTGCAAAAGGTCCATCTCGCCGGCGAGGGCTTGCCTCTTGCAGAGTACCTCGCTGCTGGACCCGAAGACATGTCCAAGGTCACCGATGTCGCCCAAGCTCGTTCGGCTCAGATCGCCGCCGTTTCCGAGATCGGCAAGGAATTCGGCTTCCCGCTCATGCTCAAGTCGAGAACACAAGCTTACGATGGCAAGGGTAACTATGTCGTCAAGTCAGCTGACCAGGCCGAAGCTGCTGTGGCAGCGCTCGGCGATGGCAAGCGTGGTCTTTACGCCGAAAAGTGGGCCCCCTTCGAACGCGAAGTAGCTGTCATGGTGGTGCGCAGTGCAACAGGTCAAGTCAGAGCGTATCCTGCTGTAGAGACAGTGCACAAAAACAGCATCTGCCACACTGTCTTTGCACCACTACGAACTGCGGATCCAGGTGTGGAGGCGCGTGCACGAAAGATCGCAGAGGAGGCAGTAGCAACATTCGGTGGAGCAGGTGTCTTTGGTGTCGAGATGTTCCTGATGCCCAACGGCAAGCTTTTGATCAACGAAATCGCACCACGACCTCACAACTCGGGCCACTACACCATCGAGGCCGCCGAGACGAGTCAATACGAGAACCACGTTCGAGCTATTCTCGGTCTGCCGCTCGGAAGTACGGCTCTCAAGGTTGCTTCGGCTGCCATGATCAACATTCTCGGCTTGGCCGACTCGGACAAGGATGGTGAGGCTGTTGCAAAGACACTTGTGCCTGCTGTTGTCAGCCTCGAGGTTGCAGGTACGACATGTCACCTATACGGCAAAGCAGGCTGCCGCAAAGGAAGGAAGATGGGTCATATCACGATTGTCGGTCAAAGCGATGCTCAGGTTCGATCTCGTCTGCGTATTGTCGACGAGGCGCTGGAAAAGGCAACTCAACTCGCCGAACAGGGCGGCAAGCTTGCTTGCGAACTCACCCTTGCCGGTGTCGTTGCTCTCAGCGCTTCCGGCTCGACATCATCATCTTGTTGCTCTTCCAGCAAACCATGGACCAAGTCGGCTGCCGACTTTTCTCACCCTCAACCCTTGGTGGGCATCATTATGGGCTCAGATAGCGACTTGCCCGTCATGATGGCTGCTGCCGAGATGCTGAAAAAGTTTGACGTTCCTTTCGAGTTGACGATTGTCAGTGCGCACCGCACGCCGGACCGGATGCGTAACTATGCACGCAGCGCACCAGCACGTGGGCTGCGCGCCATCATTGCCGGCGCCGGCGGGGCGGCTCATTTGCCAGGCATGGTGGCTGCACAGACCGCTTTGCCGGTCATCGGTGTTCCCGTCAAGGGCAGCACATTGGACGGTGTTGACTCTCTGCACAGCATTGTTCAGATGCCTCGTGGTATCCCTGTTGCGACGGTGGCGATCAACAACAGTACAAACGCTGCATTGCTTGCTATTCGCATCCTCGGTGCAGCTGATCCAGCCTACTTGATCAAGATGCAGAACTACATGGAGGAGATGGAGAAGCAAGTGAATGGCAAGATTGAGCGTCTTGCGCACGATGCATGGGACTACACGCTCAAGAAGTAGCTTCTTTCACGCATCAGATTCCCGTTGTTATCAATAGATTAGAGTCGAGAAGCCGACCTTGAAAGAGGATTGATGGTCGAGGGGGTTAGGCTTGGGTTGGGCATGGTTGCCACTTGGCTTCAGCCTGTTGTAGCTTCTGAACTGATGTTTTTATAGAACCTTTAAAAGCTGCAAAAGGCATGTGCCTGTTTGTCTCGAACACTGAACGCCAATCTTGATGCCTGAAGAAAGGCGAACAAGAGAGGGTCCAAAGAGCCAGACTGCTGCTCCTTGTGCTTTTGTTCCTCAATTGCCGACAAGTTAACATGCAATTATTGAAATTGATGATCCGACGAGATGACATTGGTTGATGTAAGCAGACAAAAAGGGATGGAATGAGGGATGGCCTGATTAGGAACAGAGAATCAGGTACAACACAGTCCTGCTCATTGTCACAATCAAGTGCAATGTGTACAAGCCAGTTGTCATGGTTGATCATTAGGTAGAAGTACCCCCACTCATAGCATGCACTGCACACTTGTATATATATCTTGCAGAGAGTGCTAGACTCCAACCACATTCTCTTAGTCAATCAAGTATATTTCTTTCTGTCTTTTAGCAGCAGTGACATCATACTTAGACTATCCCTGATCACCAGTATCAGGACCTAAAACTTTTCAGGTTATGAGCCCAACTCAAAGTGCTACCTCATCCTTGAACTCACCTTCAATGATGACAGAAGTAAACTACTCCCTCTACAATGATTTCATCACTCCAATGGAAAACCTCCTTCCACAGCTACTGAAAATCCTTCAAAATAGGTTCAATCAGATGATAACTGATGAAGTCTATGGCACACTGGATGCTCCAAAGGAGGGAAACCTACTAGAGTTTGCCATCACTGGTGATAGCAAGCAAGTCATTACACCTCTCTCCATCATGATTGAGTGTGTCAGTGAACTCTATTATGGAATGCACAATCTTGGTCTGTTCCCTAACAGAATTGAACTTGGCAAACAGATGTGAATCAGAGTCAACCAATTCACCAGCAACAAAGAGTGGAATGCAGCCAAGATCCTCGACTTCAAGATTGAAGGCCCAATGGGGTCAATTCATGATGTGGAACAACATTCCTACCCTGTTAAAAATGAACTCACTACATCGAGCAGAGGTGATACTACAGTATTCACCCTGAGCAACTCAGGCTGTTGACTACTCAGCTGTGATGCTACACTGGGACCCACTCCTGAGCTCAACACTGTTGCCAACCATCACCTAAAAGTGCTATCAGGCCTCAATGACAAGATGAGATGGGATGAAAAAGAACTCCTTGATCCAAGATCAGTCTCAGTTCATGCATGACAATGCCAAATGCTTGTGATGTTGTTGGTAGTCCCCTTTGCCTGAAATGTCCTTGACAGAAAAGTGATGACATTTGAAGATGCAGATTCCATGATCAGCTCAATTATCATGCACAGCTTCTCTGACAAGCTGTGCATGGAGTATTTCACCAAACATGGCGATCAACTGGGCAATCAAGAAGTGTACAGTACATTCTGCAGCTAAAGAGTATCAGCTCCTCACCACCACTTATGCCCTCTGCTGGGATCAAGTCAGAAGCCATGTGTATGACTTCCTAGCCAAGTGGGAAGCACATGTATCAGAACTCCATGCATATCTGCAGGATCCCTGGACACCCAACTACAGGTACTGGACACTCAAGCATGCTCTCCCCTCAGACAGAAATGCTCTTTTCAATTCAGTGTTTATATTGCATGAACAACTCAATGGAAAAGACCAAACTGCTATGAGTGTTGCTGATGTTCTATGTCAATGCTATGAGCTCACTGCTGAGAGTGCCCCTGCCCACATACTCTCCACTACTGAGGACTCTGAACTAATTGCTCTGTGGGCAGCCACACTCATCAATTGCTGGGCATGTGGTGAACTCAGTCATGCAGCCAACTGCTGCCCAGACAATGTTTCACATAGCCAATGGAAACATGACAGAGTTAAAGTTCCCCCCCAAGAATCATGCCAACACATGCATTGTGCCACCGCTTGAAGATGCTTGAGAAGAGTAGGATACAGCACTGGCCCTGGCATTCTTCACAGAAGTCAAGCCAGCACCAATTGACCTTCTGCCCTGGTTTGTGCCATTTGTGTTTGACTTGGGTGCATCATGTGTTATGGTCAACTCCCTATGACTTGGAAAGGACTGGAAGGGCATTAAGGATTTGGTTGGAATCACCACTGCTGACGGTGGCAAACTCTCAGCCATGAAGATGGGTGGGATAGTAAGTCTCTTGAGCTACAACACCAAGCTGCATTGCTGGGAATGAATGGCTTATCGAGACTGCTTATTCATGCCTGATCTAGTGACAAATCTCATAGGGACAAAGTCAGTCACATGGGCTAAGGGCATGGTGACCTTTGAGGATGAGCTTGTCACTGTACAAGACAAGTACAGCCATATGATCAGAGTGCTGACCAGTGGGAATGGTTACCCTGTGGCTGCCATGATCATATGGGATGACAGCATGCCAGAACCCTCTGTCTCCCTTGCATTTGCCACAACAATGGACAATACAGCACACTCACCTGAGCCATGCAGCAAAGCCAACTTATGGCACTGGAGACTTGGACATGCCAGTCATGAATCAATCTTGCATACATGCATGGTGACTCATGCTCACAATATCCTGGCGAGCCCCACCACTCAATCTGGATTCCTCTGCAATGTTTGTGTACAAAGTAAAGCCATTGCACACAACATCACACACCCCCATCATACCACAAAACCACTCGAACTAGCTTTGATGGATGTAATGGGTCCATTACATGGTAATGCTAAGTTAGTATACATACTCATTATTCATGATGCCTTCTCTGGTATGATCTGGGTGCATGGTCTTGCAAGCAAAGGTGTGGCATCCCAAGAGGCAACATGGTGGCTGGAAGAGGTGAACTCTGTTCACAGACTCAAGGAGGTTCATGTAGACCAAGGCAAGTTATGGTCTACTTCCTTTTGAGACACTTGCTCATTGAAGGGAGTGAAGATCACCACATCCCCTACTCAACAGCACACTGACAATGCCTTTGCTGAGTGGGCAATCCAAATGGTCCAGAAGATTGCCCAAAGTCTGCTATATGACTCAGACATGGACAAGCACTGGTGGCCTCATGCAATGACACAAGCTGTATTCATACACAATCGACTAGTGGGCACTACACGAGGGCACATCACTCCATTTGAGCTCTTCTATGGCAAGCAACCAGATCTATGTGACATGTGATGATTCAGTTGTACTGCCTATGTCATACTCAGAGGCAGCACTCGATTGATGTGGCTACAACATCACCCCATTGTCAGCAAACACCTTTGCCCCTGCACTCTCAGAGGAACATATCTTGGCTTCTCTGACACCCCACAAAGCATCAAGGGCCACAAGGTTTGGCTTCCTGAACTTGACTGAATTGTTGTTGCCAAGGACATCCGGTTCTCCAAACTCAAGTGACTGGGGGCCACTACACCACCTTCTCATATGCCTGTACTTGCTGGGAACAGCCCACTTCTCCAGTCATATACTTGGGTACCACATGATGATGCCTCTGAGGAACCAGAACCTGATGATGTCACGCCATCCACTGTGAGGCCATACTCTCACCAACATGGTGTGGAACTACAACAGAGTCCACTTGACTCCTCCAGCTACAACTGTGAATGGGACCAGATGATGTCTGAGATAGAAAATGCAGGTGAAATTGTTATAGACCTGGATGCAATCGCAGCTGAACTATGTGCTGAACTGGACATCACCTTGTCCCAAGCAAGGAACAGTACAGAGGACCCAACATGTGTGGATATACTGATGCTTGAGACACCTCGAAGCAATGCAATGGCAAGTGTGTATGATGACATCTCAATACTGGACCTCAATCATGTGGGACTGACAGACAGAATAAGCACACTCAGATACACAGCCTTGGCAGTGACATGCTCTGGCACAGGAATGATCATGATCAGCAATCACCATCTCGATCAAATGGCAATCACAACCACTGTTATGAATGGTGCTGCACTGATTGCAAGCAGGCAACAGATGCAAAGTGCTGATGGTATTTTGCTGGAACCACTGTCACTCAATGAAGCCAAAGCACATGATGACTGGCACTGGTGGAAGGAAGCAATGGACAGCGAAATGGTGAGTATGGACAAAATGAATGTATTTGAGCTTGCTAACATCCCAATGGATGGTAAGCTAATCAGTGTCTGATGGGTATATAAACTCAAGCTCGATGCTCAACATCGAGCAATGAGATATAAAGCCTGGCTAGTTGCCCAAGGGTATGCTCAATGTCAGGGACTTGATTATGATCAGATGTTCAGTCCAGTTGTGTGGTTACAAACAGTATGAATGCTGCTTGCTATAGCATGCTGGTATGGCCTGCATATCATTCAGCTCGATGTAAGTACCACATTCCTGAATGGAAAGATCAATAAAGATGTCTATGTCTGAATCCCGCTGATGTTCGAGATGAACAAGACTGAAGGGAAGTGTTATAGACTGAAGAAAGCATTATATGGCCTCAAGCAAGCTGGGCACCTGTGGCATGCTGCCCTTGATGAGCAACTTCAGGCCTTTGGCTTCAAGCGATGTCAAGCTGAACCATGTGTATACATGCACAGTGTCAATGATGCAATGGTCCTTCTTGCAGTCTATGTAGATGACCTGCTCATCATCGGATCAAGTGATGCATGGGTTCAATCAGTGTGACAACAGCTATCAACTGTGTTCAGCATCACAGATCAGGGAAGTGTCTCACACATCATTGGTCTGAACATTCATTACAATTGTGATGCACACACCCTCTCAATAAACCAAAGTGGATACATTGAAGGGATCATAATGAAATTTGGAATGGACCAGGCCTGGGCAGCATCAACACTGGTGACTGACACAATCAACACCCTCAAGCCACACGAAGGGGACAATGCAAGCACCAAGGAGATACATCACTACATGTCGATTGTGGGGTCATTGCTATGGGTCACTCAAGGTAGTAGGCCAGATATAGCCTTTGCAGTTGGATGGTGTGCCAGGTTTGTGGTGAATCCATCAGGGGAACACCTTGCAGCCACTAAGCATGTCCTATGATACTTGAAGGGAACCATAGGAGTGAGTCTGTTAGTGAAGGGACCAGTCAGTGGACAGATAGTCACTGGGTGGGCAGACAGTGACTGGGCCAGCTCATGGGATTGCAGGAGGTCAACATCAGGGTATGCATTCATGATAGACAGACTTGTGTGCAGCTGTTCATCCCAACTCCAGCCAATGGTAGCAAATAGTTCTGTGGAGGCAGAATACATGGTGCTAGCAGGCACCACCAGGGAGCTAATATGGACTTCAATGTTCTTACAGGAGCTAGAACAGCCCATGTCAAAGACAGCTGAACTCCATGTAAGCACTGGGACCTCAACCTTACATTCACACAATGGTGAAATTGTTCATAATTGTAATGTGCCTATCTTGCACAGTGATTCCTCTGGAGCGCAAGCCATTGCAAGCGACCCCCAACACTTCAAGAGAATGAAACATATTGATATTGCTCACTTCTTCTTACAAGATGAAATTGCAAGTTGATGGCTCACAATTGCTCCAGTCCAGAGCAGTGAGAATCTAGCCAACTTACTCACCAAACCACTAGCTGCACTGACACTCTCATACCTCTGTCAACTATTTGGACTGTCAACATTGGGAGTGCACACCAGATCAAGAGGGGGTATTGAAATTGATGATCCGACAAGATGACATTGGTTGACATAAGCAGACAAAAAGGGATGGAATGAGGGATGGCCTGATTGGGAACAGAGAATTGGGTACAACACAGTCCTTCTCGTTGTCACAATCAAGTGCAACATGTACAAGCCAGTTGTCATGGTTGATCATTAGGTAGAAGTACCCCCACTCATAGCATGCACTGCACACTTGTATATATATCTTGCAGAGAGTGCTAGACTCCAACCACATTCTCTTAGTCAATCAAGTATATTTCTTTCTGTCTTTTAGCAGCAGTGACATTGTACTTAGACTATCCCCAATCACCAGTATCAGGACCTAAAACTTTTCAGCAATAACCCGCTGACTTGCTGACTTTATTATTATTAATTTTTTGCAACTCCGACTTGGCGTCGATTTCTTTTCCCAAGGAGAGAGAGAGAGTCTTTCCCACGGTTGGCCCCTTTTGCTACCAAATTTGGCAACACTGCAGGCTGCTGCTGTATATGCAAGGATCGGGCCGCTCACTGCGACGCTTCACAGCCACTCTCGACTTGGCCGCTTCATTATTGGGCTTGACCGCGTGTGGCTTTCACCATCAACACAATGTGGAAGAATACTGCTATGTGTTCAATTTGAAAGGCAGCAAGAATGAGGAGAGAGAGAGATATTGACCTCAGTTCTGGTCTGAACAGAGGCTCAGGGTTTTCCTTTCTTCGGAGCAACTTTATTGTCAGAGTTGACGTTTCGATCGAATGGCTATCTTCTCGCTTTCCGGCCATCTTCCAGCGAGCTAGCGAGTATTTAGAATGAGGCGTCGAAACTCTCGATGCTCAGAGCCAAGCGAAACTTTGCGCGGCGATCTTCGTTGCTCTCTGACGGCTGTCAACGGTGAATTTTCACTTGTTGAGGAAGCAGGCTTTGCCCTGTGTGCCTTTATTATGGCTCTTTGTCACGATACGGCCGACTTGCTTCATGCGCTTTGTAACGAGCCTTTCTCTCGCTTCAACTTGACCTATCTCTCTCTCTCTCTTTTGGACCTGACAGGCCCACTTTCTAGGGTCCAATAACCTCGCTTTTCCTCCTTTTGTGAATTTCCTGCATTTTCCCTGCATTCCTCTCTCTGTCCCACTTTCCTGATTAAGCGCCGCTCGGCTGGATCTCAAATGGGAAAAAGGTAGAGTGAGGGTCAATTGAGAGAGAGAGAGAGAGAGAGAGAGAGAGAGAGAGAGAGGCGCTGCGATTACAACTCAGTCAAATCAGTGGAGAACCATTGTCGTCGTCGGTTATTCAACTCTCTCGACTTGGCTTCTATGCGCGGCTCTATGCACGCTTGGGTCGTCTGATCAAAACCTTGTCAGTCCCTCATCTGGGGCCTATCTCTCCCGCGTCCCTGAGCCTTTCTCTTCCCTCTGTACTCTGTTCTCGACATTTGGAATCCTTCTCCGCCTTGTTTTTTAGTAGATGTAACACAAACAGTTCTTTGGCTGCTTTAGCCGCATTGCAACAGCCTCCTGCAGTGTTCCGCTTCACTGTGCACTGTTCACTTCTGCGCCCTACGCCCTTGACCGCTCACCCGTCATTCCAGCTTTGGCTGCAACGACGTTTCTACAGTACTACAAGCTTGCTGTTGCTTCTGCCTCTGCATCCTGTCTCGCTCTCCTTCCTCTTTCCCCACCTTCTCCTCCCCATCGATACCATCAGCAGCAACATCGCATTCCAGTCTTGCTGCACCCAGACAGTGGTTCGCTTGTTGCGGCAATCTTCACCAACTTTTCCCTACCCTCTGCTGTCGGCCACTCTCGACATCCGACTTGGCCGCCTTCAAGCACCTACATGCTCTAGCCGGCACTCAGTTCATTCCAACCTCGACGTCAAACGACGACATTCTATCCCTGACCATCGCTTGTCTCACAACTGTAGTCACCCACATACATTCCCCTTCCCACCCCTTGGCTGATGCGACAATCTCTGCAATACCGTTCAATCTTAAACCTCGACAACCTCGACGAACACCGTTGGCGAGAGAAGACACCCTTTCCCGACCAACTGCGCCCGCATTCTTCACCACTACCCCTCACACATTAGGCCGCCTCGTGCCGTGAACGTGACCGTTACCGTCACCGCTATCGTTGCTGTTGCTGCATCGATCTTCATTGCTGCTGCTTGCATCCCACACCCCATATCAGCTGGACCCGCTTGCCGTCTGCTTCCATCATCACCCTTCTGTCGCTTGCCTCGCATCACGTCACGCCAGTGAGCCAATCTCGAAGCGCAGAAGCAAACCTTGTTTGACAACAAGTGCGCAACCCCACTTTGTCTCGTCGCCTTTCTCCGCTGTTCGTCGGTCACTGCATCGCATCGCATCGCATCGCATCACATCGCATGCATTGCATCTGTTCCTCTTCATTCCGCTCTAGCCGACAATAAGCTGATCTACAGCGCACCTCCGCCGACGTGCTTCAACGCGCTCCTTGCAACTACATCTCTTGCGATCCTTTTTCGATACCTCCATCTCTTCTGACCATCACCAACTTCAACAAGCGCTGTCGCTTTGGAACCTCGCTTGCTACTTTGACATCGATCGTGATAAGGAAAACACCACATACTAGCTCAGCTCGTCAATCGCTTCCGCCGTTCGTTTGATCGATCGTCCTCATTTGGTCTCATTCGCCGCACGCGATCGCGTCAAGCTGCGCTCTAGCATCATCTCTTGACCCCACCACCACCTCAATCTCCTCTGCGACATGTCGCAGCTTGCTAGTCATGCTCACGTGTCGTTGCATCCACTAGCTTCCCGTCACGGAACCAACACTTCGACCATCGTTCAGGTAAATTTACCCGCTCACTCGACCAGCCGCGAAGACGGCCAAGGAACACCACGTTTGCATCGTTCCCCCGCTGCCCAGTCCAATTCGCCCAACGCCCACCTTCGCTCACCCTCGCCCAAGCCTCTGCCACAGCCTGCCAAGGTACTGAACTCGGAACCTCCAACTTATGGCATCCAGCATGTCGATCTGGATGACTACCCTATCATCTGCGAGGAGCCCATCCCATCCGACTCATCCAGCCATGATAGGCTCGACCAAGACTTCGATGCCATGGACAAAGCTCTCGACCAAGGTTACTATCCTGACCCCTTCTCAAATACGCATCCTCAGCGTCTGTCGAAGAACAGTCTCGCCGCTCCTGTCCGTGCCATGTCGGCTGCTCAGCTCGCTCAGTTGCACCAACAGTACGTGGCTCAGGATGTACCTCACAGCGTCGTCTTTCCCTTTCTTCACGGTGTAGATGGCAGCATTCCCGCGCAAAACGCCTTTTTCGGCGCGCCCAGGACAGGTCAGCCTACTCCACCTTATAGAGGTCTCACCATCCTTCGAGCTGACATGCCCACACCTCAGGAGATGGAACGCATGCAAGCCCCGTCCAACACATACTCCTCTACCCGCGCTCGCGCATGCACCTTCTCCAGCGTCACTACACAGTCATCAGGTAGCTCGCCAGATACGGATGACGAATCGGCACGCTTCCAACCGAGCTGGAACGGACCCACGAGTCCTCCAGCCTCCAACTTTGCCAGCGCCGCCTCCTTGACGCCAGCATCAGTTGCGTCGGTCTCACCATCAACGGCCTCCACCGTATCCTCGCAAATGTCACAACCTTCGCTCTTCTCCGCCACCTCGGAGAGCTACAGCACTGGCTCGCGAACCAGCGTATCGACGGTCAGCGACGTTGCTGACGATGGCATGCCCACATCCGCCAAAGACCTCCGTCCAGCTAGCCCTGTGCCCTTTGAAGCACAACCCCTTCATTCGGTGCTCAACTCAACCATCTTCCCCGCAGAGATCCTTCGAGCTCCTACGATTAGTCGCCTCATGTACGGACGCAACCTCTGCAGTGACCTTTCAGAGTCAGGCTGCTTCGGTGAGAAAGTAGATATCAAACAGGTTCGCAGGGTAGGCGCGAGCTTCATCAACCCTCCGCAAGCATCTGGTGTCAGCCTTCGCAACTTCAAGATCCAGTCAGCCAAATATGCCACCATCTCGGACATTGTCATCTACTGCCCCTATGGATACCACTCGGGCGTCTTGACGCTCGCCAAGTGGGTGAGGGAAGCTCAAGCATCGTTGCGACGCGAACGTCTCCTGCGCGGCTGGGGCGGCCTCCAATACAACGTCTTTGTCGTTACTGACTCGTTCAATGCCTTTGAGCAGCGCTTCCCATCGCTCGTCTCGATCGACAGCAATGGTTTCGAACGCAACCGCGTCGACTTTGTCGAACGAGAGCGCGAGGAGATGGAAAGGATGACTCATGCCACCGAGATCCACGACAACGTCTGGCTAGGCTGCACCGCCGATGCACCAGGCCTCGTCAAGAAAGATGGCTTGGCGGACGAAAGCGAGCCCACCACTCCAGACGAACAAGCCAACCCAAACCACTATGCTGTCTGTATTGGCTGTGAAGAGATCGGTTACCACGGTCCAAGAAGCTTCGACTACGAGGAATGGAACAAAGTCAGTCGCTACCTCGAGGTGATGGATGCAAGGGTCAGGATGCTCAGAAGCTACCGGCAAGAAGTGCTACTCAGTCTTGGCCTTGGCCACGATGGCTTCCGTGATTCCGACTCGCGCGATGGCTCTATCGTCCTTGGTCCGAACGGCTGGACGCCCAAGTGCCGATCCCTTCCCGTGCATACTGATGTATACACCCAGACCGTCAAGGCAAGGCTGAGCGCCAATGGCGACGCCAGTGATCCCAGCGAACGCAGTCCACTCCCTCTCGAAGCCGGCAGAGTTGCGCACCTCCGGATCGAGACCAGCGGCGCTTTTGAGGATCAAAAGCTTCAGACGGTCAGGGCGGTCGTCGAAGCCTGCGTGTGGATTCATTCTCACGCATCGAGTTCCCACTCTGCCCGACCTAGGCGCGTGCTTCTTCACTGCACGGACGGATACACCGAGACTTCGATGCTGGCGCTCGCCTACTTGATGTATGCGCGAGAGCTTAGCCTTCCCGAGGCCTATCTTGATCTTCAGCTGCGAGCCGACCGTTCTTTCTTCGTCTACGAAGCTGACGTTGCCATCCTCGAAATGATCGATCGAGAGTTGCAGCAGAGACGTGCTCTTGCTCGCTGCCGAGCATTTGAGAAGCGCCGGGATGCTTCTTTCGATTCATGCAACAGGTCGCGTCATGTTGTGTCCAAGTCATTGGGCGGACCCTTGACGGGCGACAAACGCAGCGCCGAGTTGCGCCGCATGTCATTGTCCGGCCCAGCAAGCCACTCTCCAGCTCATCCTCTGGCTAGTGGCTTAGCATACAGTGTAGAGAGCGCAAAGCGTTCCACTTTGACACCGCACTCACCTGCCGAGATGGCTGGCGGTATCTGCCGCACGTCGACGCCAACGCCTCAAAAGTATCGGCCCAGTCAGACGGATGTGCTCGACACTCTGGAGCCTGCCAACACGCACGCCTGGTTCGATAAGTCACGTTTTGATGGCTCGTTTCCTTCTCGCATCCTGCCATTCCTCTACTTGGGCAATCTAAGCCACGCCTCGAATGTAGGCATGCTGCGCGAACTCGGTATCACTCACCTCGTCTCGGTCGGTGAAACGGCGTTGGCACCTCCAGCAAGCATCTCGGCCAAAGTCAACCCTACACGCAAAGAACATGGCCGCAGCCGGTATCAGAAGGCATCTGCTAAAGCAGCTTTGGTCGAAGATCCGCTCACGGTTCCGTCTTGCACGTACCAGACGCAAGGCATCACGGTGCTCAACGTGCGCAACGTGTCTGATGACGGTATCGACTCGCTCCGAGGCACAATGCGTGAGGCCGTCCAATTCATCGAGGCAGCCCGATTGTCCAGCGGCAAGGTGCTGGTGCACTGCCGTGTCGGTGTCAGCCGCAGTAGCACGATTGTGCTTGCATACGTGATGGCTCATCTCGATCTCGGACTCGTTGAGAGCTACTTGCTCGTGCGCAGTCGCCGGCTCAACATTGTCATCCAACCGCATCTGCTCTTCCTGTGGGAGCTGCGTGGATTCGAGACGTACCTCCACAAAGCCAAACAAGCGCAGATCAACCTGCTGCGCGGTCGTCACTGCTCTCCCGACTTGCTACGCAGCGAGTTCCCTCGCGAAGCTTCGCAGGCGCTCTCTGCGCTCTCGATCCGCAATACCACCGGCGCATCTCGCAGCGAAGAAGGTTCGGGCTCATACAAGTCCGCGTGGTCTTCACCCACCGGTTCGCCAGTAGCCATCAGCACTATGCCCGCACCGGTGGCAGGTGATGTAGCTTCCTCATCATCCTCATCGGATGCATGGGGCGAGGAGCTTCTTCTGGGTGTCGAGATCGGTGCTGGTGCAGGCAGCATTCATGGGTTCGACATGGCGCATTCTGCCATGTTGCCTTTCGGATCCGGTAGTCCCAACGGTCTGCCGTACAATGCCACACGTCTTACGTGGGGTCATCTTGCTCGCGAGATTGCTGATCTCAACTCGCGTTACTTTATCTAAGGAGGGCGTCCCCTGTCCTTTTGATCACCTCGCTCTCGATGAGCGAATCAGGCTCTCTTCTCCATGGACTCTAATGTTTCTTAGTTTTCCCTTTATGTCTCTTGGGGATCAAGGTTATATCTGTCGTCCCTTTCACGGATGCGCTGCTTCTCCTCTTGCTCAAGGAGCCACTTGACGGATCTTTCTCGGGCTGGTCTCTTGCACTACCACATTGTCGCGCTTTGGATCTGAATCCCTCTGGTACGCTTCTCCTCCTCTTGTCTCATGGGTGCGATTGGCTTGTCTGCCAAAATCGCTTTTTTGTCACTGTCACCACTTCAGTTCTCTTGTTTGGTTCACGTTTACCGTTTGTCGTTCTCATTCACACGTTTACCGTTTGTCGTTCTCATTCACTCGCACTCCTCGTTCAGTTCTATCGCACTTTGCAGCTTTCCCCTCTGTTCTTCCTTGTCGCTGTTCCGTTGTCACTTGTCGTCTCGTTCACGTCGGTTTCCTTTGCAATTCTGACCTCATTGACTCAAGCCTAGTTATGACATCGCGCCTGAGATCGAGCACATGTGAAGTGCTATGAGTGGATATCGACCAAAGCGATCAGATCGCGGGGCCTACTATGTTGCAGCATACGCCGACGCCAAGAAACATCGAAAGGAACCCCCTGACCGAACCGAACTGCACACACGACAGAAAAGCAGACAGACGAGCGGGAAAAGAAACGTTTAAATTGGCTGAGCGGGGCTCGGAATGGCACACACTCTCAGACCCGGCTCCCGAGATAGAGGAAAGACGGGGTTGTGCTTCTGTGCTTGGTGGGACGGACGCGCAGGAGGCATGCATTTCTTGTTTCTCTGCTTGACAGAAGTGACAGATCTCGCTCGAGTTGTATCAACGGGGTCTGTGCTTGTGGAAACTTCACCTTGGGCAAATACAGGAAGCAGAGGGAGAGAGCAACATGAAAAAACAGTTTGGTGGTGGAAAAGAGTGTTACACTCGATTTTGCCGCTGCCGCTGCCGCTGCTGCTGCTCGCTGCGCTTTCATGTGCGTCCCGCCCACCGTGAGCAGCAGCCATCTATCGACGTGGCTGCTTCGTTTGTGACGTTGGTTCCCTTTCCTCATCACTACCACATTCAACCAGCAGCTCAAGGCACATCGACGCCGCCTACACTAGATTCGATATATATACGCAGCTGCGAATTGCGCGCATCAATCCTCACCCGCGACGCTCAAGGCAACCTTCTGCCATTCGAATAAGACGAGCTTCTTTATTTATCATCACGGCACAGGTCTCCAGCACAATCCTCGAGAGCATATACGATACAGCCTACTTGCTAGCCACGATCTCACACTTACTTTGCTCCTCAGCCCGCATAACGCTCGCCACAATGTCGGAAAGAGACGAAACAGTCTCGGTCTCAGCCTCACAAAAGTCTTCTCACACCCAATCAGTCAAAGAAGATATCGTCAAAGAAGGTCTTGCACCCGAACATCTCGAGTCTCTCTACACCGATCTTCCTTCCGATGCGACCGCTCTCAAAGCCATCGTCGGCACAATGCGTCTCGAACTCTCCAAGAAGGACACGGCCATCTCTAAGCTGAAGGAAGAGATTGACGAAGTGAAAGCCTCTCATTCCGTCGTGCTCCAACGTTCTGCAGAGTGGCAAGATGAGCTTGAAACCCTACGACTCCGAGTTCCGCAGCTGGAGGAAGAATTGCGCAACGAAAAGCAAGCACGTGAAGCCGAATCAGATCGTGTCAAGGATTTGAGGATCAGAGCCGAGGAGAGTAGACGTGCGATTATGAGGTTACAGGGTGAGCAGTCGGATGCGAGAGCGAAAGCGAAAGTGGACAACAGAAGGAGTTGGGTTCCTGCTGCCACGAATCCACCGGCTGTGCGGGATGAGCAGGAGGAGGCCCAGCTGAAAAAGTCGAAGCGGGCTAGTTTGGCGTTTGGACCGAATGCGTTGAATATCAACACTCTGGCAAACAGACCTGGTAGCAGTCATGGCTTTGGACATAGGAGAACCGCGAGTGGTGGAAGGAGTGTTTCGGGCGCTTCTGGTGCCAGTAAGGGGGATGGTGAGGCGGACGAGGAGCCATTGAGTCCCACTTTTGCAAATGGGTTGAGGGGTTTGAGGTTGTCAGGTACAGCAGGGATGAACGGGACAATGTCATCGGCTTCGTCTTTGCTCACACCCAATGCTGCAGTGGGAGGAGCTGGGGACGATAACGGCTCGGCACCCAACTCGAGGAGAAACTCGTTTAGGAGCGATGCAGGCAAGTCGCCTAGGCTGGGTCTGAACGATCTGCCCCTGCAAGATGGTGCGGATCTTTCGTCTTCCCTAGGCGCCCGTCTCTCGGTGCCTTCAGCAGCAAGTGGAGGCACAAGCGGACAACGCAACTCCCTCCTCAGCTCGCCTGCTCTCTCCCAAAGTGGTGCAGCTGGCTCCGTCGGCGTCGGCTCTCCCATCATCGAAGACAACGAAGAAGAGGAGTCTCATAATTCCACTTCCAAAGCACTCCCCAACCTCCCCACGCGCGAATCCTCCATCCATTCGCTCCAATCGCACGACCGCGAACTGCGCGCCAAAGAAGTCGAGATCGAGCGTCTCACACGCGAAATGACCGAAATGCGTCTATCGATGGAAGAAGCCCTGGAGGCCCGCAAAGCCAGCGAAGCATGTCTCAAGGCACTCCGTGATTTCATTGCTCATCATGACGAGGAAGCGGATGCGGAAGTGCAGATGGGCGATGATGCCGATAGAATCGTGCAGAGAGCTAGTTTCGGTGCGGGATTGTTGAAGGGGGTGAAGCTACCACCGCTGCCAACGGATGATATGGATGAGAATGAGGAAGCGGCACATGTCAAGGCGAGTAGCTTGAGTCAGCAGAAGCAAGCGGTGGGGATGGGAGGATGGGGGGTGAAATTGCCTACGCTGATGAGGAAAGCTACTTCGAGCACAACGTCGAATGGTCCAACTCCTTCGGATGAGAGATCAGGGATGTCGCCTAGTTCAGAAGGCGAGGGTGGGTTGGGAAGTGATTCTGCTGCGCCTGCTCCACCAGCCAAGTCGATCGCATCTGGGTTCGCCGGTTTCAGTAACCTATTGGCTAGATCTACTGCTACAACACCAAACGACCAGAACCTGTCCTCATCCACCAACACCACTCCAGCAAGCGAATCTGCATCCGCAACATCACCCCAGCTAGCCGCAGAAGACGCAGCAGGAAGCGCATTCAAACCATTCGGCTGGTTCAAACGCTCTTCTGTCCTCGGTCATCCCAACGCCTCCTCCGCTTCCCCGTCCGCCGCCGCTGCAGCTGGGCCGCAAGAAACAATCCAAGAAAAAGTCCTCTCCCCACCCTTCCGCTCCTTGGATCACGACCAACTCTCCATCTCTCGTCAATCGGTCATCCTCCCCCCTCCCTCTCCCTTTGCAGAGTACGCGAACGATACAACACCCACAACCTCCACCTCCGCTTCGTCTATCCGGCCTCCCAGCGGCAGCGGTTCGAACGGAGCCCTAGCCATGGCTGCTCGCATGGCCGACGAAGAAAATGCAAAAAAGGTAGCCGAGAGTGTCAAGAGCAAGGATCTGGAAATGTCACACAGAGCACAAAGAGCGGCAGAGAAGACGGGAAGTGTGGAACATTTGACCGACGTCTTACCTTTGTTTGATTAGGCTGTATGACACATGTATTTTTAGCTTTTTGCTATACCTTCGTTGCAAGAGTGGCTGAGTGTGGTCGTGCAAAGAATGTGTGCGGTCGACTTCAGTCTTCGTCAAATACATCGAGAGCATCAGCAACCCTCCCCAGCTCAGAGCGTGTCCAATCCACAGCATGATTCATCAGCTCCAATTGACCCTTCCTATACTGCATAGCCATTCTCCAAACGTGCTTCCGAATGCCATTTTCGCGAGTGTACTTTTCACGATACCATCCTTCATGTGGTTGGTGTACTGGCCAATGTTCCACGAAGTTGATATCGAGGTTTCTGATTCGGCTGTTACTTGCACGGAAAGCTTTTCGCTTGGTTAACAGCAATCCTTCTAATGCCTCCAATACCTCTCCATACAGCTCGAGTTGTTCCTGTTCTGCTGTGGGGGGGGTGTCACCTTGAAGCACCTTCTCCCCGAGTTCCTCGAGTAATGATGGACAGGGACATTTGGCTCGCTTGAATCCGCTGCCCTCCTTTTCCTGCTCAGAGAGGGCAGAGGGAACTGGGGGGATTCGCCAATAATGAGTCTTACCCAACATCCCCTCACCACCTAGCTGCAACGCCAACGTATCTTCGCTAATAGTATCCAACACAAACCCGTATCCAGACAAGAACTCCTCATTAGACTTTCCTCCGTAATTGTTCCATACCTGAACACCTCCTTCTGTCGTCTCGTAGTTCAGCGTCATCTCCACCATCCCCACCTCTCCACCTGTGCCGGCTATGTGAGTCCATGTGACGGGGTGGGCACGAGCATGATTAAACGTATCGTAAGCGGGAATCAAGATTGGCGCTGTCTCGTTATCATCCAACCCGATCAATCGTGCAGGGAAAGACCGCGAGGTGAAAGCGGATTCTGCCCATCTCCATAGCTCTAAGCCCCGATGATAGGTGTGGGTGAAATACTGATCCGACTGAGTGTTTCTGAGTGTGATTGGTTCCAAGGTGTTCCTGAAGAAGCCTGCAAAGGTAGGAGATCCGTATGGAGGATAAGGACACTGAAAGATGGCCGATGCGTAGTCGCATATTGTCGCATTGAGCCGTCGATCAGCGGCTCCTCTTAAGGGTGTTTGGCAGAGAAGGTTCAATTCGGAGGGGGAAAAGTGTAGAGGGGTTTCGATCGTAGTTGGGATGTGTGCTACGTAGGGGAGGTGTGTTAGGACTTCTCTTAACTTTTGCTCCTCCTCGCACCCTGGGTGAGAGGAGAGATATTCGAGTGCTAAGCGACAAACAACTAGATAAAGAAGGATCCAGTCTGATTTGGGAAGTTTCTCCTCTTTTGGATCCACACCTTCATATTCATCGATCACCTTGAACAGCTGTTCGATCCGGAGAAAGGCGGAGTGGGAAGTGATGCATAGCTGCCTAGGGACCTTGATCACCGCTGTATCCTTTGGTAGCCGAGAGGAGGTGTAGAATGACAGCCCTGTCTTTGGGTCCTCCGCGAGGTACAGAGAGGGGTGCAGCTGTACACCTTGTGCTGTGAACCATTGTTGGAGTGGATGAGGGTCTGCCATCCTCGCTGTCGTAGGCGAATGTGATGCTGGGGGAGTGATGATGTGGGAGAGGGAGAAGGGGTTGAGAAGAAATTTGAGAAGGAAAGGGTGTTGGTCGGCTAATTTGCCGGCTTAAAAGCGTCGAATTTGAAGAAAGTGGAGGTGGCTCAGTCCAGAAAGAGGACCCTGTTGAATGCGGAGTTGGGCTTCTTTCCACCTTCCTTTCTGCACAACATCAACCCTGCCTCCGCCATCAGGTTAGCAAGATGGCAGGCAAAGAAGCGATCGTCATCTCTGACTCGGACTCTGATACGCTTAGCGAGTCGGAGAGGCCACTACCACCTCCTCCCAAACAAGCAACAACTTCAAGATCGGCGGTCGTCAAGCAGCGGAACGGCCAGGACGACATGAAAGAGCAAGTTCCAGAAGCTGGCCCCTCAGCTCCTCCCAGCACAGCAGCAAATGGTCTCTTGGGTCTGATTCCAAATCGACGTCAACTTGAACTCGAAAGAAAAGAACGTGCACGCAAGCGAAGAAGGGAGCAAGGTCTCGCATCCTCCTCTAGCGAAGACGAAGAGACGCAGGTCGAAGCCAAACGCAGCAAGCCCCACCAAGCCTTACCATCAGCTCAGCAGGATCCACATGCGCCGCTACACAAACCAGCGCAAATAGTAGAGAGAGGCAAATCTTCATCAACGACTAGCAACACCCCATCCAGCTCCTCTTCGGGCTCGAGCTTCTCAAGCGCAACATCCCCAATCAACCCCAAATCCCGTTTCTGGACTGGCACAATCAAACACGGCTATAACACCTACGCCTCCATTTCCCTCTCCGGCATCACTATCCCCTCACTCATTCTCCCTGCCACCCCCTCCTCCCGTAACACACTTCAACTTGCCGTCCTTGCGACCTACGATCTCCGCATGGATTGGCTCTATTCCCTCTTCCCCCGCAATCTCCCCGTCACTCTCATCCTTCCACCTCCGAAGGAGGATTACAGATCAGGAGACCCGACTATCGCACGACCAGGGCTGTATCCAAGCGAAGTGTTCGGTGGGTTTGAACGCTTTCCCGGGTGGAAAATATGTGTTCCGAATAAACCGAAGGGTGGATGGTTGACACAGCATATGAAGTTTTTGGTGCTGGTTCATGAGGGGTGGTTGAGGGTGGCGATCGCTAGTGGGAATTTGAATGAGGTTGATTGGAGCAGGATTGAGAATGGGGTATTTATACAGGATTTCCCGCTAAAAGGTGGCGAAGGGAGTAGTGCAAGAGCCGAGGGGAGAGGAGGGGTGGAAAACGATTTCAAAGAGCAACTCACCCTTGTTCTGAAGTCGTTAAGCGTTCCACCTTCACATCCCGTGTGGACTGCGCTGGACAGGTTTGACTTCTCATTAGGCGGAGCTCGGGCGAGGATCGTAGCTTCCTGGCCAGAAGCAAGCTCTCTTCAGGGTTGGGATAGGATCGAGACGCAAGGTCTAGGCAGACTGGGCAAAGTGGTGAGGGATTTAGATATCCCAGCTGTGAAGGGTGGGATGGAGGTCGAGTGCCAGGGCAGTTCGTTAGCGAATCACGATTTGAAGTGGATCGAACACTTTCACTTACTCGCTTCGGGAGTGGACCCGCGAGGGAAACTTCCTTTCAAAGGTAAACCGAACGAAGCGCATCCCGAATACAGAAGAGCAATTGGAGGCGTAGGAGGGGCTTTGCCGCCTGTGAAGGTTGTTTTCCCGCACCATAGGTATGTTGAGCAAGAAACGGTGGAGGGGCCGATGGGTGCGTTGAGTTTCTTTGGTAAGGCTGAAACGTTCTCTTCTTCGCCGTAAGTTCCTCTTACTCCCTGATTCTGTTAGGTCTTCGTTGTTTCTTGTTGTTGATCGATTTCCTTGATTTGGTGTTGGGGAGTATAGGATAAAAAGGCTATACTACAGTCCACAGTCAAGAAGAGGAGACGTAATGATTCATGCCAAGTCTCTCCTTGCACTTACTCCAAAGGGCGCAACGATCGTCGATCAAGCCTTTTGGACTGCTGCTGACGCTCAACTGCCTGGTAGCAGCCGACAGCCCCTACCGAGGCAAGGGGAGGACGAATGGCTGCCGAACCCGGGAGAAACACCAATAGGATGGAGTTATTTGGGGAGTAGCAACTTCACTCGGGCCGCACACGGAAACATCTCTGGAACCGTACAGAAGCCGACGCAGAGTGGGAGCAATTGGGAGCTGTAAGTCCCCCCCCCCCCCCTTCCGTCCCCTCTTGCTGAAGATGGATAGCAGAACTGACGAAACCTGGTTCACGGTTGGTGTCGGGGGAAATAGGGGTGTGGTGATGCCGATCTATGCTTCAGAAGTGGAGAAGTTCGGTGTGGAAGCGGAGAGTTTGAGGCCGATCGTATATCATCGACCTCTACAGCAGTATGGGTCTGAGGATACGCCTTGGGTGAGTACAAAGTGGTGGATGTGATAAGAGAAAAGGTAGAGAGAGGCTGGAGAAAGCTGACCTGTTCTGATTTTGTGCTTTGTGAGGTGCGGTTAATAGGATAACTCTTCGGCTTTGGCGATGTTCTAATCTCTCAGACCAATTCAGTAAGCAAATCGAACGGTGACGTGCACGAAGCCAGGTTTATGCTGTGAGCTCGATAAGCTCATGCTTCTGTGTGCGTGTCGAATGTTGACGCAGAGCGACGTCTGCATGAGGCAGTCGTGTTCATTTCCATCCTCAAGCAGATCGCACAGCTATGAGCTTCTCTTCGAGTGTTTCTTCGAATGTAAATGCTTCGGAGAGTTGCAATTGCGATAATGGTGGTCCGCGAGTTGACAGCAAAATGAAAGAGTTACATGGACAAGTTCTTAACCCCATTCCTCGTCCTTTCCACCCCATCGTCCTCATCCTCACTAATCCCTCTTGTTTCCCCATCCTCATCTTGTCTTCCTTGCTCCCAACCACTACCTCTATACTGATCCAAATCAAACATATCATCATCACTGTCCTCCTCATCTCCCGCAAACATATCTGGATTCAAACTGAACATTTCCCTGCCACTCAACCCAGCCATTTTGTTTGCGGCTGCTTGAGCTTCTTTCTTCTTCTTGAGCATTTCCGCTTCTGCTTGTTTCTTGTCCATCCTCTCCTTTTTCCACTTGGCGAAAGTTTCTGCGGTGACTGGGGTTAGGTTTGATCCCAACTTGTGTCTTTCCGTTTCTAAGAAGTCTTCCAATGAAATCTCGTTGGCTTTTTCCAGTGCTTCCAGTTCTTTCTTCTGAGATTTGAGTACGAATCCAGGTGGTAAACGATGACGATACATACATTTCTCACCACCATTTGGACATTCCCAAAACCACCCATACTTCCCATCCTCCACAGCTTGCAAGAAGAACTTACAAACCTTATCCGTTGTACTTTTTGGATTCCCATGTTTACTCAACACAACCGCATTCAATTTCGCATCATCCCATTTATCCATCGTATCGTTCTTTTTATCTTCCGCATCATCTCTCATATCCACATACAAATCCTTCTTCTCCGTTTTCCTTCCTGCATCTTTATCGTGTCCATATTTGCATTTACTCCCCTTATCGCACCTTCCCGCCTTCCAAAATGCACAGGTGACGGTTTTCGGATCGACTCCAAAGGGTACTTTGGGTTGGACAATGGCGAATAAAGGGTCGGCAGCAAGTTCTTTGGCTGCTTGAGCAGCAGCTTTTTTGTCTTGCTCCTTTTGTTTTTCGCGGGCGAGTTGTTCTTTTGACTTGCCAGCCATTTTTTGTTGCTGTTGGATTAGGGCTACGGTTTTTTGTCCTTTGCCTCCTTTTTTGTTTTTCATACCGAAGGTTTTGTCCACGGCAACTTTGGAGCCGCCGCCCTGCTTGTCTTTGCCTTTGGGCGGCATTGTGGGCGATAGTCGGCGAGGGTAATGGGTGGGAAGGTGAGGGTGTCTAGGGTGGTCGGGCAGGTGAACCTGAGTATGATGCTAGAGCTTCTTCGTCCGTGGTGAGGTCGGTTAGTTGGGGAGATGCTGTCGAAGACGAGCGAGGGGCGGATATGCGAGCAGCAAATGTCGATCCTAAGTCGTCTGGGACGTCGAGAGGATGCCGAGTGCTATATCGAAGACGACGAGCTACGTGCCACGTCGATTTTGCGCTGCTGATGGAAGCTGTTATTCTCCTACACTTCTCAAGAGCAAGTTGAGATAGAAGGTGACGGAAAGGAGCTCGACAAGGTCAAAGAGAGTAGTAGGAAGGAGAAGAAATGGAAGATGAGCGGAAGAAAGTCGTGTGCCTCTTTCCCTCTCTCACCAGCTTCCAATTCACTTTCGATTTCACTTTCTCATCATCAGCCAAATTTTTCTATTCACGTCGCCCAGCATCACTTGTATTGGACTAATAAAAAATTTCTATTTCCTTCACGATCGGGCTCTTTCGGCGGCAACTGAAGGTTGAGTGACTTCCCGATCTTCCGTTTCGTAATTTTGCAGCATTTAGCCGAGGAACTCACTTCTCACCCTCAATGCTACTCTCAAATCAGGAGTCGACTCGAGAAAGTGGGTGTGATGATGTTGCAAAAGAGTTCGTGAATTGCTGAAGACCATAAAGGAAAAGACAAAGAGCGACCAAAGATACCGCTGGAAGACGAACAAGAGCCTTGAGCTCAACGGAAAAAGATGCGTTAAGGAGGAAAGGTCGTTGGGAGATTGTCCGGTGATTGCAACGAACAAGCATTGATTGCAAAAGTGTAGAAAAGGAAGTCGATCAAGGAGAACCATCACCACTACGCAACTCAGTCATGGGACTGAGGTGAGGTGGTGCTGGTGAGCCTTGTCCCGAAGGTGTTCTTGTCGTTGGTGCGCCCAATAAGCCAGACTCAATCGTAGTCATGTCCGTGACTGAATGAGCACGGCTGAGCGAAGCAGAGAACAGACCTGGACGTGTGCCGTGGCGTTCACCCAGAGGCGAGCCAGGACCTGAAGGGGAAAGTGCACCGGGTGCCGCAACGCTGCTGGCCAAAACGCTGCCTCCAGGCGTAGTAAGCCCTGATCGGGTCGAAAGCGTTGCTGATGTGAGTCGGTGTCCCAGCACTGGTGTGGGTGCTCGACTCGATGTTCTGGAAGCAGGACGTGAGATGGCAGTGCCCGATGTGATACTGGTGAAAGTGGGCGATGCGGGTCGAGAGACGCGGACTGTTGTCGGTGTTGAAGCTCCTTTTCTTGCTGCGATACGGGCGCCATGACCTAAGAGGTTGTCGCTGGAATCTCGGCTTAAAAGTAAAGTCGAAGTGCGTTTCTTAGACTTGGTTGTGCGTCGTGGAGCAAGCGAAGGGAAGATGGATATGATGCTAAGAGCTACTCTTCGTACCGGCCATCCTAGTACGCCAAGGAGACCAGTGGAGCGTTTGCGTGAAGATGAACGAGAGCCACGACCAGCTGATCCGCTCGAACCGCTGCTTTCTTCCGAGCTGCCTTCCGAGCTGAACCCGAACTCTGCTTCCATAGTGGGACTGTAGTCTTTCGTGTCGGCTCGCTTGCCGAGCTTGGACCAAAACCCACGTTTCGAGATGTCACCGCTTGCTGCTTCTTCCATGCTAGCCAAAACGTAGTCGCCACGAGGGCTGCGCTTGGAGCTGCAGAGACCGCCGAAAGTGCCCAGAGGTGGCGGTAGCATCTCCTTGATGGCTGCCCGTCTCCTGCTGGCTCGTGGTCCACGTCCTCGAGTGCAAACACAAGTGATCAACAAAACCAGGAACACGGCAACCATGATGATCATTGATACAGGGCTGACGTGACGCCTGGCTGCACCCAAAGCAGGAGGGAAAGCTGATCCTTCACCCGTAGTAGGCCACTTGGGTCGAAAGGGGTCCCATTTGCCCAACTTCGAGTTAGCTTTGTTCAACTCGTCGAACGGAGATGGAAGCGAGCCGGGGGCGGGTGGGATGTCACGACTTGCTTCCAATACAGCCTTGCCAAGCGTCCAGCTGACGGAGAAGCCATCGATATCGTTGACACTCTGGAAGAGGTTCTTCTGCTCGCCCTTGCCCTGAGCTTCGTCTGCATGGTCTGTACCGTCACCTGCACCCTTGTGGTCGACAATACGTGGAATGCCGATACCCTCATGCAGCACGGTGACCATCCATGCGGCTTTGAAGCACTGCGTTTGCAAGCGGTTCAGTTGCACTTCTGGCCCAAACAGATCGCCTGCATCGAGATGGTGTTTGAGCTTTGCCCATGGCTTACTGCAAAACTCGTTGGCAGCCTTCTGGAAGTCAACAAAGTCATAGACACCGCCGAGACCGAAAACATCTTGGGCGCTGAACCAGTATTCGGAAACGCCGATAAAGTGGTTGACGCTGAAATCGATCTTGGGGACGTGGACGCCGTGGAAGAGACAGGGTGGCTTGGTGCATGCTGCTTCCTTGTCAAGAAGAGGGTGCATCGACTCGAGACAGGCGGTGAAGTTGCCAGTGCCTGTGAGGGCAACATCTGGTTTGCCTTCCACATCTGAAAGCTGCAGTCCGCTAGGAAGACAAGGGTCAGGCAATGCGTGTTTGCTGTTTTGCGAATTGCCGTCGATAGAGCGGAGAAGGTCGATGTAGCGCTGCCTTGCTTGATTTGTACCGTAGCCGAGGAAGGTCGTCACAAACACTTTGTGTGAGACCTCGGTGCCGTCAAGCATGCGTAAAGAGACGGGTGTGAGTTCTGCTTCAGCGGCTGCACCTTCGCCCTGGAGAGCCTTCTTGCTTGGCTCAAAGGCAATCTGTGTACTGGCACCGCCCATGTCGAGGAAACCGAAAGTGGACTTGCCTTCCATGATATCGGTTTCGCCAGCAAGCGATGGCTTCTTGCCGCGGATGTGGAAGCCATCCATGAGATAATTGATCGAGATCCAGCCGAGCAGACCCTCCTCTTCTCCGGTAATGACCTGTACGTGCTCGTCGCATCCACCGCCGTCAATGCTGAAGGAAGTGTGTTGGCGAATGTAGCGACATGCTTCAGCGAGCACGGCTTCGCGTTGCTGTTTGGGAAGCAAGCGCATGCCTGCAGTTGCCATTACGTAGATGGGAGTGTCTGCCCATGCGGAGGGTGGCACGATCTTCTCTGCATGATCGAGAAGACCTTTCAGATACTTGCCCACATCTGCTGGGCGATCGCCGAATGAGGAAAGACCGGGCGTCACTTTCAGACTCCAGTCCATGCCCGAGTTCTCCCATGTTCCCTTCTCAACTTTGGGCAGTACTGTCGCGTCCAAGCCTTGTTTGGCTCGCAATGCACGTTCCAACTTGGGATCTTTCCAAGAGTAGACTTGCATACGAGAACCAGAAGAGCCAGCATCGATAAGAACGGCATACTTGCGTCCTTCAAGCCAAGATGAGGGGGCATCAAGTTGTGCTGCCCCTGGCGCCGCATCTTTGAGCGGCGACTCTTTCAAGTTGGGCTTGTTCGGCTTAGCTGCTGCATTCCATGTGTAGGCATCCGCGACGTTTTCGCGTGGTTGGACGTGGGTGGGCTGGGATCTGCGTTGCTGCTGTTGCTTTTGTGAGGCCGCCGTGTATTGCTGTCGCTGTCGGCGCTTGACAGGTGTGTCGAAGGTGTAAGCGCCATAAGGCTGGGAAGACGATCCCTGTATTGGGTAGCTCATCTTATCTGTTGGGCGTGCAAGTGGTGAGAGCAGGTTCTATGGCCAGGACGCAAAGCAGAGCGATAGGAGGACAGCTTAGACGTGCATGTGGTTGCAAGTTGTTCGATGAAAGCAAGTGAGTGCTAAGGTACGGGTGTGGCTGTGTCGGTATCGATTCGGTTCGGGAAGGGTCCGATGCGAGTGTAGCCAGTGTGCGGCCTGGGGATGAACAGATGATGGTGATGGGGCAGATCGAAATAGAGGGAGAGGTGAGGTGGAAAGTAGAAGAGAGGCGTGGAGAGCAAGCAAGAAAGGTTGGAATGAAATGTCCAGCAAGTCGGGATGGCCGAGAAGGCGATTGAGCCGAGGCGAAGCCAGAACAAGAGAGTCCTGAGTGAGTGTGTGAGTGTGTGTGCGTGTGTTCCCAAATGGAACAAGTGGCGTGCGGAGGGGGCACTGCCAATTTCCTTGAAGAAGCAGCAGCACAGCAAAGGAACGGCATCGACCGCGGGTTCCGTAGATCCGGAGGCTGTGAGAAAGGCATCACGTGATCGTCATGAAGGCGTGCGTGTCTGGCCTGCCTCTCTTCACTACATCATCTTCACCAAAAGCCAGGCGTACTATCAGCAGCCTGGTTCGTCGTTATTTGCCCTCCCTGTACACCCTCCCTTGCCGCTCGTTTCTGCGCTCGACCGGACGGCGGGCCGGGAGCCTGCTTGTCTGCAATCCACTTAGTTTTTTCGTGTTATGTATATACAGTTTCGTTATGTTTCGTGCGATTGAATCCAGGCGGGAAGCGACAACGAAAAAGGGGCTCGAGGAGAGAGGAGTTTAAAACAAAAAAAAAAACAAAAAAAAAAAAACAAAAAAAAAAAACGGAGAAACGCAGCAACCAGACCGCGCTTTGAATCCGCAATTCGACTCAGGAAGGCAACAAATCAGGATTCAAATTTCAAATGGAAGCGAAGCAGGCCAAAATTCGCCTGCAGATAGCTTGGCTGGAAGTTGGCGGTGGATGGCGACGCCGATGCCTTTGATTGCTCACAATCGCCAATTCCCCGAGGCTGAACTCGAACTCTGCCTGAGAAACGCCGTCGTTGCCTTCTACGGCCCTTGTTTCGAATCACACCACGACACGAGTTCGAATTGGAACCTTTCAGGAGAATCATATCTCCACTCTCCCATGCCGTATGAACATGGGGTAGTGGGCTCAACAACTGACGCAATGGTTGCCATCAAATCTCGTTCCAACAAAGTACCAGGCTATTTACGATCGCCTTCAAAAAAAAAAAAAAAAAAAAAAAAAAAAAAAAAAAAAAAAAAAAACAGCAGCCGCTGCGACCATACTGGCCTCTCTGCTCTTTTTTCATGTGTTCTCGCTTCTCCGAGGCCATTCGAGATTTACCTAAACCTGGGTCCGATTGCCAGACATCTGTTGAATCCGTATCTTTGAACAAGCCTTGCACAATCGAAGCATAGAGCCAAATGGATATGCGGCTCCACAAAGGGTGAGAGGGAGCGATCCACATCGGCAACAGAGACAAGCCAAATGAGTGGAGAATCCTTTCAAAGCTCCAGATACATGTGATTCTTTCACTTACCAATACACCTTGCATAGTTGCTGCACAGTCCTGTGGCGCAGTACGAGTCCTCATTACAGCTTAGTGGGGAGCCGAAGGCGCCGGGCTGTTTCAGCCTTCTTCCGGCCTGAAAGGGGTTTTCGCTTCAAAAAGTCGAGCAATTTTGTCCAGCAAATACAGTCACGTCCAAAATTGCCCAGCATCTAATTAATTTGATATGGTGTTCTCAGGTCCTTTTCATGATGATGACCAGTACTCTTTGTTCTCTTTGACAATGCCCACTTTGTGTGGTATGGTTGCAAAGCTTGGATAGCCTGCTATCAGAATATGTGAGAGAAAAAGGGTGGTCCCACCAAAGAATATGCTGGAATTTAGGTTGGTGCTCTTTGAAGCCCCTCCTCCTCCTCAATTAATTCTGTACCTTGTGTAACCTATTGCTTTGCACAGAATTGAGCTAATAGACCATGCTCGAAACTTCATATGATTGTAGTATGATATAAACAAAGATGTTTCAGGGTGTTTTGACAAGCTTAGGACATCATATGGCAATACTGCTGTCAACATAGCAAGGAGGGCAAAAAGTCAATATGGGGAGGACTAAATACACCACCACTCACCTATTACAGGTCAAAGAGCTGCTCTAAGCAGGTTTCTCAACAAGGGAGATAGCAACTAAACTGTCTATCAACAAATCTAGCATTGCTGAACTGGCAAAATGGGTGTCATGGGCCTGGATGCTCAAGAAGCAGGAGAGTCACGGGTTCATATGGAAGGAGCACAGGTATCGAAGATCTAGTCGAGATCAGTAGAGAGCATGGTCATAGTGCAGTCTCCATGGAGACCATGGACTCCTATGGACTCACATGCAAAGGAGGGCCAAGCACAGCCACGAGGAGGACCAAGCTCAAGGAGCAGGCACAGCCACGAAGAGGACCAAGCTCAAGGAGCATGCAGATGGTTACCACTCAGGGGCTCGAGAGACAAGAGCCAAAGGAACTGTCACTGATCAAAGGAGGAGGAGCAGTGTCGAAGGAGTCGACACCAGGTCATGAGGAGGAGGAGCAGTGTCGAAGGAGTCGACATCAGGTCATGAGGAGGAGGAGCAGTGTCGAAGGAGTTGACATCAGGTCATGAGGAGGAGGAGCAGTGTCAAAGGAGTCGACACAGCTCAAGAGGCACAGGGGTGCCAAGCAGGAGAGGCCCCTGAGCAGTACTCGATGAAGAAGGTACTCTCTGGAGAGAGAGAGCAGGAGCAGCATTGCTGGCAATGCTGAGTAGAGGTATATAACCAGGCTTTCTCATCATCATAGGTCGAGTGGATCCTCATCCACTCTACTCACCATATAACTAGTTATCACTTCAGCATAAGTATACATTAGTTTCAGTCAGCATAGCAGCAATCTATCAAGGTTGCTCCTCATTGTAGTGTGTGTGTTGTATCACCACTACCTGACGTCCGAAGGCACCCATAGCAGGTTAGCAGTCCAGATCAAGATAGAACCGAAGGCAGTAGTCCACTGTGGTCCAGGGATCACTTCAAGCATCAAGTCAACACACTGGACACTCGTGTTGACGCCACCAACCTTATCACCAACACCATCAACCTCATCATCATCAACACTCACACCAGACCTTGGTGTCATCATAACATTGATATTGATCGTGCCGAGCTACCCCTGAATGGAGTGTCCACAGAGGTCAGCCGAAACCTACGATAGTATATACAATGAACGCCACCTGCTGTCACTGCACAACTTGATAGTCACCAATACTGAGACAACAGCTGTCGCACAGTTTGATAGTCACCAAGTATCTCGACAGACCGACCTGGGTTTCAGGCGCGAGACCCCTGACAATGGGTACCAGAGAGTGAATATGTGAAAAGGACCCCTGGGAGGCCCCTCCTCCTCTCCTCACACCAACAGGCATTACTCACCAGAGGAATTAGCAAGAATTCTTATACTTTGGCTACTGAAGCTTCAGCCTACTGGCTACAACACTATCAACTTTGTTTGTCCAGACAAACCATTACATGTGCACTGAAGCAAGCTGGACTTAAGTTTAGGGCAAAAAGAAGAAAACCCTTGCTCACAGATAAACATAGGAAGGCAAGGAGGGTGTTTGCCAAGGAGTATAGACATTGGACTGTTGAACAATGGAAGAATGTCATCTGGAGTGATGAATGCAAGGTTCAATGCATTGGAAAGGGCTTGGAAAAGTGATACTGGTCCAGGGATGTCAACTATGATATATATATACCTACACTGCAGGGGGGTGGCCACAGCATCATGATTTGGGGGTGTATGACCTGGGCAGGCCTAGGTCTAATGGTCTATATAGATGACAAACTGAATTCAGAGTGTTACATTGAGTTGCTGGAGGAAGTGGTGCCTGGTAGCATCTTGAAGTGGAAGAATATACAGAGAATTCCACCAAGGGATAAACTGATCTTTCAGCAAGACAATGCCTGCCCTCAAAAACTTATATGTACTTGTAGCTCTCAATCTCAGCTTTCCAAAAATATGTCACAAGCTACACTTCATTGAGGATACCAGCTCTTGAGAAGTGAAGTTGATGTGTGGTGATGAGCATTTAATTATCCTAAAAGATGCCGGGCAATTTTGGACGCGACTGTAGCACTGTCTGTCGCTATGTCTATAAATAGACACGGAACAGTCCAGGTGTGAGATAGACCGCAAGTGGTCACCCCTCAATTTGATGTCTGAGATCATTTGCACTATTGAGTGCTGCTAGCTTGTCGCTAAGACACTGCGTTGGGATGGTTTGCAGCATGAGGGTGCACCCCATCGTCCAAACGAGGCGATAGGATACGCGTTCTACATTTGATGCCTCGCCTCCGTTGTTCACGATCTTGACACCATGCAGCTCGTCAATTTCGCAGCCGAGTCTCCTGCTGCTGTTGGCATGGAAGTGAATCTTCTCCTCGAAGCTTTCGTAGCTTTCATCAGACAAAGAGGGTGTGAACATGGCATCCCAACCGTCGGGTCCAGTGCCCGCGTATTGTGGCATTACAATCTCAACCTCCGCTTCAGCTTCATGCTTTGTCGCGAGTCCGCTGCCATTCCCAAGCACATATCAACAACTCACGCGCGTTTCCTTCGGATTCAGACACGATCTTCATCGCAATCGTCGCGCTTTGTACGGCGTATTTCTCGAAGCATCTGACTGACTCCTCCATCTGCCCAACAGCGATAGACAGTCTTGTGACGAGACTCTCTTTCTTTCTTTGTGGGAGCTGTTTCGTCGCGGCCAGGTTTCGTCACGAACAGCAAAGTTTCCAGTGCTGCAGTCCACCTCTTTGGCGATGCTCGGCTGCGGGATACCACGCTGAGACAACCCCGATACCACGAGCAAAAGTTTTCAGGCACCATCAACTGGGTGAATGTGTAGACAGGTTTGACTCTTATTGACGCTTATCGGGCGATGTCAATTTAAGCACAGTGTTCACGCTTTTGAGCAGTAACACTATACTATATTGACTTGAGAGAAGAACCTAGCGGTAGCCTCGAGCTCTCCGCTAAATGTCTAAGTTGAAGTTTTGAAGTGCACGACACCGCTTCGTTAGGGCTACGTTCTAGCTCCTTTCGCACAGGTGTATGGTAGCTGCAATCCTTAAGTTTTCAGAACTAAAGCTACAGGACGTGTGTGTAAGCGCTCGCGCGCCTGAAACCTGAGTTTGGTGGTCCTGGTTGATATTGGTGAGATCAACTGAGCAAGCTCCTTCCAAACTGTTTTGGTGAAAGGAACCAGAAGGCTTACTTCTCATAGGTTTTGACTGACCGCCTTGAACACTCTGTTCAGAGGCTATGCAGCACAATCATATAATGGGATTGTCTTGCTAATGCTATACCTAGGTATAACGGATTGATGCCTGTGGCAGCAAGAGTGTTCGTAATGCTGACAGTGGCTCAATGATGGTGGAAGGTATCTGGACCACAATAGAGTATCACTACAGATGGAAAGAGAGTGGACTGCAGTGTAGAACACTGCCTACAGTGAATGACTGGACCGCAGTGATAATCACTGCCTACAGTTGAAATCCAACAGTGATACAACACATGCACTTGGAAAGTCTTTGCAAAGCACTGCTATTGCAATGATACGGAACTAAGTAAAGAGTAAGATAAGTAGTAAGTAGAGTGGATGAGGATCCACTCGTATGTGTATCGCGCCACGCTCGTCTTGGCCTCTCGGCCGGGATGTTCGTGGCCGCGAAGAGAGCTCACTCTCGTCATGTCACGCTCATCTAGACCTCTAGGCCGGGATGTTTGTGGTCAACGAGATATCACTCTCTTCGTCGCCAAGTCTCGCTACCTTCTGAATTACCATCGATTCACAACCTCATCTTGCGACTGCGCAGCAGCACAACCAACGGATCATGTGCTATACCGCAGAAGGTGGCAACTCAGGGGCCCTATAGGAGATAGCTCATCTCATTCGGGCATGATCAAAGATGGCAATAAAGTATATATATGTCCATTGAGGATGTAATTGATGAACAAGAAATACAAGACCTTTCTCAAGAACATACGCCTGTGGATACGAGCTTGCTAGTAGCTCCGGACAGCGTACAGCCTTGGTATTCTTCAATTCAGACACTCGTGTTGAGACAGACGCCATTGCACTACACACTAGTGTAACTACAGCAAGTCACTTAGGACTTTGGATTGTGCCGTGCTACCACTGGACGGAGTGTTCACGGTGGTTAGTTGGACCTTGCTCATAAACCGCGTTATCATCTATTTCAGAGAGACCATTTGTAAAGAGCTCATACAAGAGGTTTCAACGAGACCGGTCCTAATTGACTTTTAACGCAGGCTAAGGTTCCAAGCGCGCGACCGTTTACACTGATGAGGTCGCACTCGCCCTCACCCGATGACAAGGAGCTGGAGGAGGATGAGCAGTGCAGCAGAGACTCTGCTCCTCCCAGAAGGAGCAAGAGCAGTGTCGCAAGCGACACTGCACATGTCTATATATACTCACATTCTTGTCGCTATAGTAGTTGAGTGGATCCTCATCCACTCTACTCTTAACTAGCTATATTTTTACCATACATATACTTAGTTACTTGTCAACAGTTGCAATTGCAGGGCATTGCTACTCATCTCCATGCATGTGTTGTATCACCACAGCTTGGTGTCACCTGAAAACAGTCCTCATACTGCAGTCTGGGCAGCCCAAACATTACTGAAGGCAGAACCTTTGCTGCGGTCAAGACAACATTCATCAATACCATCTTACGACTGTCAGCATTACAAACACTCGTGTTACAACAGTCATCATCGTGCTATATCTTAGTGTAGTCACATCACGCCAGTCAAAGAACCTTGAGTGTGCCGCGCTACCTCTGAACGGAGTGTTCACAGCAGCTAGTTGAAATTCGCCGGGAAGCAGCTTTCTAAGATATCTCGCTGAGATCCGTTGGAAAGAGCTTATTCGACATATTCCATCGAAGTCGGTCAGAATCATTTTTTCCAGCAGATTTCTGGTTTCAGGCGCACGACAGCTGACAGTGAGGCTCTTGTGGAGGCTAAAGATATGATGTTCTGTGCGCTTCTGAGGCTTGAAGTATGAGTGAAGGCTATTGAATATAGCCGTCTTGACCAGGTTGAAATGTTTGTGTCTCCGCTTTGATTTCGACAGTCCTCGCACGACCCCTGAGCCACTGCACTGTGCGGACGTCTAGGATGCGTCCTGTGCGTTATGTATAGGAGCTGCGAGCGTGGGAGCAACACGATAGAGGTTACAGCCGAACGAAAGGATCTACGAAGTGCTCCAAGTGAAACAAGTAACCCCTAACATTTCCCCGGATCTCAATCATAGAACACATACTCGATCCCGCATCCTTGACCACATCCGTTCGTCTGTCTATGTGAGATTCCATTGCAAATTAAATCACTTCTTCCCACCAGCCCTTTGTTTCAGCTCCTCAACAGTTCTCTCCAACAGCACCCCCGTACAACCCCTCAGTGCTCTCGCTTCAGCCTCTTCTGCGAAACCCCCGCCAGCCCATCTAATTCTACCCTGGGCGTCTACGAGATAAGTATAGCCGACATGTTTGTTGTGAAATCCAATCGCTTCTTTTTCCAACTCAACGTTTTGGCTTGACAAAAGGTATGTTGGGTGTAGTGCGGGGGGGATTTTTTGTCGTAGGGAGGAAGTGAATAGGGAGATGAGGTAGGATTTTAGTGGATTTGATTGAAGGTTGATCTGCGAGATACAAAACAAAGGCAAACGGGAAGTGAGTATCGAGACAAAAACCAAGAGATGAGGTTGAGGGGTGAGAAGCTTACCATCACAAGCTGGAATCGGGGATGAGAACCAAAAGTAGCCACCGTTGATTCGTAGAAACTCTTCGTGTGCTCTTCAGAAATCTTACTACCTAATAACGCGACAAGCGATACTTTCCCTCGCAACATATCCACGGTATTGACCTTTCCCTTATCGCTCAGTCTAGTTCCTTCTATTCTGGGAAACCAAAGTGCGCGTTCGTCTTTGATTAAGGTATTTGGAGCGCGCCAAGTTTTACCACCATGGGATCTGATTGCGTGAAAATCGTGAAAGTATCCTCGAGTAGCTTCCTTAACAATGGCTTTGCGTGATGCCATTCGATACTCTGGGGATATGAGTCGATCTCGAGTTTCAGACCATGTGGGTTTGGAGGATGATGGTGGGGTGGGCAGGCCAAGAGGAAAGGAGAGGTATGGGAGTGGGCGCGAGTTGAGCTCTTCTGGTGAAGAGAATGATTCGCGGACCAAAGGCTTGGAGGAGGTGGAGGCGGAGGATTCAGAGGGAGGAGAGGAGGGAGTGGTGGGAGTGATGGGGGTTGGGGTGGTGGGCGGTGACGAAGAAGGTTTGTCTGATGAAAAGGTGGTTGATGAGGATGCAAATGTGCGTGTTGAGGTGCGTGCTGAGGAGAGAATGCCTCTTGTGACTGCTGGTGATGCGAGTGTGCGCAACATGGTGGTCGCTGTGTGATGGAGTATGCGATCCCGGCGTGTGTGTAGAGGAGTTGAACGGCGAAATTAGGAGGGACAAGTGGTGATGAGGAAGATGATAGGATGGGCACGAGAAGGCTGCCGAAAAAAAGTTGAGCTTTCTTCCGAAGTGTTCCCCGCGCAAGAAATTCCGACTCCCGAAAATCTCTCACACCGAGGTTGGTTGCCTTGTTCTTGAAATGAGATTAAAATTTATTGAGCGCTACAACCCCATTTCCTGAGCTTGGATTGGCCTCGCTTGTCCACCTCGAAGATTCAAACCGCAAGCCCCTAAGTTGGGCTCTAGTTGCCTCTAATTTCGCCCACCACACGCACGCTCAAACACACACACGCACCCACGCAGGCTCGCTCTCTCTCTCTTTCTCTGCCTGGCTCTAGGCTTGCATTTTTGAGCGGCTCCAACTCTCGCCAACGTCTCGCTCGCAGCAAACACTTCCGAATTGTCGCTTCCGATACCCTGTCCTCGCCATCACGTCGACTTGCCATCTCATCTCTGCACCTTCCTCTATACCTCTCACTGCTCACCTTCCTCCTAAAGCAGCTTCGACTCACTTGGCACTGCCCGCTTCCGCCACTGTCGCATCGACTCGTGATCGTTACAACATCCATTCTCGAAGGCTTGATTTGGATATCTAAACATAGGCCTTACCCTTTCATTTTCGATCTAAGGTTCTTGTTCGCTCGTCATCGCCGCACTCATCTTGCATCTGCATTTGCCTCCGCGTCGTCCCAGCTCTCTCTCTTCTGAAATACTTACTACGAGGCTCAGCGACATCACCACCGGCTACCCCTTCTCGCCAATCCAAGCACGGAACATCGCTCGACAGTATCAATAGACAAAGGCTCTCATCTCTTCTAGTCTTCTTCAATCGCTCATCGGCCTGCGACTCAGCATAACTTTTCCCTCTGTCGTATTCCTATCGACCTCTCCACTCTGCATCTTGGTCTAATCGGATTGCAACCTCTACACAAGACTCAAACATCATGTCTTCGAAAGCACAATTCTTGCGAGAGTACAAACTCGTCGTCGTCGGTGGTGGTGGTGTCGGAAAGTCGGCCTTGACGATCCAATTCATTCAGAGTCATTTCGTTGACGAATACGATCCGACTATCGAAGACTCGTACCGAAAACAATGTGTCATTGACGAGGAAGTAGCGCTGCTCGATGTTTTGGATACGGCTGGTCAGGAGGAGTACAGGTAAGCTCACCATGACATTGTCGTAAAGCTCTCGTCATCTCGATGACGCAAAACCACTGACATCACCTTGCTTTCGACTTCTCATCCACTTTGTACAGCGCAATGAGGGAACAATACATGCGAACAGGTGAAGGTTTCTTGCTAGTCTACAGCATCACATCTCGCAACTCGTTTGACGAGATCTCGACATTCCACCAACAGATCTTGCGAGTCAAGGACAAGGACTCTTTCCCCGTCATCGTCGTCGCCAACAAGTGCGATTTGGAATACGAGAGACAAGTAGGAAGCCATGAAGGTCGCGAATTGGCCAAGCACTTTGGCTGTCGATTCATCGAGACATCAGCCAAGCAACGTATCAATGTCGACGAGGCTTTTAGCAACTTGGTTCGCGAGATCAGGAGGTATAACAAGGAGCAGACTATGGGTCGTCCCGGTGCTGCAGGTGCTACTGGCGCGCAAGGTGGTATGGAACGATTCCAGACAGAAGAGGGTTCGCACAAGGGTGGATGCTGTGAGGGTTGCGTTGTTCTCTGAGTTGCGTTTCTTGGCTTCTCCTGGGTTTTCTTTCGGATCTCAGCATAGACTTTTCCTTCCATCAGCACAACCAAGTCACCAGTCGACCTTGGTTGGAGTGATGTTCGGGTGCTATTCACTCTTCCACTGCAATGCGGGGATCGGATTGGTCCCGCAAGGTGACTTCGCTATAGCGCGTCTAGATATGCCGAAAGGCGCTTGTTCGCTGACAATACCTTCTCAGGCCTCCTTGCTCCGCCATGCTGGGCAGCCCTCTCGCGCCCCTTCTCTCTCTCTCTCTCTCGCATGCCATCTTTCGTTCTGTTCTCCAAAACTGGCTTTTAGTCAATGATATCCCTTTCAGCTCTCAAGCACTACAGGCCTGATCTGATATGCTTTCATTCGCCATGAGTATCTCTGACCGCAATAGCTTGATCAGTCGAGGCTACGTGTTATGATATCACTTCACCTCCAACTCCTTCACTGCGACTCTTGTCAACATCTTCACAGTGAAGTCGATATGCGTTTTTCCTCAGAACATCGCACACTGAAGAAATAGCAGATGAGTGCCTGTTTGTGAGTCAAACCGGGGGCAAGAATGGTGTTTGTACACCGTAGCCGCGTGATCCAACCAAATGCTCTCAAAATGGTCTTGTTGTTGTTGAGCAGCCTCAGATCTAGCATTGGACAAAATCGAGACGCGACGGAGGCGAGACGCGCGAGTGTTGGATTCTAAATGAAGATAACAATTAATATACGGCGTTATCGGGGTCACGATCAGACTCCCTTTACCACAGCCGTATGTTCTATGTAATGCTTAGTTTTCATGATGTGAGACTGAATGACAAACACATATATATACTCCATTCACTGCTCTGGTCCTATTCGAGGCAGGATGTGTCTCTTCATTTGTACTCCTGTGTTGCTATGATACCGGGTGCCACTGTGCTGTCACCATGACAACAATTACATACCTCATTGTACTTCTCGCTTACGTGAGCCTCCCGTGTCTCAATGTCTCGGCCGTAACATGTGCATCTTACTTGAGATGCCGACGCATCTTCAACTCCCCCCTTCGGCGGGATCTCCAGTCCTATCATCCTAGCCAATCGTGAGGTGTTAAGACCCTGTAAGGGTTTTGTCAAGACATCTGCAACGTTGTTTGCCGTTCCGACATATTTGATTTCCACATCGCCCTCTTGTACGTGATCGCGAACGAAATGATACCGTGTGTCGATGTGCTTTAACTTCCAATGTTTGGCTGGATCTTTACTCACCTGTATGCACCCCTGGCTATCTGTGTATAGTACGGGCCGAACGTCCGTGGTCTCCAAATCCCGGAGCAAATATGAGAAGAATAAGGTTTCTCGTACCGCTTCGGAAGCAGCGACAAACTCTGCTTCGACTGCCGACAATGCCACACACTTCTGAACGTGTGATTTCCAACTCACTGGACACCCATATACATATGTTATCGACCCCGAGGTGCTTCTTCGTCCATTTGTGGGGTCGGATGCCCAGTTTGCGTCGGTATACGTCGTTACCGGTGTATCCGAGTGCTCGTTTGTCTCCCCTCCTAGGTGCAACTGATATTCGTTCGTTTGGTTCAGGTACTTTACCACGTGGATGGCTGCCTTCCATGCACTGTCGATCGGGATCGACATATATCGCGCCAATACGCCGACGGCAAAGGCAATATCTGGTCGGGCTGTGTTGGAGACCCATAATAGTTGGCCGACCAATTCTTGATACTTCTTTGCTCGCTGAGGTTCACATCGCTCGCCTCCGGCAACGTTCGCTACACTCAGCATGGGTACCCAAGATTTCTCGTTTGCTCCTTCTAACCATTTGTTCACCATTTCCTTGATGTATGCCGTTAGACCCAGAGATATCCTCCTCCGTCTTCTATCACGTGTGATCTTGATACCCAGAAATTCTTTGACCCTTCCATTGTCTTGCGTCTCCCATTTGTCCATGATCTCTCGCTTTGCGCGATCTACTTCATCACGACTGGGTGATGTTATTAGCATGTCGTCCACGTATGCTGTGATGATCGTGATCTTGTCGCCTGTCCCTCTTGAGTATAGGCATGGTGCGCTCGGCATGCAATGGAATCCGATCGTCCGGAGATGTGAGTCTAACTCAATGTTCCATTCTCGGCCCGATTGTTTCAGACCGTACAGTCCTTTCACTACCTTCAACACTTTTCCGGGTGGCATTTCGATTCCTACTGGGGGCTTGAGGTATACATCATGGTGTATAGTGGAGTTCAGGTACGCTTGCTTTACATCGATAGAATCCATTTCCCAATCTCGTACTGCTGCGACAGCGATCACCCCTCGAATGGATTGGATGGGTGTGTCATGGGCCTGGATGCTCAAGAAGCAGGAGGGTCATGGGTTCATATGGAAAGAGCACAGGTATCGAAGACCTAGTCGATACCAGTAGAGAGCATGGTCGTAGTGCAGTCTCCATGGAGACCACGGACTCCTATGGATTCACATGCAAAGGAGAACCGAGCCACATGCGAGGAGGACCAAGCTCAAGGAGCAGGCACAGCCACGAAGAGGACCAAGCTCAAGGAGCATGCAGATGGTTACCACTCAGGGGCTCGAGAGACAGGAAGTCGACACAGGTCAAGAGGAGGAGGAGCAGTGTCGAAGGAGTCGACACAGGTCATGAGGAGGAGGAGCAGTGTCGAAGGAGTCGACACAGGTCATGAGGAGGAGGAGCAGTGTCGAAGGAGTCGACACCACTCAAGAGGAACAGGGGTGCCAAGCAGGAGAGGCCCCTGAGCAGTACTCGATGAAGAAAGTACTCTCTGGAGAGAGAGAGCAGGAGCAGCATCGCTGGCGATGCTGTGAAGAGGTATATAACCATGCTTTCTCATCATCATAGGTCGAGTGGATCCCGATCCACTCTACTCACCATAACTAGTTATCACTTCAGCATAAGTATACATTAGTTTCAGTCAGCATAGCAGCAATCTATCAAGGTTGCTCCTCATCGTAGTGTGTGTGTTGTATCACCACTACCTGACATCCGAAGGCGCCCATAGCAGGTTAGCGGTCCGGATATAGATAGAACCGAAGGCAGTAGTCCACTGCGGTCCGGGGATCACTTCAAAGTAGCAAGTCAACACACTGGACACTCGTGTTGACGCCACCAACCTTATCACCAACACCATCAACCTCATTATCATTGACATCACCAACCTTATCATCAACACCATCAACCTCATTATCACCGACATCACCAATCTCATCACCAACACCATCAACCTCATCATCATCAACACCCACACCAGACCTTGGTGTCATCATAACATTGATATTGATCGTGCCGAGCTACCCCTGAACGGAGTGTCCACAGAGGTCAGCCGAAACCTACGATAGTATATACAACAAACGCCACCTGCTGTCACTGCACAACTTGATAGTCACCGAGTATCTCGAGACAATAGCTGTCGCACAGTTCGATAGTCACCGAGTATCTCGACAGACCGACCTGGGTTTCAGGCGCGAGACCCCTGACATTAGAGTGGATCGTTCAAGCAGCTCCTCACGATCACCATGACGGACCCAGACCTCAACAATAAGCTCGATAGACTACTCACTCTATTGGAAGCACAGCTAGAGCTTACCAGACAGGGTCATCGAGAGGAACGATTACAACGAGCTCAACTGAGCAGGGAGGAGACAATGGACCTCTCTCACTCAGAAGACCAAGCAGGAGGAGGAGATGAGTCTATGATAGGAGACCCACATACTCCTACTCCAGCTCCACGACCAAGACGATCAGTCTCATTCAACCTGGATGAGCAGGAGGACATCAACTACGAGAAGTATGCTTCACCTACTGGGCCAAGATATGTCAAGACTAAGCTGGACCCCTACAGCAGGACTAGGACGGACCCTTACCCCCTGGACCACGAGGAGGATACCAGCATCATGGCAGAGCTTAACCGGTCAAAGCCCATTGCCACCCCCTTTCCAAAGTTCAATCCCCGAGACATGGAGATCTTCATTCTAGAAGCCGAAGCATGGTTTAAGTTCAACCAGGTGTATGAGCAGTCTAGGATGATCAATCACATGGGTGCTCAACTGGAAGGGACAGCAAGAGAGTGGTGGACCTCCAAGCTCCGTATTGATAGAGCTAGAGAAGGAAGGTTGTTCAATGATTGGCACTACTTCACAGAGCGACTGTCAGAGCAGTTCAACCCACGCAATGCTAGGATGGAGGCATACAACAAGCTGTTGGCTCTCAGACTCACAAGTGATGCTCCTGGTGCCGCCACACGTCATGTAGAGCGGTTCAGAGACTTGGAAGGACAGGTCAACCTAGATGACAATGAGCTAGTGATTGATCTCTTCAGAGGTAGTCTCACTCGTAGCATACAGGAGAAGTTCGAGAGGAATCCACCTGGGAAGAGATGGGAGTGGTATCGAGAGGTCGAGGAGATCGATCGACAGAGGATGCTACTACAGCAGTCCTCGGCTAGACACTCACTTCCAAATGCCACGTCACCTCCACTAAGAACTGGGTCTCGGCCAAATCAAGGTTCAATCCCCATCCGACAACCCACTCAACCTTATCCAGCTCGATCACCATCACAAGCAACTACACAAGCAACTATACAAAACCTAAACCGACCCCTTCCTCATCATCCCACCCAACCCTCGAAGCAAGGAAGCCCTGCTCCATCAGGTATCAACACCTGTCATGTATGCAAAGGTATCGGCCATTGGGCCAGAGACTGCCCCAGCAGGAGGGTAAACCCTCTTAGCTCTCGACCCATGGGACCAAAGGTTATGGTCACCACAGCAGACCCCTTCGAGGAGGCCACCGACTCAGGAGATGGCCACACAGGCAGCACTGAGACGGGTGACCCCGAGGCCATGGACCTCAGCTCATACCAGCAACCCATGGACCCCGATCACGAGGAGGAGCACGATGATGATGACGACGAGGGAAACGTCAGTGGGGTGATGCACTGATGGCATGCATTGCTCTACAAACCT